GTCCTTCATGACATAATTGCTAGTAGCTATCAAGCCATAGTGAACCTCTGGACCGTGTTCATGGCGTTCTGGTCTTTGAACCAGTCTCGACATATCACAATAAGAGCAGCTTTTTCCGGGCTGAGCATGTTGGTAGTTTGCCTGGAAGAGTAGATCACGATCCTGTCCAGGACATTCATACCGCTTGCTCATCCGAGGGTGCGCCTCTAAGATTCTTGAGATGTGTTGGCTGAAGTTTGAACCTGTGAGTTCATGTTCCCAGTGGAGTGTGCTAACAGCCTGCAACAATGCCGATGGTGGTTTGTTCAGCCATCCCATGCGCTGGAAACTGCCATCAGAGAGTTGCTTTCCCATGTCAATTTGAACCACTCCTCCGTGTCCCCCTGTAGGAGTGCTGACAACAACATCACCAAGACGAATGTCGTCGGCTCCAGAAGGTAACCCGGCCCCAATTCCAACCAGAAGACAGAACTTGATACCGGAGAAGGACCAGATCATGTCTCGTGCTGTGACCGCGGCCGAAACAGCGCCAAACATTCCGGGNGGTAGAGAAGCTAAAACGACATCATGCCCGCTCATAGAGCCCAAAGTGTAATTGGCTTGGTCTCGCTCGGCTACTGGAAGCCTGTCGTGTTCTTCATCAAGGAAGACTTGCATCGCCGCAAGTTCCATTGACAAAGGACAGATTATACCGATCTGGTAGTCCTCGTGGCGCTTAGGCATATTGAATGAGCAGGTGGTATGCGTTCGATGCTCGTGTTACGATAGAATGTCAAAATAGGCTGTGTAACAGTAAAGTCGATATGACACCAAACGAACAAAACTTGAATTGGAGACACGGCCTGCACCAACGGGGCGGCAGGCCAAACATAACTGATCTCCGGTGGGCAGTGGGGGTGCTCAATCGACAAGTCATTGTTGCAGCCACTTGATGTAGAGGGCCTAATGCGAGCGCGAAACGGTTTTTGATTGGCTGTACAGAGTGTCTTCGTGTCCATCCATCATTGTGATAGCGTTCCCGTCAATGCGGCTGCATACTCGAGGATTGCAGCGAATCAAGCATGTAAGTTGTCAGGCTGTACAGGGTATTTCTACATTAAATGGTTAGCGCGCGGGGTGAAAACTGTTTATCTTCACCTTGGTAACAGCTGCGACTGGCCAAACACCCTGGTTATGCAAGATGAAGGTCATGCAGACTAACCATCTTATGCGAGAATACCCTGTAAGTAGGCAGTATGCAAGCCACGCGCTGTCCCATGTACTGTGCGCTGACACAGGGCCTTCTTGTTTTGTACCAAATCTGAAAGGTCTGTTTCTCGCTTCAGTGTCGGTCATGACCGTCATGCTGAGGGCCAGATACAGCGAATGCTTCGATCATTGTAAATAGGTCGCGCAATAAACAAAATGCAGTCTGATCTTCCTAGGGTCTCTTCCATGGCCCCCTCACAAATTTGTGATACGGCCAGCGGGCATTCGACGCGATTCGCAAACCATCACAGATGAAGCAGTGTGCTTCATACCCATACGGTTGCAGGATCCGATTGAATTCTTGATCTTGATTCTGCTCCATGAAGTAGAGGTTATCAGATAGGTAGGTATGCGTTAACCGTTAGAGCTTGGCAGTGAATGGTGGTGGTAGTGACGTTGGAGGGCACGGACTGGTTGATCGGCACCGTCTCGCGAGCTGCTCTCCAGCTCTGGCGGAGGACGGCGGGCCTGGTGTCCTGCCTTGTCTCAGCGCGTCCTTTGCTGCACAAGTCGCTCCCTGTTCTTTCTTGTGTACTCTCTTCACACACTCGCGCCAAATACCCAGCCATGTCGCTTTTCGGAGAGTCACCACCGCCAACGCCGGCCGCACGCCAGAACAAGTCGTCGCTGTTCGACGACGACGAACAACCCGCCGCTCGCAGCACCTCGGCCAACTCGGGTCTGTTTGCTGAAGCCAACGACGCAGACGACGGCCAATCGCCCTGGGACTTTCCTGCTCCTAAGAAGGGCAACAGCACCCGCCAGAGAGGAGACCTGATCAAGACCCTGCTGCCGCCTAGCGACGTGCCCGAATCCTACGTCAACCTCTTTGATGCCTTGCTGTCGCAGAGCACCGCTCAAGGCGGAGTCACCCTTCGCCAAGTAAAGAGCTTGTTGTCAGGAAGCAGTATCGGACAACCCGAGCAGTCCAAGATTCTCGAACTCATCAGCGCAACTGAAGCCGACGACTCACGTGTCCTAGGCCGCGGCGAGGTCAATGTCATCCTGGCCTTGGTTGGACTGGCACAGGAGGGTGAAGAGCTTGGTTTGGATGCAGTCGACGAGCGTAGAAGACAGTTGCCAGTGCCCAACCTGCCCTCTCTCACCGCCCCTCCCAAGCAAGAGCAGAAGCCTCCCCAGACACCCACCGGTCCTCCTACCCAAGCAGACTCGGGTGCCACACAACCTCAGAACATCGAAACTCCTGGCTTTGGCTTTGGCGACGACCCATGGGGCAGTCCTTCCTTGCACAAGAACCATCACCACGAACCTGCTGCTGCTNCCTCATACGCTCAGGCCGCCGCTCCCTCGTACCCCAACGGCAGCGTCAATGGTCGCGCAGAACCTCCCCACGTCCGAACGACAAGCAACTTCACCACCACTTCCGTTGCCGACAAGTCTGACTCACCGACTACGGAGCCTTCCTCGTTCGAGCCCTCTCGACCTACAACAGCTGAGAGTGGCTGGGGAGGGTACTCTGCCTCCAACGATGGCTTCAATGCTGCTCCCGGCAACGAAGGTTTTGGCGAACCACGATCCGACAACGATCAAGTCTCGAGCACCGTGAGGAGACCACTTGGTGCATCCAGGCCGAGTGGCGCGACGGGCCCTGAAGAACTGGTCACTGTGAACGTACTCGAAGGGAAAGAAGGCATGTTTTTATTCCAGCATCGCAACTACGAGGTGTCCAGCATCAGGAGGAACAGTCGCGTTATTCGTCGCTACAGCGATTTTGTCTGGTTGCTGGACTGCTTGCACAAGAAGTTCCCATTCAGACAGCTTCCTCTATTACCACCCAAGCGTGTTGCCAGTAAGTTGAAGTGGTTTTGTTCGAGGTGATGAGGCTGACAAGGATNNGCAGTCAATGGCAAGCACATAGCAGCAGACAATCTTTTCATTGAGAAGCGAAGGAGAGGACTGGCACGCTTCACCAACGCACTCGTGCGCCACCCTGTCCTAAGTCAAGACCAGCTAGTGATCATGTTCTTGACTGTACCTACGGTAGACGTTCGGCCCCTGCCCTATGTAATGATCGACCAAAACTAATTGTCAATCAGGNAACTTGCTGTATGGCGAAAGCAGGCTTCTATTTCTGTGCAAGAAGAATTCACCGACAAGCCTCTCCCTCCAGGTCTCGAAGACTCGCTGCCCCAGAACCTTTCCGACCTTTTCGAGACGGTACGAAGCGGAGTGCGCCGCTCTACCGAGGTCTATATCAACATGTGTGGCATGGTCGAGCGACTTATAAAGCGCAACGAAGGCATCGCAAGCGAATACGTCCGACTTTCCATGGCCCTCGGAAGTCTGGCCGAATGCTCCGCCGACACCTACGCAATGGACACCAATGAGGTTGAGTTGTTGAATGGTGGTCTCAATGGCACAGCCAAACACCTTTCCACCAATCAAAGTCTTCTGGAAGATGAGGCAAGAGCCTGGGACTTGGGCGTATTGGAAGACCTCAAGCGTCAGCGCGATGCTTTGGTCAGCATGCGGGACATGTTCGATCGTCGTGACCGCTACGCACGCGATAACATCCCTCAGTTGGAACGTCGCATTGCTTCGAACGAGGGCAAGCTGGCTGGTATTCGTGCACGACACGAGTCGCAAATCAAGCCTGGCGAAGCTGAGAAGGTCGAGAGTGCAATTGTCAAGGTACGCCCTTCTTCTTTCAACTGATGATGTAGCTTTACTGACTAGAGCAGGNACAAGCAATCAATAGTCGACCAGCACGCCCGCGGTGTCTTCATCAAGGAGTGTGTCCGTGATGAGATCGTCCACTTCCAATCCTCTCAGTACCACGTCAGCAGAATGCATCAAGAGTGGTCACAAGAGCGTGTCAAGTACGCCGAGTTGGGTTCGGAGAACTGGAGATCGTTGAGCGAGGAGCTTGAAGCAATGCCGCTCGGTGATTAAAAGGAGTCCGACAAGCTCTTGTAATTGTATATCCCTCTACTGTAATATTTGCTTTATCATTGTTCGACATATAGACGCGTCACTCGGATTATCTCTCAGTTGCAGCTGCTCCTTCCTCATATGTGTTTGCCAAATAGGGTTCGACTTTCACATGGCAACGTGTTGCCGCCTGTTCTCCATTGTCAATTCAAACTTGTTGAGCAGCTTCATTCTTCTCTTTGAATCTTGAGTGCTACTCATCGCTACACAAGACCACACCTTCCATTGATCTCAGCTTTACTGTCCTAATTTCCATACAACAGATCGCTGCAACAGTTAGTATTCGTCGCCGTCTTCAGACTTGAGTTGGATAACGATAACTCATTGATACAAGCAACAGATCATTGACCTCCATACTCACATCAAAATGCCCGCAACAAAGAAGAGCAAGAGAGCCTCCGCAGGCGATGAGGAGATCGTCTCTCCACCCCCAGCAAAGAAGACCAAGTCGACCAAGGCCTGTAAGTCCAACAGTTTTTTCATATTCCAGCATCCCCATCATCTGCCCATCATGGTATGACCGTTTTGCCATGATCTCCTTGGCAGAGAGATGGCGATCTGAGCGTTTCCTTATCTTATCGATGTCTCGGTTTCGGATCAGGGCTTTGGGCGTCGGCGTCGGCGTCGGCGGCGTCATTCACTATTGGGTGTCGCTGCCTTTGCTGTTGATCAACTTTCCTTTATCATCATTTGTCGCACAGTCAACATCGTCGTCCATTCCCAGCATCCTGCACTTCGTTCCCGCTGAAACACACATCACTCGCTTCAACCAGGGTAGAACCGGCTGACACGATACGACCATGCCTCCAGCATACACGGCCTCCCAAAAAGCGGCCATCCAGAGCTTTGTCGACTTCACAAACACAGACCGCACAACAGCAGGAAAGGTCTTACGTCAACATGGATGGAACGTACAAGTGGCAACAAACGCGTAGGTCAAAGAAATTTCATTGCATCCTCGGGGGTTCGTCGTCGCAAGAGGGAGAAGTCTACAAGGGTTCGCGTACACCCCTAAGCTCGACGTCGGTTCGACGATGAGGTATCTCGGCACCGAGGTGTACGAGTGGGGTTGCACACAGCGGACACTCGAGCGCGACACATGACTGACTCAGTGCTTCCCTTGGACTACTCCCTCTTACGCGCTCGCTCATTTTTCTCAAGATGTCGGACCCGATGGACATTGACGATAAGCCCATGTTCGCTGCTGACATGCCCAGCTACTTCCAGTCTGGTTCTACCAACGGCGGCAGCACTGCCAGCAAGAGCACACTCAACAAATTCTTTGACAAGTACCGCGAGGATGTGGCCAACGAGCCCGACGAGGTGAACATCGAGGGCACCATGCAGCTCCTCACCGACATCGAAGTCAGCCCCGACGACGTTGGTGCTCTCATCTTCTCGGAAATGGTTAAGTCGCCCTCTCTCGGAAAGCTCACGCGCACCGAGTTTGTCGACAGCCTTGCAGCTCTGGGGTAAGCTTTGTAGAGTCTACACAAAACATGCAACGTCTGACAGAGACGGTTCAGTGTCAGTGATGTCAACAAGATGCGCGACATGGTCCAGCAGAGACGCGCCAACCTCGCCGAAACCTCATTCCGTCCCACGTTCAAGTCAATCTACAAGCACACATTCATTCTCGCCCGCCAACCCGGACAGAAGGCAGTCGCACTCGAGAATGCCACAGAGTACTGGCGCCTGCTCCTAACCAGCCCTTCGCTCGAGTGGTCATCCCCCAACACTCCCTGGCTCGACTGGTGGATCGAGTTCCTCACGGAAAAGTACAAGAAGAGTGTGAACAAGGACATGTGGGATCAGACACTGGTTTTCGCCGAGAAGACTCTTGCAGACGAGCAACTCTCTTTCTGGAGCGAAGACTCTGCCTGGCCCGGCGTTATTGATGAGTTCGTCGAGTACGTCAAGACGGACAAGCGTCAGGGTCAGGGTGTTGGTGATGCTATGGAAGTTGAGTGAAGGACGCGATAATGCAGAGGTAGTGCACCGAGCACAAACAAGAAATAGACGACATGGCTGCCGAGGCACGCGACAAACGGAGGATACGAGAGTATTCGAGGACAGAGGGAAGTCGCGGTTTCGGGCGGGCGACAACGAATAGCTTCGAGGCAAAGAGAAGCAAGAGAATTGATTGCAAGCATGGCATAACGGCAGCATTAGAGGCAGACAGTCGATACAAAAATCACGAAGACGAATTCACCACACACGTCACAGGGTCATGGGGTGAAACATGTGAAATTGGACGGCTTCTCACGGAGAAGGAAGCGCCGAGATTGATTTGGCTTGTTGACGGTCGGGCCTGAGTGTGGGGGGCAGACCGGCGCTGACGGGATCCGAGGGTGATCATTTTTTTGTTCCCTGTCGCTCCTTCCCATTGTTACACGCGACTGGCAGACTGCAACTTCCCAATGGCCGACAGCAAGATGGAGCCCTTTCCTCCATTGAGCCCTCCCAAGGCGGGCCTCGACACACATGGCGGCCCTCCGGTCACAATGAGCAAGCCCCGGCCCCGGCGCAAGTCTAGCAGTCTTGGAGGAGAGCCGAGAGGTGACACGGGAGCTTCTGCCCTTGCTACCTTGTCCTTGCTGCCGCAGGTATGATCTCTCCAGCTCGACGCCGGCCATTGGACTGACACGCCCTGGCAGCGCACATCTACCCCGACACAAGACAAGGCCACGAGGACATCCAAGCGCCGCAAAGCTCGCAGTCTCCTCAAGCGCTATGTCCGCATCTCCCTGCGACACACCTGGCTCAATCCCTTGATCCTCATGCTGCTGGTCCTAGGTCTTTACGCTGTCAATCCCTCCACCTCGAACCCCTTCTACTACTGCATCTTCCTCGCCTACCCGCTCGACACCCCTGCTGGAGAGCCAGTCCAGTATGGCAAAGGCCAGGCCGACTTTGCTTTTGTCGCCTTCTACACCATCGTCCTCAGCTTCACCCGCGAGTTCCTCATGCAGCGCATGATCCGCCCGCTGGCTATTCGTCTGGGCATTCAAAGAAAGGCAAAGCAGGCCAGATTTATGGAGCAATTCTACACGGCTATTTACTTTGCCATTTTCGGGCCCTTTGGCTTGTACGTTATGCGCCGCTCGTCAGTCTGGTACTTCAACACGGACGCCATGTTTGAGGGCTTCCCTCACCGCAGCCACGAAGCCATCTTCAAGGCTTACTATCTGCTGCAAGCGAGTTACTGGTCTCAGCAGGCCATTGTCTTGTTGCTCATGCTCGAGAAGCCGAGAAAGGATTTCAAAGAGTTGGTTTTGCATCACATTGTCACGGTGGCTTTGATCTGGTTGAGCTATCGCTTCCACTTTACCTACATGGGTATCGCCGTCTACATTACCATGGACGTTTCCGATTTCTTCCTCGCCGTAAGTTTTGTTGGAGTGAGTTACCACATAATCATGTTACTAAGCACATTGCAGACCTCCAAAGTCCTCAACTACCTCGACTCTCCCATCACCGGCCCATACTTTGGCCTCTTCATCGGCGTCTGGTTCTACTTCCGCCACTACCTAAACTTCTACATCCTCTGGGCAACCCTGACCACCTTCCGCACAATCGGCCCTTACGAACTCAACTGGGAGACCCAACAATACAAATGCTGGATTTCGCAGATTATTACCTTTTCTCTGCTTTTCGCCTTGCAGGCTGTCAACCTGTTCTGGTTTGTCCTGATCTTGAGGATCGCATACAGATTCATCAGAAGCTCTGTTGCCAAGGACGAGAGAAGTGATGATGAAGAGGATGAGGAGGAGATTATTGAAGAGCAAGAGAAGGACAAGATCAGACAGAGTATTCCCAGTGTTGAGTTGAATGGCGAGACACTTGTGGGAGCTACCGGTAGAGATTCTACCCCTGAAGGCCTGAAACGCAGGGCATAGTCTTGTTCCTGGTCATTGCATCCTTCATTGCACGTAAAAGTCCTTAATCATTTGATGGACGGTTTTTGCATCAAAACTTTCACATGCCCTCATTACAAACAGAGGCATTTCAGCATTGTCTGACATATACTCTAGAATGAAAGCAAAACAAACATATCATCACATTCCTCATTCGTCGCTCCTACCTTCTCTGTACCACAAACACAACGGCTTTTAGATCCTCCAGAAATTAGAAGTGCATCTTTAAAGGGAAGTAGGATCACGCGAGCCCCCTGCAAGCCTCGAACAAAATATCTGTCTCTTTTTCCCAGATAAATTGGTTCCCCTTCTTCTTCGGACCTTGCTTCATCTCATGTCCAAAGTTCTTCTAAGAGATGGCCATTTTGTTTACGCTCACAGACCTGCTTTCTTCAGAGTGAGGTACCTTGATATCTGATTTTGGAAGAAATTTTTCCGTCATGGGTTATAGATACCCTGGGGATCATAATCCTTTATCATACAATATAAGATAGAAAGCACACACTTGGCTCCTTTTCTGATCGCGTTACTACATCCAAGCAAAAATAGCAAAACAGCATTTCGAAAGCCATAACATATCTGCAGAAATCTTGAAACCAGGCAGTTTTGGTATAGGTAGCAGTCGTACAAAAACAGTCATCGGATCTTCTGATGAGACTCTACTGTTATGCTCGACCGCCACATCTGTACCAAATACCCTCCAACGACATGGTCATGAGTAGGGGATGTTACTCTAGACCTCTGTTATAATTTGACCCACGATACGTCTTCTTCCGCTCGGCAAAAAGGATACTCAGGTCTGTGATTCTGAATTCCCATGCCAGCTCCCTTATTTCTCTCCACTACGCTCACTCCTTGCTAATAGACCTCCAACTCTGAGAGATCTACAGATATGTTACGGTTTTACAGACCTCATTGCTTCCCTTGGGTTCTTGCTAGTGCGTAGAACCAGGTTTCTATAGATAAGACCGTCCACGATCTCGAAAGCGGATAGGATGATCTACGGGTGGACTAACCTCGACGTACGACTTTAGGAAAGAAGACTAATAGTAGCAAGCACTAGCTAAGGCTAAAGAGTCGGGGTTATGGTTTGATGTGCAAACAAAAGAGGAAAAGGAAGATATGTACGAAACCGTTCTGTTGGCCTTGTCCTTAGGTTAATTTTTTGATATTAGGGGTTTGGAAGGATATTTTGACATGACTTCTTTTTTTTTCTAGAATATGTCCTAGCATATATATACATAACACTGTTTGTCTTTTCCTCATCACGAAGTATTACGGTTTCTACCAAATTCTTCGTTCATTAATTGCTCATACTACACAAGGAAGTCTCGGGACAATGTACAAAGATTCTGGAGACCTATACATATACACGATAAACCATCTTTTCTTCCTCTTTTTCTTCACACGACAATCAAACTCTACTTCACCCTGGCCTGAGTGGAAAACAACTTGGGTATTGCTCAACACTCCCACCGCATCTTGTTGGAACAGGGGGAAAAGGCGTATGAGGGAGTATAGGTCTGTGACTCTCAGTCGACATTCCAAGATCTACTTATACTCGACACTCTCGAAACTGAACACGACTCTAACTCAACTAGAGTGATACTAAAGTTCATGGGCCCTGGTATCTATCTTTTCTCTTCTTACCACCTACGTGCTCGAACAAACCAATAGTAGTGGTGTTCGGTAGGTTTTTCTCTTAGGGCGGGACGCGCGGGACCATTGATGTTATTTCGATGGCAACTATCTTTATGCGGATTGGCAGTTCGTATGCTTATCGATTTTACATACAGCATTGGCATATTCCAAGAAATCATACTTGTGGCTGTGTATGTACTGTCAAAGTATCTGATGGCTAACGGAAAATCTTAACTATCAACCAACCAACTACTTGCATACCAAAGTTCCTACAACCAGACCCACAAGATCATTTTTCGATATTAGAGTAACCAACTCTGGCAGGTATCCATAAACTGCGTATTTCATACCAAGCACCAATAAATTTGCTTACCAAATCCAACAGTCCGCTTGAACCAACAGGTGTAGAAAGCCAAGCATACCCCTGAATCAAACACGTCCTCGAGAGTGTTCAAGTATAAAAAGTAGTACCATACACACTTTCCAACTTGACTCACCATACTATTATCCCGGATCCTTGAACACTTCTTATCCCTTCCATATCCCATCATCAAAACTCTTGCATCCTTCCTACTTCTCCAACACTTAAACGCATGCATACAGCTGCAACCACGCAACCAAGAGTCCACCTCATCTTCATCTTTCGGCATAGCGCAAACGCGTACAGCTGTCATATGGGAGACATCCCAACCCGAGACGCCTCAATTGCTCAGATTATTATAGCCTGTTATAGATGGCTGTGAAGACCCTTTTGTACGATTTGCTGCCCCTTCATCCTCCCAACCCTTGCTCCAGTACCGTCATTCTTCCAAGCCCACTTGATCCCAAGCCGTCAACACCAACACCTTGACAAGCTGGATCCACTGTTTGCTGTCCACCTCTTCCGTCGCGCCATCCTGGCCATTACTACCCTCAGCTCGTTCCGTCTCGGCATCACGGATTCCAGAGTCAACCATCGCATCACACATGGCATCCTGGTCCGTTGAGTGTCCTGGGATGTGCGATTGCGGGGATACTGCTTCACTGGTCTCAACACCACCAACGCCAAGACAAAAACTCGAAACACCGACTTCTGTCCAGAACCGAGTATGTGAGCCAAGCTCACGTCCAGTCTGAAAGTCGGGGATACTGGGTCGTCTACCCAATACTCGTTTGCTGTTGTTCGACAAGGAGGTGGCCACAGGGTGAGTTGCGCAGCACGTTGAGAGGCGAGAAGGTGTGAACTCCTTGATCAGCGAATTCCTTTGCCAACACGCGGATTGCAGATCAAAGGTTGCAGGGTCGATGTTTTTTGTGGCGGGTCTAGAGGAGAATCTCTCCGGGGAAGGAGGCGTTGGTTTGTGAGCATTCGAAGTAGCGACGGCAGTGATCATGCAATCGCCTCTCCAAAGCGATCGTCTCTCATCAGTGTGGAGTAGATGTCGACATGTGCCCAAGTGACCTTCCTCAGTATCAGATATCGCTGACATCACAACTGTGCCAATGAGATGGTGCCGAATGGAGTGCAAGTAGGCGTAAGCTGCCACGATAGCTGCGGTGCCCGCTGCATGTGCTGGCATTGTTGTCGAATGCGATAATGGTCCTGTAGCCTTGTTGGAAGAGTACGGATGAGATGGCGAGGTCAGACGTGGAGACAAAAGCCCGTTCAATACAAGGCAGGGGCCTTCACCTTCGTCAAAGACACTGACCACAGAAGGAAACGTTGGTGAGCCGAGCGCGACACTTTTGGTATGCCTTGAAGACAGGAATAAGGATATCACAGCGGCGACTGGTGCCGTGGTCGCGTAACCATCCCAACCCTCTCTTCCAGTCGAAGTCTGAATCGGCGACTTGGAAGCAGCCGAGAAGTCATGTAAGAATTCGATCAGCCGATCAGTCTGCGCATCAATGGCATCCTCGATGGTTCTCTTCCAATTCGTAGGTGGCTGCTTTGGTGCGAAAATTTCTTGTTTGATCTGGTTCGATGTTGTCTCGTTTTGCAGCGACTGTCCGACTGTAGGATAGACGCAGTTCTCCTCATTAGGCGGCGTCGGAGGTACAGCCACATGTCTCGGTCGCCTTGCCATATCTGAATTCTTTACAAATCGTACCATAATGAATCAGGGTGGACGTGAAGCGCGAATACAATTCGAGTTGTACTTGAGATGGCAAAGTTGAAAGTCTGATGCGTGAGATGTTGATAACAAAGACGATTCTGAAGACCGCAAAGCCAACTCTCGAAGAAAAGAATCGAATAAAGGAGAGGGATACCAACGTCTCTAAAAACAGAACGGTGTCAAGCCTGCCTGTGCCTGTGCCTCTTAGGTTACACGGGTGGAGGGTTTCGGCAGACAACTGACAAGCCACCTGGACACAATTCCGAATCTCAGGCCTTAGAGTCCAGACCACGCGGTGAGCTTGTCCGGATCCGCGTGTGGTGCTTGTTTACAGTTGAAGTTATTTCGTGGTCAGTACGCCGATATATGCTTTGATAAAGGCGATGATATATGTGATGGTCGAACCACACGAACATTGCACGGTCCAAAGCGGGCGCGCACAGTGTCGAAAAACTAACGTCTCAGATTGTTGTGGCGAGGATCAAGATCCGTATAACCCCTCAACAGCTTAGCCACGATAGATAGAAAAGCGGGCGGCTTCGCTATTTGTACAGCGGTGACATTTCGAGTCGCCATGTCAGCAAGTCACATTATTGTCAACGCGCATATATCGTAATGTGTCGACCAATGATCTAAAGACAGACAGACAGGTCTAGACTCTGCATGAGGCTTACAAGTGGTATGGAATGGTGTTGTGGTGGTATGATGTCAGATCGGGTAATGATTGACGTGCGCTGCGGCACTTGAGCCACTGCCGTGTTGGCTTGTCCGGGGAAACGCGTGGGAACGGTGATCTTACACGGATAGCAGACCGATTCGGAGACTGTCCGCTCATCCAACACCTGGCATTTGACGGCGAGTGGTAGCATGATTCTCAAGACGAATGTCGTCGACGATTCTGATTGGTGGGAATTTGGTAAACGCGTAGGGTGAGCACCTGCGATTTTACTAGTGATACTAGATTCAAGGACCAGACGCATCCAAATTGTGACATGCACTGGTCAGCGTAGCCCAGGACTGACCGCAAGTCGCGTGAGAACCGATGCTCGCATGGAAGGAACACCTATCGGATGGGAGGAAGCGGTCATGAGCAGCTTCTCACAGGTGACAAGCCCTGTCGATCGAAACGCTCGGTGTTCTGATGGATGATAGCGCTCGGCGCAGTTTCCGAAGTTTGGGTTTCGGTCTCACGAGGTCTCTGGGCGTGGCGCAATGCATTCGGAGTTGCTGCCGTTGAACGTTATATGGCTGTTCGTTACTTGTGCAACCATAAGCATGGATTCAGATGTTCCAAGATGGCTAAGAGGTATCGAGAGAGTGCACTGCCTGGGATGCTGGATCTGATGCAGTTCCCAGATCAATGATTGCTGAGATGTATGCTACACGGAAGTGATTGGACTTGAGCGGCCATAGAGTTAATTCCGGAAGTTTGGCAATGCACAGGGCGTGGAAGCGCGAGGAGCATTGTTCAGGCAGCGGCTTGGACGAGGTTCTCGGGAGAAGAATCAATCGAAGCCTTTGCCATTTCAGTAGTGGTTTGACCTTTGGTCTCTGCGAATTTGGAACTGCGCTTGAAGCTAGGCGAGGGGTTGTAGAAGTCATCGATAATGGGATGGATTAGAACAGTCTGATTGTGGATGGTGACGGTGCTGTTGGTAGGAACAGTGACCCAGTTGTCACGTTCGAAGGTCAGTGGTTCGCTGGCGACAAGAACGATATCGGCACCTCTGTCGCGTCGCTCCATGGTGTAGTCGGCCTTTTCGGCTGAAGGGCCATTTTGCTTCTTCCAGCTAGTACCGGAGCTGAAGAACAGACTTGCAGCCTCGTCGGTGGTACTGCTCACATAGCGAGTGCATACAACACTCTTGCCGTCAGTCACGGCGAAGTTGAGCAGACTGCGCGTGTCGCCTTCTCGGACGTCTTCTGGAAGCTCGCGAATGTAGCCGTTGATACGCTCGATGGTCTTGAGGATGGCCTTGCGCAAGACACTATGACCGAAGCCAGCTGTTTGAGCTTCCTTGTTGTCCGGGTCATAGCCCAGTCTCTCAAGGCTGTCGAGGAACAGGGCAAAGCACCACTCGGAGTCGGTGCTGCCTGTGACGCCTCCGAACCAGCGGTCGCCAACGTCGCTGACCAGCTTGCGCTTGACACCAGAGTTCCAGCTTCCGACTCCTCCGTTGTGCATGAACATCAAGCAGCCGCGGCTGAAGGGATGGCAATTGCTCTCTGCCAGAGCGCCCTCGGTGCTGGCGCGGACGTGGGCGAAGATGAGAGGCGAGACAGTCTTGCTGGCCAAGCGAGTGAGGTTGGTGCAGTTCCAGGCAGGGATGGTCGAGGTGAAGATGCACGGGTCGGGACCGAGCAGGGGGNNGAGTAACGAGGGAGGGGTGTAGTAGCCGACACCGAAGCCATCGCCATTGTGAGGTCGGCGCGTGTCCAGACGGAGTCGCGAGTCGTAGGACTGGGTAAGAATGGAGTGGGCCGGGTCGAGGATCAAGGTGGAGAGGAGGATTGGCTCCTTGCCCTTGTAGACCTACAGCACGTCAGCGGTCGTTGTAAAGGAAGTCGAGCTTGATCCCACCATGAACCGACACATGGAGAAGGTATGCTTGATGAAGAATGAGCTAATGGGAGGTTCGTCGTTCCCTTGATACGTAAAGATGGCTGCTGCCAGATGCGACGTGCAAAGCTGTGTAGAAACAAGAAGCTGTCGCGCCTTCGTACCTTCCTGTCATCGAGCAATTGCGCAATCCAGCTTGGACCATCAACCACTTCCACACGGAGCCTCTCGGAATCCAGGAACAACTTTTCGAAAAGTGACCTCAACTCACCACCTCATATTTTGAAAAGCCGAGCATAAGGCTTCAACCGGACCTCATCTCCTGACTGTACGTACCATAAATATCTTCTAGCCCTGTGTTGAGATGGGGTGTTCTAACAGGAAGCTGTATGTCGACAGGGTGATACCAAATACGAGAAAGGAACGTCCCCGGCTCCATCCTGATCGCGAAAATGTCCCCGAATCGGCGACATTCACCACCATGTTCATCTTTTACCACGCGAATCATTATTGCTTCTGGTTGTTTTGCTCTTCGAAACTGCAAATCGACTCTGTCCAAGTCGTAGTGCCATACCATGGTCGCTAGGGATGACCATCATGACTACCAGGGCCACTTCTGAATCGCATGTTCCTGCTGTCAGACCATCTCCACTGGCTTGTACTGAATGTCGATCCAAGCATCTGAAATGCGATGGAAAGCAACCCGTCTGTTCACGATGCGCCGCCTCTGACATGTCATGCAACTACACGCCTTCAAGGCGAGGCTGCAAGGGTATACCANAAAAGCGAAGAAAACTCAATTCTGATCACCAAACACAACATCCTACGCCCTGCTCGTCAGCTCAGTCACCAGCTCCAGCACTGACAATCGCTCATACTACATCAGACCCCCTAGCCTGGCAGAGCCATCTAACCAGCTACACCGCAAATGGTCCACCCATCAGCGTTGCCTTTGATACACTCCTAGTCAACTCTGAACCGACATTCATTCTAAGCGATCAAGTTTCGGCCTCAGCATCGAACGCTGAACAACAATCTCAACAAATGCCAAATCCAGGCTTGGAACATGTTGTAAACCTCTACTACTCCAACTTCCATCCAGCACATCCTGTTCTGCTCCCTCGTCATATGTACGGTCAGAACTATCCTCCATGCCTTCAGTCTGTCGTTCAATTTATCGGGACTCATTACTCGGCATCTCACTCCAGCGACTCTCTTCGGACTCAAACAACCATTGCTCTCAAAGACGCCTCGCAAAGATCAGCGTACATGGTACAAGCTCGGCTACTGTTTGCCATTGCTATACACGCTCGGGGCGAGCCGAACGAGGGCCAGGCAATGCTCCAGAACGCTATAGATCTGGCCATTACCCTTGGCATGAACACTAAAGATTTCGCTACTCTGAACGGCGATTCGTCGCCATGTCTCGAGGAGAGCTTTCGCCGCACATGGTGGGAGTTGTTTGTGGTGGAGGGCATCATGTCTGCCATCCACCGCAAACCAACCATGAAGACTAGATCTGTTGCCTCCGGAGTTTTGTTACCATGCGAGGATTCGACATATGCAGATGGTGGCTGTTTCTCTAACGGGTCGTCATTGGCTCAGTTTACTGACCGCCATTTCGCCGAAGAAGAAGTCAGTTTCTCATCGTCGTGCTATCGCATTGAGGCTGTTCAGATCTTGTCCAGAGTCTTGTCAATTGCGAATGCTGAGGCTCATCCGGACGAGGTACAAGCAATTGACAATTCTCTTGCAGCATGGTCGCATTATGTGCCACCCGAANAACGTGATCTCATCACAAACTCGGGAGAAGTGGACGAGCTACTATTTCAGGCGCACATGCTCATTCACTGGGCTACCATTTTACTGCACATGCCTCGAAGCGAGCTTCTTTCGGTTCATCCGGCTACTGCAGATATCTTCTGTGCCAAAGGCGACAAACAAATGCCATCTACAGACACTAAGCATGCCCATGCGAGCAAAGCCACAGATGCGTCCAAAGAGCTGTCCAACCTGGCGGCTCTCCGCTGCCCAGTACAAAAGCACACCCCTTTCTTCATATGCGCTCTCGTCATCGCGTCAGTGGTACAACTAGCTGCCTGCACTCTTCACAACTGCCGCTGCATGTACCAACACCGTGATCGAATTACATTGGTCGTGGGTCTGCTCAAGTCACTTAGCCTGAGCTGGGCATGTGCTGGATCAGTACTTACTAAGATCAAGAAGATCGCAGCAAAAGTGCTGAAGTCTGAGCATTGCACCATGACTGTGGCTTCTGATCAGTGTGACAGCTGTACCGACAGTGGTCTGGGCACAGAAGAGGTGCCCTGGTTGGAATTTTTCAATGATCCAACGGTTATGTCGTTTGAACGATTTGCACCCGGACCGCTCTTCTTCGAGGAAGGTGCTTAAAGTCGACAAAGTCGCGCGATCCGCAGCTTTGTGTCAATGTTGATAGGATACTGAGCCTTGCGGTTCTTCGAAGATAAAAGAAAGTCGAACGTGTGCTATGGTCTGGTTGTATCAGTTATGGCCACGTTGGTTACTGCGTTGTCGGCCTTTGCACTCCAGATCATCAGCTTGTACGCATGATTGTTGTAGTTCCTGACTCGATCTAGCCTGAGCTGCCCGGCGATCCTACACAGCTTGCCACTCTGGTGGTTTTGAATATATCTAACGGTGACAACGACATTACAGCGAGGCGATTTAAGAGCAATGCTTACGCCTCTATCAACTGGTGGCATTTACATGTACGGAGACTCTGGCAAATCTCTCGCTGCCGTACCTCCATGAATTTCCCTCACTCGTTTGGTCTATCCTCATGCCATCGAATTATGAACGATCAGAATCCCCCTTCTTTTATTCCGCCCGGAGATTATGACTCTGGGTACTGCACAGGCCGATTGAATGTTATCAATGACTGTCTGATACCCGGCGCCTCAATGTAGAAAGATCCGACCCTGGTTCAAGCCCAAGTCACTGACCAACCGCCTACATAGTATGACGCTGTCTTTCCACTCTAGCAACAATCTAATCATGAAGTGGTTTCGAACTCAATCTTCAATTGGTCTGGCAGGACTTGTATCGAGACAATACAGTCCAGTCATCAAACAGGCAAATGGTCCACCATCACGCTTCCATACTATCAGTCCTTACGGTTGACTATGAGCCTACGCCAACCGCTTGACCTTATCAAGAATAACCTTTCGGTACAAACCACAAAGACGGACGAAGCTAAGGCGGGACAGCCTAGAATAGGGCTGCTGCTATGTACCCGGAGCAGTGGATCCTGCTACAGTAGCACCTCCTTATAACGATCGTACAAGATTGCGACTTTTTGATCGCTATACCGAATTTAGAGCGATAAATTACCAGATTAGGCTAAGCGTCGAGCTCTTCGCTGAGTTTTTATCGTTATATCGCAGGCCCACGGGCCTTCGTAGGGTCCGTGCTAGCGCAACCGTTACAACGGGTGATCGTTATAGAGAGGTGTTACTGTATATCGAACTGTTCAAGCCACTGGACTGAGTCTCGCGGCAGTCGTAAGCCTGATCTTGGCCTATGAACTCATGGAGACTTGTGGAGACTCGAGACGTGAGGACAAATGCCGTGTCAGCAACCTCCTTCCTTTGGGTCAACGGTAAACGGTACGGATCGAGGACTTGAAGAACGCTTGGGAAGAGCAAGACTTCTATGCTGTTTGTAGTAAGGATTGATTTGATCACAACATATTAAGATCAAGATTGTAGAGATGCGGGACCTTGCATAGGGCAATCAAGCCACGAGGGATATGGCATGGCTGCGAAATTTTGAATACGAGCTGTCAACAAGACAGGGGTGGTCTCCTCGGAGGTCACGGTTACTCAACAGCCGCTGTCGAAACTCTATCTCCAGCGACCTTCCGATTCGGCACCTTTGCGCCGAACAACAGAAGCCGAGACCCATACAATTCCAAACCATGAGACATAAGGTAATCTACCACAAAGCACTGGCAAAGATGCAACCGACAGCACGAACAAGACATTCGAACTCACAGTCCAGTAAAGGAACATGAACAGAGCTAATCTCTCTTGACCAGAAAGTTGCGCCTGCAAGTCGAAACGATAGAGGAGCCAATATATCTCCACTCTTTCGCGAACAATTAGAGATCTGACGATTCAGGTACCGAAAAGTGACTGAAAGCCGGCAAACAGGATGTCAACGATGTCTGCTGTGTATAACCGTTTGAAAAAAAACGGTCACCCATCAACCACGATATAGCCCATTTGAGGGCTACACCAAAGTCACATGTCGGCCGCCTTTCAAGCGTCGGTCTACATCATGAATAACATGGCCGATCTATTCGAAATCTTTGCTGTTCGATCTTTGGTGTGAATCTTGGGTTGATGTGGGCGAAGTTGCGGTCAAAGCCCGGCACAAGGCCCAGACGTCTTGCTATAAGGCCCGAGGACTATTTGAGCAGCCTAGAAAACCCGTTATAGGAGGCTCTCTGGGGGTCGCCGCGATCCATGCGACAAGAACGTTGCGATGATTCGCGTAAACCTCCTACAAAAGACGAATCCAGATGCAAACGTGTTCGACAAACTACCAGGTCTGGTGGTGATCGTCCCCGTTCTCAATGTCTCAACAGCCGGACATGCTGTCTTACGTGCGTTGTGATAATTACTGACTAGTGTGTAGCTCGTATAGATATAGGTGGTCGCCTTTGAAGTTCGAAGTAGGGAGCGAGTTTGACCAACATTGCTCGTACGGCTATCCTATCACCAGGACGATTGGCAGCCATGAGTCAAGCGCCTCAGTACTGGATAGAGCCCAGTAAACTCGAACTCATGAGAGCGCTGAATGGCACGTTTCTCGCCCTTTCTTGTATCACAGTGGCGTTGCGTGTATATACGCGGACGAGGATTGTCAGATGCTGGGGCTGGGATGATTGGTTCATGCTTTTGACTTTGGTAAGCATTGTTCATTGCCATGATGCGGGAAGAAGCATGCTTATCCTTGCGACAGGCGGTATTCATTGGCGAATGTACTGTGTGGTTGCTGTTAGCAGATGTGGAGGCGAGACCTGCATCTCTTGCGAACTTGGAGACATATGCAGCAGTAAGCACCATCCTCTGATGAGTAAGGAAATAACGAACAATACTGATACTGTTTCCGTAGCTCATCTGTGCCGAACAAGCTCTCTACATCGCTGGTACCGTCTGCCTAAAGATCTCGCTAGCTTTTTTCTTCCTCCGCTTCCTCATCGTCCGCTGGGCCCGCTACATCGTCTGGATTTCCGTCCTGGTCTACTCTACCGTAGCCACCGCCATGCTCCTCCTTGTTGTCTTTGAATGCGGGCTTCCAGGCAACTACGTTATCAAGCAAGCGACTGGCAAATGTGTCACCTTTCGCCTGCAAAGCAGCCTCGGCTACGCTCACGGCGCCATCAATGCACTCACTGACTGGGTGTTTCCCGTCTTGGCTATCCACTTTCTAATCCGCTGCACCAAGATGTCTCTGGCAGCCAAGCTTTCCTGCTGTGCCATTCTACTGTTGGCGGTGGTGGGCAGTATCGCCAGCATTGTGCGCACGGTGTATATCCCCGAAATTGGACCTGGTGGCAACATCTACTCGCGGAGTATGAAGCCATTGATCTGGACAATCGTTGAAGGCGCCCTGGGGATCATTGCTGCTTCGCTGGCTACTCTGCGTCCACTGTTTCAGAGATGCGCAGGTAGGACGAGGGTTGCGTTGCAGAGTAAGAGCACTGGATCTCGCTCGACCTGCAAATTCAGCAATTCGCTGGGCAGTACGCTCAATTGCTTTGGCACTTCTGCGCGACCTGCACTGGACGAGTCACCTCGTGGGGCTGTGGCTGAAAAGTGCGATACTATGGACTTGGAATCTGGAAACTATCCAAAGACCACAACACTACCGCTACGCTTGGGAGTATTGAGCAGTTTAGCCACGGAGACGGGGATGATGACCAAGATGGACATGACAGGGACGATAATACGGGGCACCGAGAGCGCGCCCTGAGACCTGAGCTTTTTGATGGCATTTCAATCACGACTTTTACGAATAGACCAGAACTATGAACTTTTCAACTTTCCCCCAACCGGTGAACTGTAGCAGATAGACGTCGGCAGATACAGAAAACGAGAAATGACGCATAGTTCTCGTTTTCCTGCCCTGACTTTACAGTTGTCGAACAAATTGCTCGAGCATGATAATGCTTTTTGGGTTACACCACATGTTGCTGTGCTCCAGCGTGTCAAGTAGAATTTGAACATCTCCAACACCTGCTGGAATGCGGCTAATAACACCTGATTCTCATGGTTTTCTGATACCTGTTTTTTTTTTCAAGCACGTTTCATCTTCGTGGTATCACTTGAGCTTGCCTACATATCCTGCGGTCTTGTGCTCGTTGTCGAACCATCTGACTTGTGCTTTTTGTTTTGAGAGACTGTATGGTATTGCATGTGCGCTTTCTATACCGATAGCTGCCATCGTTTCAGCGCTTACAGTTTGAGTACATGCTTGGTCTGCTTTGAGTGCAGCGTATAAACCCTTGTGCCACTATTCACCGATCTAGACTATAAAATCATGCTCATGAGTAATATCTACTTTTCTTCCACATCGAGGGCCAGTTACATCCATGGCGTGACGCGATCTCTATTGCTCAGCACTGTGTCAGAAGCCTGAAGATTATTAGTGGCTAAGGAATCATACTCACCAGCACTCAGCGCAAGAAGCAAATGAGCAGGTCTATGATTGTGTGCTTGGAGGTGTAGAATCTCCAGTTCTCGCCTTTAGGAAAGGTCACGATAGGAAGAGAAGAGGGGAATGGAGAAGAAAGGGAAGGTTGCAGATGTATCACAGACCCAGCCATCTCTCCTCTATGCATTTTCCAAGGCAATCGAGGGAAGAGGAAATCAAACATAGTATGACTCGTCACCCATCTCTCGAGGGTGCCGAGCGCCTGCAGAAGGGGTATGTGGTGCCGATAGAGGGCTGGAGGAGTACTGTTTTCGGGCGAATAGTTATATGCTCCCCCTTCCTGCTGCGCAAACCCGTATCGTATGATCCAGAAGCCATCGATCAGGCAAGCTCACATAAGCTGCCACATGATCCCATACGCACAGGACGTCACAGGAATTGATCACGCTTGCCAAAGCCAATACACTGGTGTTACGGCTCAAAGACCAAAGACTAGAGACCAGATACCTGTACAGAAAGAGTATACAGACACAAAAGCGAGCCAGAAGACCTCCACTACGCTATACTGTCAACACCCAACTAAAGATACCACACCTAGATATATGATGGAAGAGACAGATGAGCTTGATGCAAAAAGCTCAAGACCAGTGCCCAAAGCCTCTTTGTCACATGCCCCGTGGTGCATCGAAGCCCAATTGGGAAATCTGGCTTGATGGTGTCCTGTAAGAGGAGAAGTCAGATCGGAAGCACGATGCCATATCAAATATTCCCGTGATGCCGTAGAGGAAAGTCAGTAGGTCAGTGATACCCATATGCATCTCCATCTCTTCACTTCAAGGTCATATGACTCTCTGCTTGCGTGCTCAGATCATCCTGATTGAAGATACAAAGAACCTACTCTGATATCACAAACCCGATGCTCTCAGCTCTTTGCGTTGGCGCAGGATGATTAAAAGATCCGGCTGTTGCGGTAGAGCAACATATGTTTCTGAACCGAAGCAGAGGAGTCGTAGTTGGAGCGGAGCAGCACCAGCGGATATTCATGGTTTGATGGTTCAAGGATGATTGTTTATATTGAATTTGTAGTAATGCTGGTATGTTGACTACTTGCTTTGCTCAGAAGCTAATGTTGTTTCTCATTGCTACTCGAGAAGTAATGAAGAATTCACCTGCCTTGGTCCCAGTTCTCTCCTCTGCCGATGTGACAGAGTTGCTCGTGAAATGCTGGAGACGAGGAGGAACGAGGACGAAAAACTATAGTGCTTTCCTCTAGATCCTCAGACACGATGTTGGCTCGGTCCAACGCTCATCGTAGGGTGTCGTAGCCGACCGACTCAAGCTGGTACCATGGCAGAGCGACTGCTTGGTAATCATGTGCCAGTGACCATGAAACTCTACCGTACTGTTCGCAGAGAGCAGTCACTTCTTCCAATGGAGATTCGACGAGAACGAGATCGTCCGTTGATCAGCCTGTACTGGAAACAGGAAGCAGCTGCTGCATTCCTGTGCATTGTCGCTCGAGATAGTAACGAGGGCGAGACGAATGCGCGCTTTCTGTAAGAGTTGGGTTATGAGTGTATGCAGTGCTTGTCGCATGCGTGCAAGCTGTGGACACTTCATCTAAACAGCTTTCTACCGCCGTTTCTCACAGCAGCAGATTCTCTGCCCTCTAGACTGATGCCAGTAAAGCCCACAGTGCCTCCAGATCTGTCATGTTTGTATCTCCTGAGTGCTTCACGCAGATGGTCAGGTAGCAGTGGGCCTCTGTCGCGCTCTTTGACTCTTGGTTCGCCCTCTCCGTCTTTGCCAAAAGCTTCTTCGTTCTTGTCGCCTGTGGGCAGTGTTTCGGCAGCAGCAAGCCACTCTTTCTGAACCTCTCTTGCGCGATCGACAATCTCTCCCACAAAGATTTTGGTGTATGAATTTATGGTGGTGACGACGCTGGCGGGCACGGATTGCGATAGAGTCTGGTTGGCGAGTCGACGGACGACTTCCTTTTTCAAGTGTATGCGGTTCCAGGTTTCGTAGATTTCGGCATGAGCGGGATGGATGTGTGTGCTAAACATGGCCTTGCGCTCTTTCTCTGCATCCATGGCGGCTTTGGTGAGTTTACCGCCTTCGAGAGTGTTGACGTCGTCGCCGCCGTCTTCGTCATCTTCGCTGTTGGCATCGTCACCAGGGCCATCGTCGTTGTTGCCGGGTTGGGTTGAAGAGGCCTTGCGACCAGCGTCGCCGTCGATGAGACTGGCCGTGTCGCCGCGGTTCTTCGGGGGCGGCCGACCNTTACCGACCTTCTTGGTCTTGTTTGGGCGATCTTTCTTGGTGGTAGTGCCGGTGCGGCCGCTCACGACGCTGTTGATCTCATCGTCGATGTCGAGACTATCGCTACGGCGGGAGACGGGCGAGTAGGCGGCTTGCGAGGCTTGTGTGTCGGGACTGTATTCTCTTCCTGGACGGTCTGGCGGCGGAAAGGAAGTCTGGCGCAGAGGGTGGGTGGAGCTGCTTGCGTTCGACGGCTTGCGACGCTTGTATGACGGGGCCTGGCCGGGGACGGTGATGGAAGGGCGCTTCTTGGGAAGGGCGAGCTGCGGTCCGGTTGGAGGCGGTGAGGTCGCGCCGCCGGGAGGACTGCTCGCCATGCTGCTGCGGGTGGTGGGAAAGGTGGTGCACAAGGTTGGTAGACGCTGTCGAAGGGATGGATGCTTCATGCGTTGCGTCGAATGAGGAAGGCGCTTGGACCGACTGGGACAAACTTCTACCCACCTTGATGCAACCGACCATCTAAATGAGCGCTGACATGTAACGCCCATCATCCGATTGGTACATGCGAGTGAATGAGTGATGCTTTAAAATCTGCCATGCCCGTCTTGTAGACTACAATCACTTCACCCTTGACATCACCACTTCCCTGTTCACCGCATCATCAAGACACATCCCACGGCCATCAGATATCACTTTCATCAAGACACCTAGCCGTCCAACAGTATGACCGACCGAAGTGCTCCAAGACCAGCTATCACCATGCCTGATGGCGGCTTCTTCAGCGCTTTTGCCGAGGCCACAGTCCAAGCTCCACCTGCTGCTGTATACAAGGCTCTGGTTGACACTTCTCTTATCGGCCAATGGAACAATTTCGTGTCGGCTGTGGCCATCAACAAGCGCTCCGAGGCCGACTCGCAATCAAATGATACTCTGATGAAGAAAGACATGGTCATGACTTTCACTGTGCACATGACTCCCTCCATGACCACTTCCAGCAAAGAGCTGGTCACCCAAGTCGATGACTGTCCATCTGGCTCCGAGAAAGGCAGAATCACTCGTATCCGATGGATAATGGCTAATAAAGAAAACTTCACTCGTTCGTTCAGCAGCCTTTCTGTTTAGCATAATAGTACTGACACATTTTTCCAGCCANAATTCTTCTTGGCAGCAGAAAGAGTAAATGAAATCGAAGACCTAGGAGATGGAACTTGCATCTACCGCTCCTGGGAAACCTTTGGCGGTCTCGCTGCTCGGATTGTAAAGTGGAAGTTTGGAGATTCCTTACAGAAGAATTTCGAGCATTGGGTCGAAGGTCTGCAGAAATATGTCGAGGAAANNAAAGAGAAACTGGCAAAAGAACGGAGTAATGCTGTTGAGTTGCCAGTTTGATGCTCCTCCTAGCACTCAACTTCAATGTCGGCCCGAGTCTTGTCGCTTCCCATCCTCTCGGTCTCTTGAACGGGCAGTAAAAGCCCTTCTTCGGCATCCATGTCAAGCTCCACCCGTAATCTGGAAACGGCAAAGTTTGTCCATCTCTCCATCATATCAACAGCTTTCACTTTCTCCTTCATGTCGAAAACACAGCTCCTCAGTCTCTCAAATTGTCCAACCTTTTTCTTTTTCTCGATCACTGATGGAAACGTTATACCCAGTCCAATGGGTCCCGAGCCCATATCTGTTTGGCCCGTCACCGTAGCTCTTATTTCAAACTCGGGTTTGCGTGTTTGTTTGCCATCCTGCATTTCTGTCATCCATATCACAACAGCCATGACCATCAACAAACCCAGGAATATGAACACAGCAATAGCGAGTCCCTTAGGTGTCCCTTCAGAGTCTGGATGGGTAGGTAGACCTGGACTTGTTCCAGTGGATGATGGTGTCACACTGGTTGTTATGGCTGACGAGTAGGTTTCGCTGACAGTTGCTGGTGACGAGGAAAGACTCGATGACATTGCGGAGTTTGATGAGATTGTACTTTGATGAGACGGATGAGAGCTGAAAGTGGTTGACGATAGAGCTTCGTAATGGAACAAAGTGGTGGAAGTTGTTGTTGCCAGAGGCGCGTAATGGAATAGCGTGATTGATGTCTTGCTTGAGTGTGTTTGTTGCGTAGGCATCCTGGCTGAGGTTGATAGTATGCGAGTGTGAGTAGACATGATACTTGAGCTGGAGTGCATCGTTGAAAACATAGTCAGAGATGCAGTTGCAAGCAAGTCTCTCGGTGTAAGAAGTTTAGCTTGTCATACAAACAAACTATACGTTTACATGTGCTCAGATATTGTCTCGCTCATATAGATTGTTCTAGTGACAAACAAGACATTGTTCACATCAGACAATTGTCCGTCTCTCATAAGCATCATACCCGAGGTATACCTTGTCTGATCTCTTCATCCATATGGATATACTCTTGATCCGATATGCATGCTTATCAAGTTCTAGCACAGTGCTTAGCGATAGAATCACCATGCAAGATGTAATGTTCCGATTTGGATGGTATGTCTATTCAGTCCGTGCACTCTGCTACAAAGAGTCGCGTCAAGACATGATTCACTCGGTTTGTTTTAGGTCATAGATACCATGGATTTGATCACCTTCGCCTTACAAACAAGCACATCTCAAGTATCATTTCGTCTTCTGCTCTCAGATGGGTGGTGTTTCCTTGGCTCTTACTCGTGGAAGTTTCAACGATGGCTCGGCCGATCTCGGGCCGAAACTCAACCGCGATGTGCGAAGAGATCCAAACGTCGGTGACGACTGGACTTTCCTATTGTTACCAACTTCCCTCTCGTGTGAAAGCCGTCTGCTTCTCTGAAGATTCCGAGAAAGTCTTGCGAGACCTAGTACAAATCAAATTCTGCGTCGATGTCTGCCTAAACCAACGTGCTTGCCTGCCAAGACGTCCACGAACCCGAGCCTCCAATCCTTCCATTGCAACTCTGTTTCTCGATTTCCCCAAGCCAGAACCTTTGACTACAATCCAGTGTCTCTTGTCAACAATCACCGAAGACTGGTATGGTTTCTGTATCTGGGCAGCCGCGATGGATGAAGCCATTCATTGAAGAACCCGCAACCGACGACGATGTTCAGCCAAAGAAGCGAAGTCTACCATGGGTGGCAATTATCCTCTTCATCCTCGCAGTTACCGCCTTTGTAGTACAGGCTATCATCAGACTTCAATCGCCATCAATCCTGCTAGCCATTGCCGCTGTCCACCTTATACTGGTTAGACCGCGGACCGCCTCGATATTTCTGCTCGTACTCTACACGACTTTGTTTGTCCTGCAAGTGTCGCTACTCGCTGATCGATGGACTTTTGACGAGTTCAATCTGGTTGCTGCGCTTTATGTCAGCAATATCTGCATCTCACTTATCAGCATAGCCGTTGTTGTTAATTTGCCACTTCGAGATGCTTCTCTATCGCGCGATGGTATCAGCCAGCCCTTCACTACGCCAACGTCAAATCTGAGATCTCCTGAAGATGACTTGACCCTCTGGCAATGGATGACTGTATCATGGATGTCTTCGCTCATGTCCATCGGCAAGACCAGACAACTAAACGAGGACGATGTCTGGTTTCTTGGCTACGAGTTTCAGCATCGCCATCTACATGATGCTTTCCGCGAACTCCATGGAACAGTTGTCAGACGCTTGCTTCGCGCAAACTGGCATGACTTGGCCATACTCACAGTACTAGCAATCCTGGAACTGGCAGCCAACTACTCTGCACCAATACTATTGCAGCAGCTCCTCAAGGCTATGGGCAACTTGAGATATGAAACACAGCCGGCAATTACGTTTGCACTGCTCATTCTCGTGGTCAGACTGGTTGCCGCGCAAAGTTCAGTGTTCAGTCTATGGTTTGGTAGGCGTGCCTACGAACGATCCAGGGGAGAGATGATCACAATGCTGTTCGAAAAGACGCTTAACAGAAAGATTGTTGCGACCGTAAAAGACGATGAGCCAAAGGAGAACGCCGAAGATGGGAACGAAGAGAACAATTCTGGCAATCCACCCAATGGAAATGGGGCAAGTGAGACGCAAGGGCTCTTGAATGGCCATGACAGCAAGTCAGATGAAAAGCGGTCGTTCTTGTCAAAGGTTCTTAAGCCATTCAGGCGTAGCAAGAAACCGAATCCCATGACCGAAGACAATGCTCCTGCCTCGATGGGCAAGATCCTCAACCTAATGCGTGGTGATGTATATGAAGTAAGTAATTCATCCTCCAAGAGAAGCCGCACACTAACTTGTTTGTAGGTAAGTCAGAGGTTCTGGGAGTTCCAAAGACTAATCAACAAACCTCTCGGCATGATACTCTCCTTGTGCTTGGTATGGAACTTACTCGGCCCGTCATGTCTGCTCGGAGTTGCTGTCGTACTTCTTGCTCAAGTCCTCAATACATTCTTCGCTCGCATTCTCATCAACAAGGAAAGACTTCGTCGCAAAGCCACGGATACTAAGCTCCAGCAAGTTTCGGCTTATGTTGAAGCAATTCGACACTTGAGGTGGTATGGATGGCATCCTGTATGGCTCGAAAAGATCTTGGAAGCTAGACAGGCGGAGCTCGACCTGAGAGTTGTTACCTATTTGTGGAACACCACAATCAGATTCGTCAACATCCTGGGTAGTGGACTGCTACCAGTCGCCGCATTCTATGGTTTCACAGCTTTGGCCGGTCATGAACTGCGCATTGATATTGCTTTCCCAGCTCTGCAACTGTTCAACATGTTGCAAAGCGATCTGAAGGAGATCCCAGATCTGATTACCGTCCTCCTCAATGCATCGGTCGCTGTTGGCCGTATTGAGGCCTTCATGCAGGAACCGAACAAGACTGCGGACGACAGTTCGGCCTCCATATCCGATGGCGTTGTCGAGTTGAAGAATGCTACGTTTGCATGGCCAGGACTTTCGAAAGAAGTTCTTCGCGATCTCACAATCTCATTTCCACCAGGTCTCAACGTGGTTTTTGGTCAGGTCGCAGCTGGCAAAAGTGCATTACTGCAGGCCTTGCTTGGGGAGCTGGACCTACACCACGGCGAGTTGATCAAACCAGATGCTCCTATTGGCTACTGTGCTCAAACTCCATGGCTCCAAAGTATGAGTATTCGTGACAACATCTTATTCTCAGCTCCCTACGACGACTCAAGATACAAGCAAACGCTCGAGGCGTGTGCCCTTACTGCAGATCTTGCCAACTTCAAGCATGGAGATCTGTCAAACATCGGAGAGAATGGCATTGGTCTGTCTGGCGGGCAAAAGGCTAGAGTTGCTCTGGCTCGCGCGGTCTACAGCCGAGCCAAAATCCTCCTACTCGATGACCCGTTGAGTGCACTTGACCAACAGACTGCTGAACAGATTGTCGCCAAGTGTTTCGGAGGCGAGCTGGTTCGGGGCCGCACAGTTGTATTGGTCACTCATCGTACTGACTTGTGCAAGGGTATGGCCGAACAGCTCATCGAGATCACAGATGGTACTGCAGAGACATTCAATGGCGATTCGCTACACCTGAGCCCGACCAACTCTCGTACAGCTCAGGGTCTCTTGAATGCCAAGATGGTCAAGGTTGATGAAGCACAAGAATCTGCTGCAGTGCCTGATAAATTCGAGGAAGAAGAACATCGAGAGCATGGTGGAGTCAAGGCAGGTGTATACTGGCAATACATCAAAGCTGGACGTTTGCGATGGTGGTTCTTTGTCGTTCTTTCTGCCATCATCTTTCGACTACTTATGGTGGCCGAATCGTGGCTTCTCAAGGCAAGTCTGATTGCTTGGTTCATTTGGTAGACATATACTGACATGGTCAAACAGGAATGGGGAGAGGCTTATGGAGAAACTGAGCAAGTGTACAGCTTGCAGGTCGTTCACGTCGCAGCTCATATCACATCTTCGAGCCCGGTCTCCCGCTTCTTCGCTCGCTTCCCTGATCCGGGCGTCAACGTTTACCCTTGGTTGATTGCGTTCCTTATCTTGATCATTGCTGAGTGTCTTGGCTTTATGATCTCGCAAATTTTCATGCTTGTCATTACCTACACTGCTGGTAAGAGGTCCACTTTCTCTTCTCGATAATGTTCGCTAACAACTTTCAAGNGCAAAAGCATGTTCAGAGACATCATGACAAAGGTCAGCCATACCACGTTCCACTATTACGATGTGGTGCCGATAGGACGTTTGATGAACAGACTCACATCTGATGTGGCTACCGTCGATGGAAACATCTCGAGCCAGTTTTTGGTTGTCGCCTGGCAGGCAATTGCATGGGTGACATCAATAGCTGTGATCGCAGGAGTCACACCACTGTTCCTTATCTTCTCTTTCGCACTAACCCTAGTATTCGTCTTCATTTTCATGCAGTTCTTGCCCACCAGCCAAAGCTTGAGACGCCTTGAGATGGTGTCTTTGGNNAGTCCGCTCATGTCGAACTTTGGCGCTTTGTTGAATGGTCTGACAACCGTTCGAGCTTTCTGCGCTCAATCTCAATTCCAGGATCGTGTGATTGCTGTGACAGATGCTTTCCAAGGCATGGATCACTTCTATTGGTAAGTTGTCCCAAGGTCAGAACTGTGAAGCTTTATCTGACTCATCTCAGGTNCTTTGCAGGCATGGCTGATGTACAGGTTTGATATCTTGTCGGCGTTCTCGACATTTATCATGACTCTGCTGGCTATCAATTCTGGCTTGTCACCAGGGTTGACTGCATTCGTTCTAGCATCTGCCAGCAGGTTCGTGATAGCAACTCATGCTTTGTGCAAGCAATACGGCCAACTCCAATTAAACTTTGTTTCAGTTGAGCGTGTGGTTGAGCTGCTGCACCTTGAGCAAGAACCTGCTGGTGAGATTGAGCCTCCCGCGTACTGGCCATCATACAACGATGACATCGTCTTTGAAGACGTAACCATAAGATATGCTCCACACCTTGACCCCGCATTGTCGAATGTTTCCTTTACGCTGAAGGGAGGCTCAAACACTGCAGTCATTGGCCGTACTGGCTCAGGAAAAAGCACACTTGCATTATCTCTCCTTGCAACCATGACACCAGAATTGGGACGCATTCTCATCGGCGGCATCGACATTGCCAAAGTCAATAAGCAAGCGTTGCGCAATCGAATCACTTTCCTCGCTCAAGATCCTGTACTGTTCCCTGGCTCGCTGCGCCACAACCTCGACCCTACGAACCAGCATACGGATGAGGAATGCGAGACCGTCATTGCCCGTGTCTGTGGCACCTACAACTGGACGTTGGACACGCAGATTGACACTGGCGGCAAGAACTTGTCACAAGGCCAGCGACAGCTGGTGGGGCTAGCGCGCGCAGTGCTCAGAAGAAGTGCCATTGTCATTATGGATGAAGCTACTGCTAGTATTGACAAAACCACTGCTTGGGAGATTCAAAGGGTGTTGAGGGAGGAGATGCAGCAGAGTACTGTGGTCACCATCGCGCATCGACCGAGTGCTGTCAGAGGCGCGAACTATTGTCTTGCCTTGGGGAATGGTAGGGTTATTGACCAGGGCACGCCCGAGGAGGTTGATGTGGCGAGTAGTACTGTGCCGGATGCCATTTGAAGCGAGAGTTGATATTCATAAGTATAGACGAGAACATGTTGACTTGCTCGATTAGAGAGGATTTTAGTTGTTTTCTGTTCTTCTTGCACAAAAGTTGTTTCTATCGAGCGCTTGGGCAGTGGCCCGCCTGATCACCGATATACCTGGCGGCAGGGTGTACAAAACACTCCGATGTGAATGACTTCAAGAAGACTCCAATGGAATGAAGATGGTTAGATTTAAAAGCGTATAAACCGGAAGTAAAGTAGTATGGGATTCTTGTGTCTATAATCAAATTCTTGATATCGCTAGATCAATACACATGTTCTTGATTGCAAAACAATCTTCCACATATCTCGCGGTAGACAGTAACGTCTGTAAGGCCCTAGAAATTGATCCGACGATGAGAAAAATAAAGCGTCATTTTGAGATCCGTGGGATTGTGTAAGATAACATTCACAACCAGTGGACATTTCATGCGGTTCTCTCAGTTTTCCAAACTCCAAACATACTGTGGCAGTATTTGTTTGCAAAAACTCTTACTCTACTTTTTGCCTATAGCCGATGCTGGTTCTCCTTGAATGAGCACACCCGCACAAGTTGAAGGCATCTTCAGGAGTCTTGGTTGACGAGCGAGGAAAAGTGCAAACGTGCAAACGAAGCGCCCCCGGTCGATGAGCCCGTACTGGAGCAGCTCTCCCCTGATCTTGCATACAATGAGAAACAATCATGTAGCATACGAGATGAGCATTCCCGATAAGTGTTCACCGACCGGTGTCGTTCGGTTGCTGATCACACGCCTAACTCCGTGATTTTAGGGGTACTTGTAGAGATGAGCAAGATTGAGTAGACCAAGAGAGTGTCAACAAAAGCTGTAACCCAGATCCCAAAGCGACAAGGGTCAACGAAATCTGCAAAAAAATATCTCGGTTCTTTCTCGTTCCAAACACAAATGTATAAAGATAAATGGAAAGTAAGGAACATTGAAATCTGTTGCCGGAAGACTTTCGTCGGCTACCTAGCTAAGCTTTGTACTTTATGACTCTAAAAGAGAACAAGACTGAAGTAGGAATACGGGCTTTGAGGACGAAAAATGCATAAAAGCTTCAAAGGGTATGAGGTTTGTATCAGGATTAAAAGAGAATGGATGCAGTCATTGATTGACTATATAAATTGTTAATTCATGCTTTGTGTTGCCTTTCTAACGGTAACCATACACTATGATGGTTTCTTACATACATGACCAAGCAAATACAAAAGTTTGATTGAAAGCACAAAAGAACAAACACTTGATTCGTAAAAGTACATATTATGTGACAAAAGAAAATATCTGCATCCGTATTAATTAAAGACTTCTTTGGGACATTAAATCATCTCTTCAATCTGGCTGATCCTCTCTTTGATACCCAGTCCAAATCATGATTGCTGCTCGCTCTGCATCATGCTGCTGCTGCCACCAGAAACTCTGCTGCTCTTCTTGGTGGTAGTGGTGGTCGACGACTTGCTGCCAGACGACTGGGCAATAGCACGCATCTGCGAAGCAGCCTCCTCCTCAAAGCGCTCGAGCTCGCGACACTTGGACTCGTACTTGGAGTAAACCTCATCGCGCTCGCGGTCGGCAGAAGCGCGGGCGGAGATGGCCTGCTCCTTTTGCTCGCGGGCCTCGCGCAGCATGGCGCGCATGTTCTCGAGCTCGAACTCGAACTCGGCGGACTCGTCTTGAGTGAAGGTCTCGGTGACCTCCTCGAGCTCTTCGCGGGAGCGGCGTAGCTCGTCGCGAAGACCTTCGCGCTCGCCGCCGGCTTCGTGGATCTCGGCTTGGAGGATGACGATGCGGCCCTTGAGTTCGACGAGCTGGTCGTTGAGGGTGGTGTTCTTCTTTTGCCAGTCGAGGCGTTCGCGCTCGAGGCCCTTGACAGTGCCGTTAAGGGTGGTAATCTCGGCACGGGTGTCGATGATAAGCTGCTCGGTCTTCTGGGCAGTCTCGTTGAGGAGGTTGACTTGGCGCTTGTAGGCGTCGACCTTGCCCTGGGCGGTGATAAGCTCGTTCTGGAGTTCGTCACGGGTGATGATGACGAGCTTGTGCTGCTCGCGGGAGTGCTCGAGAGCCTCGTGCTTCTCGTCTCTCTCGAGCTCGGCGGAGCGGAGGCGGTCTTCGAAGAGGGAGAGCTCGCGTCTGAGGCCGTCGAGGAGGGTGGTCTTCTCAAGAAGGAGAGTCTGGACCTCGTCGTGTCTGGCGATGGTGGACTTGATCTCGCGGTTCTTAACGTCGACGATGTGGGTAAGCTCATCACGCTCGCCCTCAACGGTGCGAAGGGTATCCTTGAGCTTGCTGATGTCACGGTTGGACTGGCTGAACTTCTCAGAAATGATGAGAAGCTCTGAGCCAGACTCCTCCTCTCTGCTGCGAGACTTGCGGAGCTCTTCCTTGAGACGGTTGATCTCGTGGATCTTCTCGTCTTGGTCGAGCTCGTACTTTCTCAGACGCTCGGTAGAGATGAGAGCCTCCTTGCGGACAGTGTCAAGGTTGGTCTGGACCTCCTCGAGTCTGGTGCTGATCTCGGTACGCTCCTGGGTGACTCTCTGGAGTCCACGCTGGTATCTGTCGGCATCTTCTCTTGCACCATCGCGGTCATCCTGCATGGCCTTGAACAAAGTCTCGTGAGACTGGTACTCGGCCTTGAGACGGTCGATTTGGGAACGGAAGGTTGACTGAAGCTCTTGCTGGCCAATGAGCTCGTTGCGAAGACGGTCAATGTGCTGGTCACGCTCAGAGAGCTTGTTCTTCTCGGCGGCGAGTCTGTTGATGGCGGTGGTGAGCTCAATTGAGATGGCGCGGACCTTCTCCTTGTGCTCCACAAGTTCACCATCGTGTTTGTAGTTGTCTTGCTGCTTGGTCTCGAGCTCGTAGGTGACCTCTTCGATCTGCTCACGGAGCTCCTCACGCTCGGCAGCAAAGTTGCGACGCTCAGCGGCCATCTGCGACCAAAGCTCCTTCAATGAGATGGCTTCCTTAGAAGCATTGGCGACCATGTCTAGGAAAGCAAAGAACTTGGCCTCAGCATGGCCAGTGTTCTCGATGGCCAACGAGTTGCGGAAAGACGAAGATGCCAACGAACCACGACGACGGGATGCACTCGAGGTTGAGCGACGCATAGCACGGTATGATGCCGAAGAGCCAGAAGCGGATCTGGAGGAGTGGTCTCCGCCAACGTTTGAGTACATGGACTGAGATCTGCTGAGCACAGCATCGACGGGGAGGGCAGCGCGGAGCTTGTCCATGCTGAAGCTGCTCTCGACGGGGGAGTCTTGCTTGGCTTCGACTTGAGGTTGTTCCATGGTGAAATGTGATGAATTTGAAAGTGTAGATGATATGAAATTGAAAGAAGGAGCAAGACTGGACCGATTATATACCTTGAATCTGCGACGAAGCTACATCAGTGCCCTTGTAAAGAAAGTCTCATTGACGTCGTTGCTCGCAGAGTCATCCCAGAGTTGCTTGACAAATTCGACTAGATGTAGAAACGTAGATCTGCGGTGGGTCTTCTCTGCAATACCAGCTCCAAACCGTAAGCGTGGGAACTGATGCGTAGATCTTGTCTCTCTGCAGAGTGTGTTGAATACCTCTAGTGGTTGACAACGTAGCTGGGGCTGGCGTATTCGTACGAACCATGTAGAAGTGACATAGTGACATCAGGGTCGGAGTTGTCTTGCTAGCTCCATGATCCCGAGCTTCTTCAAGATACAGAAACATTGGCGAGCTCAGAACCTGCTTGATAACAAAATCCCACAGCTCTCTCACTGCCTTGGGGCTGTGATTGGCAATACTTGATCTCAACGAGGTCCAAATCGAGCTTCTGAAGATTGTCGCCTATCAAGATGGTGCTTGAGCACAGTATCGAGAACCTGCATCGGCATGCACTTCCCCACGCTCCATGTACGCATTCTACGCGTGCTCGAGCATCAGCCTATTCGAACAAGACCCAATTGAGCGATAGTGGGGTGTCTTGTAGAAGGTGCAGATCAGCATGAGCCTCTTTGGGAAAATGTGGGGTAACGTGCATGAAAGATTGGTAGATCGGGCCGTGCGGACCAGCCCGATCCTGTTTAGTGCTGATCAAAAGCAACGTGCCAACCTGCTGTATCCACCTGTTGACATCAGGTTGCAGGTATCCATCTGTAGTAGCTGCGCAATAGCGTGGTCGCCATCTCGCAACGTCTTCGATTCGTACTCTGCATGCATGCACGCTACGTTCCTGGCCATTTCGTAGATCATGTCGAACGTTCGCATATGCGAATTGATCAAGTCGTGACTCGAGGTTGACCTGTTCGTAGCGCGATCGTCCAATACCATTGTTTAACGGGCCTATCGCCTAGGTTGGCTCCGAATTTTGGGTGAACACGCTTGGTCTCCGTTCGTTTTCAGTCCAGAAATGTTCGGCTCGATCCTCGTGGAATAAGCATAAATTCTGAGCGGGTGTGATACCGGGTTATCAAAACGTAGATCAATGTCTTCCACTCCTTCGTCATCCCATCATTCTGGCTCGGTAATCTCCTTGAACAGCGATCACGACTGAAATGTTCTTTCCATACCCCTGCCATATGAATGAGGGGTAAAGTAAAAGACTTGGTGTAGATCGCTTATGGTCCTGCAGGCATGAGCTCAATCGAAGGATCGAGTGTTCCTTACTGTCGTTCGGAATCAAAGTAAAATAGCGCAGAAATCGATTGCGATTGGTTCCTCCGTGGAATTCGGCCGTAATCAATTGCAAGCTCATCATAAGAGTCTTGTCACCTATCCAAATGTCTCGATGTGTTAATGCCGGTGGATCAAATGGTGACGATCACCTGTACGCTGAGCTATGGACGTTGCTGTTCTCTCAGCGAGCTTCGTATGACATTGTTACATCGAAGGATTTCCTGACTCAGGCATTTCCATCCCACGATAGTGTAGTTCGATCTGCAAGAAGTCCGTAGAAGTTGAGCAGAAGTACGAAAATCATTATCACGACAGCTACGAGACATAGACTGGACCTGGCAAGTCCATGTACAGCAATGACATAATTAATGTCGTCTCTTGATAGCTGGTGACCGAGAATGTGAGCGTTCGCTTTGACACATCTCATTGACGTCCCTTCTGCATGAGCCAGTGATATTTGAAGTATGCTGAGAGAATTTGCAAGGTTGGTCTGGTTGCTAAATCCGGAGTCTGCTCGCTCAGAGTACAAACAGATGGAAGACTTCTGTCTTTGACCTGCACAGCTTAGCCTGCTGGCCCATGCAGACGTTACAGGACCAGCACCTTGTACCTGCTTGACAGGAGCTCCGCTTGTGAACAAGCCATGCCTACGGCCCGTCTTAGATTGGCTAGCCATGTGGCATGCTGCGGTAACATAAGGGACGATGGTGGAGAAGAACGAATTGAAAGAACTTGTCTCGTATGTAAGGCACAACTGTCTTCCGACGGTTACGTACCAATCATCTGAGACTCAGAAATTGGAGCACCATCCGCTGGCCAGTCCATCACGGGAGATCGTAAGGCATCGTCACCCTGTGTAGTAGGATTTCTGCAGTGCCGATGGGCTCCAGACCCTGTCCGTGTTTGCAGTATCCCCTAGTCCTCGTGGAAGCTTTCGGCAGAGTGGTATCAGATCGGTGGTCGCTGGAGGTTGCATGTGCCTCTCGGTACGTTTCTACGAGGAGTCTGTGGAGATAGAGAGAGAGGCAAGCAGAAAGAAAGCCAGGCCTTCGTGAAACCAACCCAAATAGCCTTCAAGCTCGTGTTTTGACAAGAGATGAAGAGGCAGCTACGTGGTAGGCCTGATCTCCAGATCAGGTATCCCGATAGCTGCCGTGGAAAGTCGAATGGATTTGCCGATATAAGACAATGCTCTTGTCAGGACGTGTCACCACAGCTTTGTTTACGACACAAGTGTCGTAGGGTTCTGATGAGTCCATACCATCGCCGCGTCACGATGGTCGACGGCCTCCAGACGATACGTATGCATAGCTCAACAAGCCTTCATCTCTGCCTGACCAGATCTATGTTGCATGCATGGGCTGATCTGAACATCTTCGTGATGAAGAACTGATGACCTTGAGGAGCGAGTGGTGCTGAGCTTGACGGAGAAGCTGAATCCGCAGCTGAAGTGTCTGGTTTCTGGCGTTTCTGGAGCCCGTGCGCGCGACCAAGACTTTTGGCCACACCAAGAAACCAGATTGTTATGGCATAACAATGGCATTGAAGACTTGACAGCATGACTTTGTTTGAGACTTTGATAGAGAACCATATGCTTAAAGGCATATACGGTACGATCTGTATCTCTCTGGCCTTACCAACATGTTGCTGAAAATTTGGCGCATGATATACACTCCCGCGATATCGTCAACCAGATTTTGTCAAATCCTGGTGGCCTTTCTACAAATCATGGTTGATATTTCGAAATTGAGCCATAGAATCCTTTCTGGTTCATCTGAGATCAAGCTAATATTACGACGTCTCCATATGTATCATAATACTCTGATAAGCACATATATCTGGACCCAGATCCACTAATGCGGCCGTTATGTCATTGTCGACCTGTAAATTGCTTGTAAGGGAAGGCACCCTGTCAGACAAATCACCCGAAATTTCCCCGCATTTCGTCATTGAGTTTCCTGCGAAATTAGGAATCCTCACGTTAACATGAAATGTTCTCTCAAGACATGGACATTGGAATAGCAATGGTATTGTAGAAGGCCGGTGTCGACCACACACTAGAAAAGACGACGAGTAACTTCCTTGATCTACTCTCGCGCCTGCGCATATCGGATACTGCTGTCGCCTCTGCGTATCGGATCTCTGCGCAAGTTGCAACTCCATTCAGCGATCGCATCGCTGAACAACGTATTTTAGTCTAATGTCTTCCTAAACCTGCCTGGCTGTGAGACGCAATTCATGAGTATTCGATATCTAGGTCTGAAGTTTGCGATTACAGGTGCTTTGAGGATGACATGGACACTTTCATTCGGCTTTTTGACCACTAATTGATCCTCACTGCGACGACTCTGTGAGCCTTACTTGCTGTTCTCTTCTTTGTTCATGGTTTGACCTTGGCCTGTCTGGTTGTGTCCCAGTTTGACCCTTAAAAAAGCCACGGCATGCTTGCACTTCATTCCGCGATTGATCACTTTCACACGCGCCGAGCTTGAAACAGATAAACACGACCTGCAGCTTCCCGAACTTCTCCTGTTTGCACCGCACCTGCCATTTCATCTCGCCAGGTGGACTTGATCTCCTTCCTTCCACCTTTACTTTTCTTCCAACTCACCGTGATCCGGAAAATCAAAACGTGATGCTTTCAACAACTTCAAGCGCCGATGGTGGCCGAACCCTGGACACTCTGCCTACTGAGGTCAAGAATGAGATCTTCCGCCAGAACCTCACTCAGGCCGAGCTCCGCGAGCGTCAGATCAGACTGTTGGATCCCATCTCCAAGCTTGTCAATCATGGACAGAACGTCAAGATACTTGGTGCCGAACCTGATCTTGTGTCCAGCACGGTCAGAGCCATGACCCCACGCCTATTCTCGCTCGATGCCGACGGCTGGGATCTTTACTACCTTATCAAGGCCGAGAAGCAGTACTTGGATCAGATACCCAACCATCAAACACCGAAGCAACTTGGACTGAGCAACGCCTACCAGTATATCGCCGGCCTTGGATGGCTCTTCCCTGACAACAACGAATCACCCTCGACAGCCTTCGTCTTCAAGGCTGACTCCCCCAGCTTCAACGCAGAGGGCGTGCCCTTGGCGTACTGGTCCATGGAGAACGGACAACACGACCAAGACACTTCCTGTTGGCAATACAACGTACAACTCCTCAGTCTTGACTGCACACTCACCATGGCAAAGATGGCTTTGGACATGAAGATGCTGAACTCTTGCAAGTTCTTCATCTACTTCTGCAACATGATTCTGAACACAAGCTATTTCGCCTTTCCCGACCAGATCCAATCGGCCGTGTGTCATTACGACTGCTTCCTCTCGCTTTGGCAATCGGGTCTCCAGAAACATCCTAGTGTATACACTGATGTCATGCTTACCCTGGATAACATCGTGTTGCAAGGCGCCGCCAATGGGTTTGAGGACGAGTATGTCCGTCAGGACAGGGACCGAGTTGCCCGCATTGTTTCGGTAAGTCTTTCATGCTTCATTTATCGTCACCAACACATCCGCTGATTTAGTTATTTAGAGGGAAATCAAGATCTCTAAAAACGACAAACACAACTTCCCCGGTCTCCATCGTCGCCAGCGTATCTGGAACACGCAGGTTGACCTACACCGTTCCGAAGGTTCCAGTTCGATGTCACCGTCCCCTTCTCTGTCTGCTAGCCTGGTTGCCTCCATTACCCGTATGGCCGACAAACGCATAACCGCTCAGGAAGATTTGGACGATGACGAGGATGAGGATGAGGATGAGGATGAAGACGAGGGTGACAATGAGGCTGAGCACAGCGATGATGGTGATTTGGATGAACTTGAGGGCAGCGATAAGGATGGCTCAGACGATGTCGAGGACAGCGACGAGCATGATGACAGTGAGGATGATCACATTTTCATTGGTGTCTTTAACCCTCGTCATTCTCGCGGAGAGAGCACCCTTTCATTCCGCACTGAGTCAAGATCAGATGGGATGGGAATCAACATCGTGCATACTTCAAACAGGCCTTGATTGGCCTCTGCTGTGGGCTTTATGTACTGTCTGTAGCGAATGAGTCGCCAGGAGAGTCTCAGGTAGTGAAGACGACTTTTGCTAGTGATCAAGCAAGGAGAAGTGGTACTTGGTGCTGATCTGATTGCGAATCCAATCCGATGACTTCTGGCCTTCAAGAAACGGATAACCCAGCCAATGTTGACGTCTCGAAACCAACCACGACAGCTGATATTCAGATCCTTGCAGCATGATCCTTTTCATTATTCTATTGCCAGCAGATCGCCCTCGATTAGGTTATACAAAGAGAGGCCTCGGATTCATAAATCTATCATAACTATCACAACTCGGCCGAATTTGTATAGCGTCTGATCGATGAGATAAGATTGACGCAACAACGGTGCAGATAACAGATCTTGTATAAAGTACTTTACCACTTCCATTAACCGATTAAAAAGATCGCATTACACGTACGTACTTAAACCAGACACTATCTTCGCCCCCTGTACAATCTCGCAAGGACTTTCCGACCTTCAAAATGAGTCTATTACCAGTCTGCTGCACGGCAGAATTCGATGCCAAGGCAAGTTCCCATCACCTCGCTCGTTCAGCCCGAAGAGCTGACCAAATCCTCTCAANNAAGTTTCTCAATCGATTCATCAATCTGAACATCAAAGAAAAAGAAGGTCTCGATCTCGATCTCACCATAGTCATAATCACCGACCTCAAANAAACATACACAGAAGTTTCAAAAGTGCCCATGGAAACCACTTGTTCACCAGCGCCTTTTCAAGGAAAAAGTGCAGAAGAGTGCTTTGAAACACTTCAAGGATTTGTGGGGTATACAGGATCTGAGATTATTGTGGAGTTTTTCGCTATATTGGATGAGAGATCAAAAGAAGATGATACGGTGTGGATTGTAAAGGCTTCCAAGGAAACGGGAAAGGTCAAGTTTGTACGTGGAGCCTTGAGAGAGACGGATATGTCACTTGTCAATCTTTGGGTTGGAAATCTAAACATTGAAGAGTGTAGCTACGAATTGGTAGGAAGTCAAAAGGCGACTTTACTCTAAACGAAGAAAAATGCTTACTATACATGTTGCTTTTGAAAGTCTTTACTCTAAACATATCATCGCTCTCCATAAGTTCCCTTCTATCCTCTAGTAAACAAAACCCAAAATCTACCAAGGCACAACACCATTATCAGAAACCATGACCGCATGCACATCCTTCTTTTCNCCTAAACAACTCTTCACAAGCTCCTTCGCACCATCCCTCGGATCCTTAAACCCAGAATTGCCATTAAGATTAGTAGCACAGTATCCAGGATCCGCTGCCGAGACCACAAAACCCTCTTTCTCGAGACTCAACGCATATCCCAGCATAATCATATTCAGCGCAGACTTGGTTGAGCGATACACTGGGTAGTTGTTTGCAGAGTATAGGGTATCGGGCTTGGATGCCAGCTCAAGNGAAGCAAGGCCAGAAGAGGTAAAGGCAAGGCGTTTGGCACTGCCTTTGCGGAGAAGAGGCAAGAATGCTTCGGTGACCACGGCGGCGCCAAAGACATTGGTTTCGTAGTGGGCGCGGTAAAGCTCACGGAGGCTGGGTCCACTGCCGTCGGTGGCGGATTCTTGGGCTTGGGCGATGCCGGCATTGTTGAGGAGGATGTCGAGTTTGCCGTACTTTTCCTCGACTTGCTTGACTGCTGCGTTGATGGAAGGGTCGGAGTTGACGTCAATCTCCAGAGGTGAGAAGTTGGAAGCAGAGACTTTGATAGAGGTGTCGGCGACAAGAGTCTCGATAGCTTTATTGGCCTTGTTGATATCGCGGCTGCCAATCAGGATGTGGTGGTTGCCGGTAGCGGCTATTTGTTGGGCGGCATAGTAACCCAGGCCTTGGTTTGCACCGGTGATGAGGATGAGAGTTTTAGAAGACATGATTCTAGGCTGGACTATGGAATTGATGGATGAACACTGTCAATTGGCTCTCTTGTACCTTTATATCATCTGGTCCGGACACAGTATGATGTTATAGCCGCGGGGTTTGTTTTCCGCCGTTATCTCCGCCAAGTCCGAGACGCATTGTTCATCAAGGTCCTTTGCACTTAGAGTGCCACCTCTTCATCCAGCCTTGTGCCTTCCTTCAGAGATTTCATGACCCACTCTACAGTAACAATGCGAGGTGGGCGGCTGCGGCTAGCTGTCTGGATCCTGAGATCCCTGGCTTGTTCCTCTCCCAAAACCACAACATGGGTGATCTTCTCGTCTTTCAATGAGCTGGTCAGACGTGCTCCCGCAAATAGAATGATCCGTTTAGCAGCTTCGAGAATTGCATCGTCGCCAGCAACGTACATACGCAAGCCACGGTACATGCAACCCGGTCCCTCCAAGATATCATCATCAAACAGCTCATCTATGATTTCGTCAGCGTCGTAATCGTCGTCCTCAAAGTCGGGCATGTCGAAAAGCAGTTTCTCGAGTTCTTCGATGTCAATGTCCCGAGAAAAGCTGTCACCATATTCATCAGTGTTGCCCTTGAAGCTATCTTTGTCTTCATCCTTGCTGAATAGAACATGTCGAGGCTCGAAAGGAAGCAATACATTGGGTCTCCCAACGTCAGCTTCGGCTTGCTTAATGCATTCAAGCAACCATTGTGGTTTGAAGATGTTGCGAGCACCGGCTTTCTTGATTGAAGCGACACGAATAGGATTGCCTTCGGCGATGCATATGGTTTCGATGTTAGTGTGAGTTGCAACAATATTGCCTCCATTAGCCTTGACCAGTTGCTCCAGCTCTGCTTTCGTCTTATTCAAGGGTTTGCCAGCACCGGTGATGATGTAGAAGCTCATTCCGTTGAACAGGGCAGTCTTAGGTCCGGCATATGGTGTCTTGATCTGTTCATCAGCACCGATAACCGTAAGCTCCTTCTTGCGAGCACGTTTGGCACGTCTTTTTCGTGCGTCATCAACCTTGAACTCTTTCTCCTTCTTCTCATGCTCTGCACGTGATTTTAGTGCATAGAACGTTTCCAAGGTGAGAGCTGTTTTCCAGTCTTTGTCTTTTCGGATGGCAGTGAAGCGCGGAAACCGTAAAGTGCATTCTGTGCGGTATCGCTTCTCGCCCATGATTACTGAGGCTGCTTTGATCTGCAGCACTATGGACTCACTGGGCTTGATCCAAACGTCAGGCATCTCGTATTGTAGACCAGCACCACCGAGTTCGATCCAGTCAGTTGGAGGATTGTTTCTGTCCCAGTCGTTCCACTTGTTGTCTGTCATGTGTCTGATCTCCGCATAGTCCTGAGCAGTCATTCCACCACCAACTTTGCAAAACGACCACATCAGCTCAGGATTGGGACTTCCCGGTGCATGGGGAGGTGCCAGACCACAGAGAAAGCTCGAAAGATTGCCTCCACGGTGACCAGAGCCATAGTAGCCTCCAATGACGACGCAGTCTAATGACTCACCAAATTCAGTCATGTACTCGGGTTTCACCTTCATCCAGTCGTTGTTGCGTTCGTTTAGACGGTATGCTGAGCGTGGGTTCTTCATGACCATACCTTCAGAAGCCTCTGCCACGACTTTGCGAAGCATCGGTTCGACTTCAGCAGCGGTAGTAGCCTCGCGATATTCGTGTATCTCGAGTCTACGGTATACATCNTTGACAGCAGAATCGAGCGCTTTCCTCCGATCACGTAGAGAGTATTTGGTAAGAACCTCGTCGTTCAAGTAGAGGCAATCAAAGACGCGAAACAGAGGGCGATGTTGCAGCGAGTTTGGATCTTCTTTGTGTGCTTTGGCGTGAGTCTTCAGAGAACCAAAACCCACGATTTTGTCCATTCTCATGTCCCATGAGATCATCTCACCGTCAAGAATGATACTGCGCACGTTATCATCAAATGCATCCCTGAGGTGACGAGTGAGTGCCGACTGCTCTTCACCGAAGCCTTTGCCATAGAGATCTGTGTAGTCTTTGGCTTTGCGCGACCAATAGTTGAAACGATAATTCCCCGGTATTGTTTCGTCGTAGACCATGTGCAGCTGCATCCTCTCGCCATCCAACTTCTCCTCGATCCAGAAGACAGGGTCTTCTTCGGTGCATTGCATGTTCGTGACCATCTTCTCCACCGTATGGGACTGAAATTGCGCGAGCTGGGGTTGGAAACACTGCATGATCTTGATGCCCTTGTCATTACCGTCCAGTCTGAGTTCAGGATCAACCAGTTCCCAACATACACGTCTTAGACTCGAAGAAACGTTGAAGAGGTTCTCAGCGTCTTTGTGCCATGCATCGAACAAGGTCTTTTCGGTAGCGCCCACTTTCATCTGACGAAGGATGATGCGAATCAACCACATCATTTCCTCACGGTTCATGTTGCTGTAGAACTTGCGGAAGATTGGTAGTTGTTCTTCTTCCTTATGTTTCGAAGACAGTTCATCAAGCATGTCGTTGACTTGTTCAATGGTGAGTTTGCCAGGACCGGAACGGCCTTCACGATCAGCCATGGTCTCATAACATCTGCCAGCAAAATCGCCAGCCATCTGACTGGTAGATTTGACACCAGGTAATTTCCAGTGGAGGAGATTGTAGCCAGCCTCGCTATTCTTGTCGATTTGTAGGGTCTTGAGCATTAGCTTGGCGATGGTAGCCTCTTTCAGACCGTACATTGGACGTTCGCGGTCCTTCTCGGGTACAATAAGACGGAAGAGAGGAAAGATGTCATTGCCAACTTCGGTACGCCATCGATTGATGAACCTCTCGATGATAGATTTGCGAGTTTCGTTAACATTTTGCTTGTGTGTACCGCGTCTTCTTGCAAGAGCAGGACCACCGCGACGTCTTTTGTTGTCATTGAGGGGGNNGTTGAAGAGGTCAAGATAGAGGTCCCGAAAAGGAAAAGTCGTTGAGTGATTGTGAGGACGATTGGGATACTTTTCATCAAGTTGTTCCTCGGTCATGATTTGAGGTCGCTGAGTCGCCTGATAGGTGTCATCCCAATCTCCTCCGTCGTTGTCAAAGTCATCTCGCTCGTGCATGTCGACATCTGAGGTGGGCATTCTGTGCTGTTGATGCGAAGCAAGTTGAGTGCTCCGCTCTGTTGTTTTGTAGCGACAGTGAAATGCAGCATCAAGGCAGCAACAAGATTGAGCAGCGCTGGGAGACGCGACGTGGTTGACGCGCAATCATGTGGTGTGGTTTGAGTGGTGGGTGAAGGAGGATGATCTGTTAGGCGGGCAGATGCAGCACAGCCCGATTACGAATGACCAGGGCAAGGACCTTTGGACGTGCCTTCCCTAAACAAAGAAAAGTCCACACATCGCACCTACCCTGCTCGACCGATGATATTCGTCAAAGAGACGCTCCTTCGCATGGCCAATGGGGAGCCCTAGGCAACCTCAACCTCTGCGTTCGAGTCCGAATGGTTCTCAAGCCTCGCGTGACGCCGCCCTCTCAGGCGCCAACCTGGCCTTCATCAAGTCTCTACCACCGCATGAGGCTCTGAAATATCTCAACAAGCGCTCTCCACCGCCTGCGCCGGCCGAGAGACGACAGCAAAATGTCCGAACGGCTTCCAATCACCCTGTCGCGCACCATGACGGTCCCGCCAGCAGCCGCACATCGCCGGACCACCTGAGGCTCCCCAAGAGACCATCGCACAAGACGACGCCCTCTGCATCGAGCCTGACCGCTACCATCGCTGCCGCTCGCTCCGCTGTCACTGTCAACAATGCGCCCGCCCAATTGCCGACCAAACCTCCTGTCCGCGTCGCCGGGAACCTGCCTCCTCCCGTCGCACCCAAGACAAAGTCGCCCGACAAGCTGGACCTGACTCCCATCCCGCCGACAACTTCGCTGGTCGAATTATTCGAGCGCAAGGAGACTCCGCCGCCGCCTGCCATCAAGTCTCCGAAACCGCTGCGCAAGACGCTTCTGTTGCGCAATCAGACTCTTGAGCCCATCACTACCCGTCTAGAAGCGCAGACTCATAATGAGAGTTCCGGTGACGAGGCATATGAATCTGCCAGGGACCACCTATCGCCAGACCAGCCATACAAGCCTGCTCTGCCGCCAGCTCGCCGTCTTGTCCAGCGTGCCGACAGCAAAGTCCAAGAGCCCACAGAACCCTCGATCCGTGTACAGCCACCTTCGCGCACCATATCCGAGAGGAACAAAAGTCGCTCTTCCCCTCGCCGCTCGCCCTCTCCCGATCCTTCGCATCTATCGACCTCTACCACTAAGCCTATTCCCATCACCCGAAACTACAGCCCCAACCACCTGACTCACCCCGGAAACCCCTCCATCGCTGCTGCCTATCACCAGCTTCATCCTCGCCGCATGACTCCCCTCAAGTCGGGCGACTCCCTAGCAAACGCCATTGTCGCTTCAAGTCTTGCCTCGTCCCGAGCCCCTTCGCCCACAAAAATACCTCCTTCACTGCCAGGCCGACGCACGTCTCACTCCAAACTCTTCACCCGTACTCCTAGTCCCAAGAAAGGCATGCGCCACACGATGCGCAAGCCTTCCTCCGAATCCGACAGCGACCAAGACGAGGATCCCTACTCCAAGCATAAGAAAAAGAGGTGGGTAAAGAAACATCCCAACAAGCACCACGAGGGCGATAGAAAACGCTGGCGAGACACGGTCACTCAAACTGAGCGGAAACGCTACGAAGGCCTCTGGGCAGCCAACAAAGGCATTTGCGTCGAGTACACTGCTTCAGAGCTAGCCGTACTTGCTGCACACCCCGAGTCCAAGGAGAGCGATAGGATCAGAGTTGAAGTCGGAGATCAGGTTGCAGATATCGTGGCAAGAGACATCTGGCTACGGAGTCGATTACCTCCCCATGAGTTGGAGTTGATCTGGGACCTGGTCGACAATCAACGATGCGGAAGGCTTCACCGGGACGAGTTCGTCATCGGACTGTGGTTGATCGACCAAAGACTGAAGGGTCGAAAGATCCCTGTGAAGGTCACCGACAGTGTATGGAACAGCGTCAGACTACTTTCTGGCATCAAGCTGAGAAAAGGGTGATCTTCTACTTCTGTATATTCCTCTCGGATTTGGCTACATTTCTTGTTTGGCTTGGTTCTTTGGTTCCTTTTTCATGACTAGCGAAAGCGCAGATACCCTATCACCGACGTTCTGAGACATTTCATTCTTAAATGTCTACAATGATTCTATCATAGGAGGTCGCTCCTCGATTGTGAATACCCAATATGGCTCTCGAAGAGCTCAGGCTACAAGCTGTTCTGTGCCTCCCTCAAGATCAAGATGGCGATACTCAATATTCTGACATGTGACAGTGCCAAGCCAAGGAAGTGCAATCTTCCTTTCTTGCTGTCCTACGTCCAACAACCCTTCACTCATCTGGTGAATGATCAACTTCCTGACGTATATCTCGCTGCTCTTACCATGTACGGTACTGCACATCTTTCCGCCGATGTTGATATGAATCAACTCTCGTCACGCTTTCCGAAGCTAAGGCTCGTAAGATCAGAGTCATATTCTCAGCATACCAATCGAAGCTGCTCAAATTGACTCAAGACGTGGTCACAAGCTACAATGAGTCAACCAAGTCAGTATGAGTACGAGTGAACACCTGTCATCAGAGATGCCTAAGCCCGTTGTCCTCTAAACCCATGGTCAAAGATCTCTGCCCGAAGATATGACCGCAACTCATCCTCCGACCATGGACTTGGTATCAGCCGCCATGACGGTAGAATCATCTCTCTTGCTTTCGATGCCTACAGAACTAGTTGAAAGAATCGTCAGTCTTGCAGATGACGCATGTCCCGACGAGTTTCCACTCTCCAAGCTTCGCCTTACTTGCAGAAAGATACACGACCAAGTCAGCCCATTGTTTGCAAGACGATACCTATCAGAACCGTTCATCATGATGTCTCGCTACAGCCTCGATGCCCTGGTGCACATATGTCAACATCCTATTCTCGGGCCCAGAGTTCGTAAAGTTCGTCTCCACTCTTATACAGATATGCGTCGACTGCAAAGGATTGTGCAATTTATGTGCGAGAAGCTATCGATGGAATCCGGATCTCTGTATTCGATCGACAATTCGTCCGAAGCAGAAATCAACAAGGCTGTGGCCAGTTTCGTGCTGGAGAATTTCCATCTTCGGTCGTTGGGGCTAGCCACGAAGCTTTTGAGTACTGCTTTCAAGTCGCTATCAAGATATACAAGACCGATTGTCCTTTGTTCTGAGATGCTTGTCCCGCAAAAAAATCGCCGGCAAAAGAGTTCAACCTGTTTTCTTGCGAATACCTGCCAGCAGTAATCGCTCTCGACCCATCGGCTTCAATGGCAAGAACACTGATGCTTTGCGAGAGGTACTGAACATTGCAGACTGGATCAACGATGGTCGCGGAACCGCGCTTCACGATCTTGATTCTGCGGCCGGCGGCAGACTACCACTGTAAGCTTAGCTTCCTGGACATTGTCCATTACCTTGCGCTGACCATACATTCTGCAGACCTGACTCAGCCATGGCCTCGCACTCGGGCCTTCTAGCATGCTCTTATGAGGTGCTGAACATCATCTTCGGTGAACCGAGCTTGAGCAAGAAAGACCTTGAATCTCTTCGTCTCACTTGCAAGGAGGTCCACTCCACTGCGACTAGAGAGTTCGCAAAGCGCTATCTCGCCGAGCCATTCGTCGTCTTGTCACGAGACAGTCTACAATCACTAGTCGACATCTGTGGAGCATCCGATCTTCGGTCCTCAGATCCGATCTATCGGCTTCTTGGCCACCACTCTGCATATCGAAAACTTGAAGAAACTCACGACGTATGTGAATGGACGGCACACTCGTACGCTAGGTAGTCAGCTCGCTATTATCAGCGAGTGCATGAAACTCTGCCAGCAACAGATTGAGCTGCAAATTTCGGGAGAGGCGAAAAGACTCCTTGTCCGCGCCATGACAGCAATCCGCCGTCCCTACACAATCAAAGTTACAAACGACCCAGAGTCTATAGACCTGGCCGAAGTGATCCGTCTCCCTCGCATTACGTATCATCACGATTTTGAGACTGGGAAACGTCTGTACAATATTCGCGAGATGGATTTGAAGATGAGAAGCCTGCTTAGATTGGTACAGGAGGCTGTTGCTGGAGTGGACTCTGGCGCTTCTCTTGGTGGTCTCGGAATCACCATGCGACGTCGCTCGTTTATACAAATGCCGTCCGATGGCAACCGAGATTTTGTCTACAGTCTGCAAAACATCAACGGTGTTTATTCAGGCCTCAAGATTTTCCAAATCGATATCGATGCCCATTTCTTACGTGTACAAGAGACTTTCGTTTCCTTGGTCCACCTGTTCAGAGCCATGCCCGATTTGCAAGACCTTACTTTGATGACGGGCAGCACAGGCAAGAACGCTATCAGCTCAAGCTCACTGGATTTTGTTACCAAGATCTTCAAGATAACCACTCAATCTGGTCTTCGGGTCTTGTGTCTTGAAGACGTGGCCTGTTCATTGGAGTCCCTTTTGTTCCTCCTCAAGAGACACAAGAAGACTCTGGTAAGCGTCAAGCTCGTGAGGCTTGCGCTAATCGGCTCTTAGCGACACTGCTTGTCATGGATACGCAAAGAACTCGACCTGGTAGACTTCCATCTGGAGCAGGTATACAGCGTCAACCTTGGCAAACTAACGAGCAACGGTGGGTACATGTCTAGAGCGCAAAAGATCTCCACCACCTCACCCAAAGGCAAAGAAAATACCCGCGCCGGGCTCGACAGTCTTCTCCTTTTGAATCTTTGACATGGGGCAATAAACATGATCTTGCTCAGATTGTTGCAATAAGTCGTGGAGGATAGAGAGCATGCAGTGGCAAGAAGAGTTCAGGAGCACAAAAGACTCAATTGACGGGATGTGTTTCTTCGCAACCAATCAACAGCCATCGACAAAGCTGTCGAAGCAGAAGAATGCAAGCGGTCAAGCAAGAACGGAGCAGGGATTGGGACACGGATGGAAAAATCTTTGAAGATCATGATGGACGAAAGCAAACACTCGGGTTTCATTACAGATGAGAAAAGCAGAGACTTACTCCGTGGTATAGTTCCAGATCCAGAAAGGGGGCATGATCTCGGCGCGTGATGCAACGCGAGCCCAACAAAAGAAGTTCTGTATACTAGGCCACTTAGGCAGCAATCGAATTCTCATACCAGTTGACAAACATCTTTTCAATGGAAAAAGGTAAAGAAACCAAAGCCGTACCCCAAAGTTTTCTTGAAACTTCTGCGAAGCGTGTCAGTGTTGGAGCGTTTGTCTCAGACACTCTTTCCTGCTTCGTGTGAAAGTAAGTGGAGAGTGTTTGCAACTCGTTCTTTTCCAACTCGAAGACGAGCCATGTTGACTGTTTGTTCATACCTGCGCCGTCGTGTCTTTGGTCTTTTCTCTTTCTTCACCCCCAAATCTGCTCACTCTCATCGAACTTCCATTGTTCATCGTTGAATTCCATCGCCGCCATTGTCTAGATTAGCACCTGGTGGATTCGCTATCTCATTCGGAGTCTGGAGCTTTCCGTCATCTGCCATCACCGTCCGTCTCTTACTGTCTCATCCGAGGATTGAGATCTCCCGACATTCATCATCGCCTTGGGCCTTTCGATGATCGTATTTAAGTCGCAATCGCCCTGTCCCTGAGCTTCTTTATTTCGTGAACTTGCCGCCATTGACTTCCGGAGCTTGCATTCAGATATGTGCATCATGTAAGTCCTCCGTCGACTTGGTTTCTCGTGGCAGATACTGACTAATAGCGGTGCTCGTCCTGCAGTCCAGGTCATACCTTCGCAGAGCTGCGACCTTCAGCTCTATGGGTACTCCTCCCTTGACCATGTGAGTGTTTCGTTCTTCCCTCCACATTTACCTGTTGGCTCAAATTAACCATGGACATGTCGCCAGCGAACAACCAGTGTTGACCCTCTCGATGGTGAGAGTCAATGGCCTACGCTTGCTCTCGCTGCCCAACGAAGTCCTGGCCATGATCTGCACGAACACCAATCTGTCGTCCAGCGATCTATCTGCTATGCGATTTGCCAACAAAGAGCTCATGCCATCGCTTCGAAAGAGTTCGCTCAGAGATACTCCCAGGACCTATTCGTCATGATATCGAAAGCGAGCCTCGATGCGCTGGTGGATATCTGCAAACATCCTGTCTTCGGACCACAAGTCCAGAAGGTTCAACTCCTCAATAACTTCTTTAATCCAGGAGCCTTGAGATACTTCGCCTCAGAGATGGCCGAAGCATACTGCAGCACAGACGCAGAGAGATCATGTACAACAAGAAGAGAGATGGAACGAGTGACGAATCTAGTCGCTGAACAATATGACTTCATGGAGCGTGGTACTGACCTTCAACCCTTAAGGAAAAAGCCTTTGAGACTCTCAGTGTGCAAGGAAGATCAATTGAAAATGCCTTCGCAGATGTTCGGCCTGACTTATCACTCAATAGGCTCGTCAAAAATCAGTAGAGATTTTCACAACGGGCAAATTTCTATGGCTCTGTGAAAGCCGGAAGTGCTGTCAACAACAAGAGTCTTGCTCGAAGCAGCGCAGGCTGGCAAACGTACTGTAACCAAGCTTGTGGTTAGGGTAGACAATTACCCATATACTGATGACGGCCGCTCTGGCCGACCGAGCTTGGACAGGTCACTTCTGCTCGACCTACAGGAAGTCAACTTTCGGTTCCAGTGGCGGAACTCATATGGATAACACAATGGCTCCGCGTACTTTCGTCTCGGCTCTTTGCTTCGCATCGTTCAGAGAAATCTCAAAACCTTTGCGTTGTACAGGGTCTCGTTGAGTTCATCGAGCTACAAGAGGCGGAGAGAGAAGCAAGACAATCGAGCAGAGGAGGCAGGGATGCGAGCACAGGAGGCGGAGGGAAGAGTAAGAGCAAAAGAGGGTGAAGATCGAGCCAAGACCAAGAAACAAGCAGAGGAGGCCGAGTCGCGAGAGCAAGAGTCGAAGGAGTTGCGAAAGTCCGTGGAGAAAAGGGATCCATTACGTCGCTCAGCGCGCATCGCTGGCAAGAAAGGTCCGGAGATTCAAATGTGATCAGGGGGTCGAACTAACTTTAGAGTGACAAACATGACATGGGGATTTTCAGTCCTGAGTACCGTCTCAGCACGGAGCGAAGGCTGGTTTGGCTGGCAAAGCAAGTCAGCCGGAGTACAATAACAAAAGCTTCGAGATGTCCCTTTACTAGCACCTTCAGAACGCTCGTGACTGAGCTCTTTGTTATCGATAGCATCATCAGCATCCTTGATTGTCCTGTATGCCGACTGAACTTCGAGTCATGTGGTCTGTGATGGCGTTTCTGGGGCATCTGAACCCAAATCTATATCTGAATGTTGATGACCAGCTCATCATGACAGTGTCTGTTGTGCCTATCTTTCGGACTTAAGATATTCGAGTCGCGAGATGGAGGTGGTGTCTAACATCAATGTATCAGGAGTTGCATCTAGAGAATAGAAAGCTCTAACCGCTTTCACCTTGACCTGGTTGCTGTGACTGCCTATCTTGTGATGATGTGTGGTACTGCGTGCAAATCGAGATGTGGCCAGTGCGGAAGAGTTTTGCGTTTGATGGAAGGGTAAGTGTGTTCGTGAAAGGATTATTGTAAGAATGTGACATGCTTCCAAGTCGTTCTTACCTATTGAGTCGGAGGAGAGTTGTTTGCGTCCCCGTCACTGGCTTTTCGCTTTCTTCCTTTCACTCATGCTCGTTGAGCCAGTAGTGTCTTTCTGGACTGAACGCTGGTCCTTCTCCGCATTTACTTCCGTCGTCATTTTGCTGATTAAAGCATACTTCCATCACGTCCTCTCCACCACTCGAGTTTTATCCTTGCAAAAGCTATCGTCGCATTCTTGTGCAATCATGTAAGCCGGCCACCGCACTCTTCTTCGATGTCCCTTACTAACCATTTCTGCCTCAATAGGACATCTCCGACTTCAATGCCGCCCGCAGGCCTGAATCTGACCTCACTGCCGAATGAGATCTTGGCTATGATCTGTGCCGATCTCTCAGCAAAAGATCTGGCCGCTGTTCGACTCAGATGCAAAGAAGCCAATCCCGCCGCCACGACTGAATTCGCCATACGGTATTTCCAGAAGCCATTTGTTATGATGTCAAAGAGAGCTTGGAGGCACTGGTCGAGATCTGTAAACACCCTATTTACGGACCACAAGTGCGCAAGATTCAACTGCTTAGCGCGAGATCGTCTGCACATTGTCTGCGACCTTGGAACCTGAAAATCGCAAGAGCAATCAATAAGAGCGATACTGCGACAGTCAAGCACTTAAATTGCTAGATGCAATGCTTAGTGGACAAGATCGTGGAACAACTTGATTTCGAAGCGTCTTCAAGCTCGCACAGGGTCATGCAGCAAGCTTTCGAAGCTCTCGAACGCTGCCAGACGCCTGTTACCATTGCTGTCCGGGGCTGCCGACACCATACTCGCCGATTGGATTCACCAAGACCTCCAAGGACTTCGCAGCGCAGCCACACGAGATCCTACGTAATTCCGACATCTTGTCGTCGGTGGGATTTATGCTGAAAGCTGCTTCACTGACCAAGTGTGTGGTCAGAAGAATCGAGATCAGCCTGGATGGACTCAAGCAATGGCAGNTGTGGTATCCTTAGTAACCGAACTGTGCGTAAAGGTTTCGACGCCAGCACAGATCGCTTCTCATGCTTCTTGAAGAGCTTCACCTCAACTTCTCATGGCAAAAGGCGATCAGAGATTCGGATTGTCTGGCTGCTGATGCACTGAAGTCTATCGTCCGGCTCATCCCCAGAAGTCTCGTGAACTTCACGCTAAGTTCGGACTGTGACCCGTACCGCATCAATAGACTCGTCTTGTATCAGATCGATCCGTTCGGCTAATACAACGCCCTGAAGGACATCTGGTTACACAAACTTCTGTTGCGAGAAGAACAGCTGCTTGACTTCCTCAGACTGAACCAGGCGTCTTTGAGGCGCTTGACTCTCGTGGAGTCGACCATCATTGGAGACTGGGACCAGATACTACGCTGGGTTTCCACGAATTTGACTCTTGGTCAATTCGCTCTTAAACGGGGTCACAAGGTCCAAGACAATGCGTCCATTCACGAAGACAGCAATCGCCCAGCAAAGCGATGGTACTCTACCAGCTGCGAATTCCATGACAAGCGAGAGATCTGTCGTGGGTTAGACCTGTTTGTCGAGAGACAAGGCGAGGAAAGGGAAGCACACCGCACGGCGCGTCTTGCTCAGGGGTAGGTCGTCGAAGTGCAAGAGCACGAGAATGAGTCCCAACAGGGAAATGAGAATGGCGGTCATATCTCTCAGGCTGTGGACGAACAAACATCTTGCTGAGAAGAGAAGTCAGCACTGTACAATATGATATCATCACAATCTTCTTTTCCTCTACAGACCGCATGCGCTCCTGGTCACATACCCCACCCACCACTCTCATCAATCTTCGTCAAACTGGAAGTGTAGTCAGCCGCCAAGTCAATAAGGCTTGACAAGGAACATGACTTTCATCCACTGTGAACGTTTGTGAGCCGCGGCGCCCCGCGCTCACCCGCAAGCAAACGCCTCCATAAGTCTTGCCTAAACAACAAGAGTCGAGGCACCAAAGCTTATGACCGTAACCACCTCTTCAGTCCATGAGTGCACGTATTTGTTTCTAGCGACGCGATTCCGATCGAAAGTGCATATGGAGGTGTTCGGAAGCGGACAAAGCAACTGCCGCAAAGGAGAGGAGGTGGAAATAAACTTCTAGCCACTTTGTTGCTGCGAGGCTCATGTGATGCTGGTGTTCGGTGTTCTCGCCGTACCCCACGCCGAGGAGCCCGGGGCATTTGCGGCGGAGGTTATGGTTATTGGTCGTTGGAAAGTCTGCTTGGCTGATTCGGGTGAGTTTTGTTTCGGGTTGTCGCGTCGGGTTTCCCACGCAGCAGGAGCACGAGTATGAGGATATTCGGAGTGCCTGAAGTGCTTGCAGTTTGATCACTCGTCGACAGCCAGGCCAGGATGCTTGATACGTATCAGAGTCGCCGAAGATACAACGACAGTCGGCATGGCCGCAAGGGCGACAGTCGCCCCTTCCGAAAGCAAGCAAACGGTCTTGGAACGAGGAGGTGTTTGTCGCGCTAGCTCCTCGTGCAACCCCGCGTAACTCTACCCCAGATCAACCCAGTGCGGGGGACTTATGCACTCGCAACGGTTTTCTGTAGCTAGTGGCTTGGGTCCAGGTCTGGGCAGAAAGCCATGGCCACGTTGAGGGTTGCATATATAAATGCTGGGGAGACATCGTCTTTTGCAGATCGTCGCTAGACATCAGCAGTCTTCTTACTACCCTTTTCTTTCGCCTATCATGGTGACGCACGCCCATCAGAACATCTTGGACGAGAAGGCCTACAGCAAGCATGAGGAATTCGCGGAGGGCATGCCCGACGAGGCCAACGTGTTGACCCCTGAGGAGCTCGAGATTGAGAAGAAGTTGCGTCGAAAGATCGATCTCTTGATCATGCCTCTGGTGGTTCTGGTGTATTTGATGAACTATATCGATCGGTGAGCAATGTTCCGACTCTCTTTTTTGACCTAAGGACTTACGATGCAATAGCNNAACAACTATGCAGCCGCTCGTCTGCAAGGTCTCGAGANNAAAGACCTGGGTCTGGTAGGCGACCAGTATCAGATCGGTCTCTCGCTTTTCTTCGTCTCGTACATTCTGGCTCAACTTCCAGTAAGTTCCGAGCTTGCCGTCAAAACACACTTGTGGACAACCCAAGCTAACCCACTGATTAGTNCAAATCTATTGCTCAACTACTGCGGCCGTCCTTCCTGGTACCTGGGCTTCTTCATCATGGCTTGGGGTTTGGTATCGGCGGTCACCAGTCAAGTCTCGAGCTTTGCTGGTATCCTCGTTTGTCGTGTTGTTCTGGGTTTCACCGAAGCGCCCTTCTTCCCTGGGTGAGTCTGAATATGCTCACAAGCACCCGCATAAGCAAGACTAACACACCACAGTATCCTCTTCTATCTCTCCAAGTGGTACACCAAGAAAGAATTGAACCTGAGAATGTCCTTGTTCTATGCTGGTTCCCTGCTCAGCGGTGCGTTCGGTAGTTTGATCGCAGCTGGCATTCTGAGAGGACTCGATGGACACAACGGTCTCGGCGCGTGGCAGTGGTGAGTCGTTCGGAGAAATCAAGCGCAAGAATCCGCAGCTGACAGCATGCCCAGGTTGTACATTATCGAAGGCGTAATCACCATCGGTGTCGGCGCGATTGTCGTTCTCGTTCTCCCCGATTTCCCCGAAACCTGGAAAGCCTTGTCTCCCGAGATGAGGCATGTCGCCACAAAGCGCCTCACCCTTGATGCCACTGAGGCCGATCAGGATGAAGAAGGCGGCATGTCGCAGCTGAAGGGTATGAAGTTGGCCGTCGCGGATCCCAAGACATGGCTCCTTGCTCTGATGTACTTGGGCGTCACTGGCGCTGCCGGTTTCCAGAACTTCTTCCCCACACTCACGAAATCTCTTGGTTACGGCCCCTTCGTCTCCTTGCTGTTGGTCGCACCACCATACATCTTCATGGTCTTCTGGTCGCTGTTGCACTCCTGGGCGTCAGACAAGATCTCGAACCGCTTCTGGTTTTTCGTCTACCCAATTCCCTTGGCGATCATCGGCATGGTCGTATTCATGACCACCAATGGATTTGGCCCTCGCTACTTCTCGTTCTTCTTGATGATGTTCGTCTTCACCATAAACGGAACAATCTACGCCTGGATCTCGAACGCGATCCCCAGACCCCCTGCCAAGCGCGCTGCTGCTCTGGCCATCATGAACGCACTCGGAAACTCGACTTCTGTCTGGACTTCATTCACCTACCGCCCTGGCGATAAGCCTTACTACCGTCTCGGTCTCGGCATTGCGGCTGGATTGTTGGTCATGTCGTTTGCGCTTGCTTGCGTTCTGCGATTCTACTTGCAGAGACAGAACAAAGCACTCGAGGAGTTAGAGAATGAAGGCACGAACCTCTCGCCGGAGCGCTTGAGCATGTTGATGAAGAGAGCTGAGATTCATGATCTGTCCGTGATGCAGAAGGGCTTCCGTTACCTAATTTGAGTGGAGGCGATATCTAACGACCAAGATGAAACATACGCGATCAGCATATTGCTGTCTTTCGACATTACATGTCTTTTCTGTTCTCGATCTGTCAGGCTGTGATGATATTGTTGTTAGTTTGTCTGCGAACAGGACTGAATTTCGAAGCAAGCTTTTGAAGCGAGCAGGAGCCACCACTGCTCGGGCAAAGATGCACCGATATTGCCGAAGAAACCCCGCAACGCCCCTTCCTTATCGTCTTGCGCATGACTGTTCCGACAGTCAATCAATATGTGATCAACTTTCATTGCAACAGCCATGGTTAGGATCAAGGTCTCGAGGCCATCCATCGAACAACACGTCGATGGTGATATCGACGTGACTTCACACGTTCATACTGGAAATCGCCAACCGCGACTCTCTTGGCGCTTCGATGCTGCTGATGATACATTGAAAGGTTGGCATCAAGCCCGTTACAGGATCAAAATTTCCGGATGGGGCCAACCTCATCCTGAGATATGTGTTGAGAGCTCCGATTCTGTCTTGGTACCTTGGCCTGGAAACCCGCTGTCTTTGGACAGCAGCTGCAGAGTCAAAGTTCGTGTTGAAGGTGAGGACGAGGACGGTAATATCGTAAATTCATTCTGGTCTGACGAAACTACCGTCGAGTTTGTGCCACCGCACGATTTACTCACTGCGCAATTTATTGGCTCGTTTGAACCCCGACCTCAGTCTGAGATACAGCTGCCACAGCGGCCTCTCCGCTTCCGAAAATCCTTCAACGTGCCGGAGTATGATGGTCTCGTGGATAAGNGGAAATTGTACATTACCGCGTATGGCGTATACCAGGTCTTTATCAACGGTGAACGAGTTGGGAATGATGAAATGGCACCTGGCTGGACTAGCTATACGCATCGTCACCTTTACCAAACGTATGACATCCGAAAGCTCTTGAGACCGGGAGGCAACGCTATCGGTGTTGAAGTAGCTGAAGGATGGTATACTGGTCGACTTGGCTGGGCTGGACAACGTCAGTTCTATGGCAAAGACCTTGGAATATTTGCTCAGCTTGAAGTAGTCGCGACAGAGAGGCAAGGTGCTGTCACGATCGCAACAGATGATACATGGGAGTGTGGTCTTGGTCCCCTCATCTCCAGTCAGATATATGATGGCGAATTCTACGACGCCAGAGAAGAACAAATTGGCTGGAATAATGACAGCGAGTTTCAGGGAATAGGCTGGACGGCCACAAAGGTGCTACCATTCACCGGAGGCAAGTTACTTCCATCTGGAGTCCCTCCTGTCAGGGTGACTGAGCGCATCAGACCTACACGGATCTTCAACAGCAAATCTGGCAGGACCTTGATTGACTTTGGTCAGAACATCGTTGGCAAACCGTTTGTCAAACATCTTCAGAAACCAGTGGATCACGTTACAGTCTTTCGACATGCTGAGGTGATTGAAGATGACGAGCTCGGGGTACGACCTCTTCGAAGTGCTGTGGCTACGGATACTATCATTTCGAGTGGAGGCGTGATTGAGAACTGGACACCACGATATACTTTTCACGGGTTCCGATATGTGGAAGTGAAAGGATGGGCTCCTTCAGATGATCAATGCCCGTTGACACTGGATAGTATCGAAGCGCTTATCATGCATACGGATATGGAGCGTACTGGCTGGTTCTCTTGCTCGGATCCACTTGTCAACAAGTTGCATGAAAACACCGTCTGGAGTATGCGAGGAAACTTTCTGTCTATTCCGACAGATTGTCCCCAACGAGACGAACGCTTAGGCTGGACTGGCGACATACAGGTGTTTGGACCATCCGCCTGTTTCCTTTTCAACACAGATGCTATGCTTAGTTATTGGTTGGAGGACGTTGCCAGCGAGCAAGCAGAAAACGACGGCATACCGCCGTTCGTCGTACCCAATATCCTTGCTTCCGATAAAGGAGACAATTCGTGGGGCAACTTTCCTCAAGCAGTGTGGGACGATGTGGTCATTCTGCTACCATGGCGTCTCTATCGTGCATTCGGTGATGTTGAGTTACTCAAACGCCAATATCCAAGTATGCAAATGTGGCTCGAGAAAGGTGTCAGGAGAGGGAATGACGATCTTTGGGATTCCTCCTTCCATCAACTTGGCGATTGGCTGGACCCAAGTGCGCCGCCGGACAGGCCAGGAGAAGCGAAAACAGACGGCACTTTCGTCGCAGATGCATATCTTGTGCATGTTACACATCTCATGAGTCTGATCAGTGATTGTATTGGACGCAAGGGAGAAGCTGCCAGATATACAATCGAACACAAGAAGTTGAAGAAGGCCTTCGGCAGGAAGTATATCACGATTGAAGGTCTTCCTGTCGCCGACACTCAGACTGGCCTATCCTTGGCAATCGTCTTCGACCTCTTCAAAAGTCCTGACCAAGCAAAGGTAGCAGCGGCTCGATTGGAGAGAGCAGTCAAGCTGGCGAACTTCAAAGTAGCGACTGGGTTTGTGGGAACACCAATTGTCACACATGCATTGTCTTCAGTTGGTCTGCAGAATCTAGCTTATCGCATGCTGTCCGAGAAAGAATGTCCTTCCTGGCTCTACCCGATCACAAAGGGAGCTACTACTATCTGGGAACGGTGGAACAGCATGTTGCCAGACGGCAGTATCAATCCGGGAGAGATGACGAGTTTCAATCACTACGCTCTGGGCTCGATTGTCAATTGGTTACACAGCGTTGTCGGTGGCATTAGTCCACTTGAACCAGGCTGGAAGCACTCACTCGTCCGACCTGTCCCTGGTGGCTCGCTCACACATGCGGAGGTCAAACATCAAACGGCTTATGGAATGCTGGAATGCAAGTGGTCTATTGATGCTGGGCAGTTCAAACTCTCCCTCACAGTACCACCGAACACAACCGTGAAAGTTGTCATGCCCGATAAACAAGCAAGCAAAGTTCTGGGCGAGGAAGAAGAAGGTGTGGAAGTCGGCTCTGGTGTTTACGAATTCTCGTGTGCCCATGAAGCTGAGGAATGGAAGCCTACAGCCATTCCCATTCCGTTTTATACACCAGTCCAGAAAGAGCGTTGGTAATTGGCCGGGAAGATTCTAATGCCTATCTCCGTGGTCACAGCTCTAATCGGAAAACAACTGTGCATTTCGATAGGTCATGATCTCTCTGTATATCAACGTGGGAGAGCGGTCAATTCTGTAGTTTTAATGGTTTTCATAACACGAAAAGATTGTCAAGACTTGCAAATGATGATGATACCCTAAAGTTGTTTTAAAACCATAGATAGGCCATCGCCTATTTGACAACAAACTTCTTGGGTTGTCCAGTCTAAGGCGCAACATCATCGATGAGCCCCTGTACATCAGCAAGCCCACGTGAATTGCTCTCGGCATATCTCTAGGCCAGGATGATAATGTCATCGCCCGCGAGATCGATGCAACGTCGTGTCGCAGGTTGATGATACTAATCCTACTCTCCCTCATCCACTATCACCGTATCTAATATTGTGGGTCTGCATAAAGGTTTACAAATAACACAACGCGCCGCGGGAGTGGAGATCTTAGTGCGGCGTCGTCGACCTACGATACTCGTCGACACTCGACGAAGTCGAGACCCTGTCCCTGCCACGCAGATTAATTCAGAGAAACATGTTGACCAGGTCAGATGTCGCGGGTGCTCTTGGCGAACGAGTAGGATGTAAAGGCTTCCAGGTATAATGAAATTAGAAATGGGCATGTGTGCTGCTTATATAGGATCTATAAAGTAGTAAAAGCAAGGGGTTTACACCCCTTGCATATGACTCATGTATGCAATGTCTGGACATGCTTTTTATATTTTACCATTAAGTAGATGGCAAATCGACCTATGGGAGTTGCACGAGTCCATTACTTTTATCTTTATTTTTAACCATGGCCAAATCTACTGTAGAAAAGTTGGTAACTATTCTATGATACTGTAGTACCCGTATTTGCATGAAATATCTAATCAGATTTGCAAATCTTCACAGCATAGTCTTTTATTTTGAACGATGCTGCAGGCCGTCTTGTATACGCAATCATAGTAAGATATGCAGCCGAACAGATTTGAAACAGTTTTGTCGCCCACAATGATTCATAGCGGACGACGTGACAGTCTTAGCAAAGGATACTAACATGGATAAAGTGATTCGGAGTTGCAGAGAAGATACCTAGGTCGATGATACTATTTACCATGCTGGCGTCCATGTGCGGAGTGCCTTGTAGTCTGCATAGGCCTATACAGGAGACCAGAACGATGAAAAAATGGTTCACCGACCTGGCAATCTCCTTTCTTATACGTAGATGCACCCGAAAAATTTACCCAGGACCGGGCAACGCAGCTAGATTATTCAGATGATTGGGCGAAGGTAATATCTCTTGGTAACGGTCGGCTTCTTGAAGATATAGCAAATTAACCTGCACGTTGAGTATGTAGTCTCTTTCGAAAGATACATGATGCAACTTGTAAGCAGATCATGTATCTCGGGAAAAGAGACAAGCTACTGTTAGCGTGCTATAAAGCTCAAGAGTGGAACGAGACGAACATGATTATTCTTCACGAGAAAGCAGCCAGGTATTACGAGTATATGGCGTATTGTTGCGATACTGATACTTCTGTTAACATTTAATCAACTCAAGTGCCTCGACTGTGGGAGGAGGAAAGTAAACAGGTCCGTCATGCCCTGTTTTCTCTTCGAGCAACTGCACGCCTGGTTGTATCCTCTGCTGCTAAGGCGACTTCGGGGAGAACTTATCTGAGCTATGATTTACTGACCTCGCACTTTCACAAGGAGTACCATGGCCGTCCCGATGACGCTGAATTGGCCCATAGCTTTTGAAACGTGAGCCACAAACGGGTGCGCAAAGAAATCGTAGAATCCTCTGGTGTTAGACCCGGTGCTTTGCTTCGATTCCGTCCGTCGAACTGGCCTTCGATCCACTTGCCATATTCGGTACCATTGGAGAAGTCATCTTTGCCTATGACATGATGATATTCGGGGTGATCGCACTATGCTGGACAATGTAGACTTCTGACTCTTGCCTATATTCGGGTCTGCTTCGTGGGGATTATTCATGAACAGGTAAACGACCATCACCCACTTTCTGCTTGTTCCGTACACCTGTAATTGATACCAGCGCATAATCAAAAATTGCAAGTGAATATGCTTCAAGGGTGAGACTGGAAACGGGAAGGTTAATCTACAAAGGCCTGTTTGGCATGGAGATTCTTATATCCCTAATTTTGTGCCTAGTCTAGAGTTGTTCTCAGATAGTACTCAACGGTAAGTCCGCACCATAAACGGACCACATAGTATCATGACACCTTCTTGTAAGATTGATGAAAGTATGGACACGAAGTTCGCTGCAATCGACGAAGAGTACCGCAGTGCTGACTCACCATTCGTTACATAGCGATATGCCTTCTATGCGAAAATTCGAATCCGGAGGACAGATGCACGCAGACGGGCAGATCAAAGAGGTCCACGAATCTCTCTGTTTCATCCGATTTCCTACTTGGACTGTTTTCTAGCCGGGACTTTACTATCATGGGTCTGGGTGTCGAATGGAATGGGGGAATCGTACGCTTAGGCAATGTTTCACTGACCTGACATCCTCATCTATTTGAGGTACCTTTCTTCTTCCATGAATCTACCTTCTAAGAGAAGATAATGACAAGTCATGTCGGTAAAAGTCCTTCTATCAGTCAGGATGATTATCCTGGCGTTCGACCCATGGAAAGGTGAACATGCCGTCTATCGAGTAGATACATCTAGCAACGAAGTCATGCTTCTAGACTTTCTGGCTTTGTCCATGCGGAAAGCTATTGGCAGTGGAGACAATCCTTATGTACCCGCAGAGTCAGATGGTACCATATGGCTATGTTACTCATGATTTTCAACCTTACACTCTAAGTGTCCAGGAGTCTAGCTATCAAGAACATACGGTTTATGGGCTTTAGCAGACACGTCCTCAAAGTATGCTTCATGATGCAGACCATACCGCATTATATTGAGAAAGATCTTCCGGACTGTACCAAGTTGCTATGTATGCTCCACTGCATTTCGAGCGGATCCAAGAATCAAGGATCCATTGTGTATCCAGCTGAGAACTTGCTGGAGAGAGAATATATAACATCGAAGAATCTCTGCTCCAACGTAAACCTGCTCACCTACTATGCTTATCAACACTCTCCCACAATTACACTCACGTTGCAGTGCACAACTACCCTCAGCTTTGGCCTCCGGGCTACTGCCCTACCCATCCCTGTCGTTGACTATCCACCTTCTATGATCGCCAAGTATACTCGACCAACACCTCTCATCGCGGATGAACTCACATGGGGCAGCGGATCACGAGACAACGTCTGTGGTCTCAACTCTCTCGGCCTCTGCGGAGTTTCCACGATAGATGACCAGGTCTATAAACCTGAATGACCTCTATTACGTTTCGCCTGGAGATCGAGCACCCGTAAGCACTCTATGTAAGTGTTTCAGACAGACCTTGCAGGACCTTCGAGTATGGATGATGTTCCACTGACCTGATGCCTTCTTGTCGCCGATTGATATCCCGAGGCTCTGTGCGTTGCTGAATATTCGAAGGACTTGGGAGAACATTGCTAAAGCAACAATGATGGATATAGGAGCAAGTAATCGCGATGGGTTTGCTTGGATGGATCTTGGCCAGAGAGAGATTTCGGCTACTGGCACCTATGTTCTTATATACCTAAGTCAATTGTCAAATATCGAATTTGGATTTTTTAGCGATCACGCTCTTCCATAGCCAATCGACCCGACATCGTGCACGAGTAACTGGAGCAATCTAGATACCATGCGACGATACATACTCGATAACAACACACTCTCGACTCTATCCATTGACAATGATGGCCCAACCGCAGTCATAAAACATGGACGAGCCTCGAAAAAGGAGCAGCTCCTTACGATTGTGCTACGCCGTACTTAAGCAACCTAACGGTCTCGACTCGACACACTAGCTTCGATAAGGGGTGATAAAGGTCCGTGAATCTGCGATCATATCTGTTGTCCCTCGCCAGCAGGTTGTACGCCTATAAGGACCCTGTGTATAATCTATACCCAGCCATTCTCGAGATATAAGGGTATGGTCAACGTTCCACTGACCTGGTACTCCTATATCTCGGACAATCAGCCCCTAGCTTCACAATGGACAATTGTCGGTATAGAAAAGATCGAGATTTTCGTAAGTCATGAGAAGGGTGCGTGCCTGATGATGGCTCGTATGATATCGTACTCTGGGCAGACTCAAAGATAGTGGGAGGTTAGTCCGATGGAAGTATGAACCTGTTTGTTAGTATACATTGTCATAAGAAATGTACATACATGGAGATGTCAAGATAAAATTGGGTATGATAATGATATTCTGGTCAAACAATGTACTGTTCCTGTGTATTCGGTCTAAGACTTAGAACATAGCACTTGCTTCATCATTCACGCTGCTACTAACAAAGCATGACAGAGACTAACTAGTTCTTTGCCAATTTCAGAGAGGGACCAAAACTATCAATAAGCCCGTTCCTCTTGCCATCTTCCCAGCAACCTCAACTATCTCAGCACCAAAATGATGCTACTGTACCTACAGCTCGGATGAGAGGTGTATAAATCAGTCTCGCTGAAAAGTATAGTAAGATTTCTCAAAACATCAACACAATTAAGCACAGTAGACCATCACAACAACATTTTTCATTAAGAAGGGCATGATCTTATACATCAGCAAGCAAGTCGTAACCTCACATCTAAAGAACAAAACACAATTCAGGAATTGAAGGTAAGTGGGTCTGTAATCCACAGCTATGCATGCAACCCCCGAGAACGGAAGAGAAAAATTCATAAGATATGTTGATATAGCAATACCTGGAGATTGCAACTCCCAGTAGTGTTTTAGAGACCTGGTAGCTTCCTTAAGTTCTCTGAGTTTTCTGGAAGACATAGAGAGAGATTGGGAAGCGGCATCGATGGGGAAATGCTTCGATGCTGACAGAACAATAATCCCCACTCCCTCAACGAGTCAATCGTAGAATAGAACAACTGCTCCATTAGGTATCTTCTCATACCCATCCAAAGTCCCCGTACCATCTCAAACGTACTTTGCAAATATTATCCCAATATGCTCAGTCATTTCCATCATCCCTCAAAGCCCCAAAGGATTTCCCCCACTCTGCTCCTTCCCNCCGAATTTCTCGTACCCTTCTGTTTTTTTCGGTTGATCTTGTTTCGTAAACCCAGCCATGCGGTCGCCGGTGCCTCCTACCAGGCTTCCTGCCGGCGAGAGCACTTTTTCTACGCCTTTGCCTAGGGGNTCGCCGATGAATGATAACAAGCCTAGATGTCGAGGTTAGCCGAGGCGTGCGAAGGAGCTGGAGGTGAGGAGAAGGAGGAGGAACACACCTTTTTGTTCTTTGCTCCCCAAATCCACTTCATTGATATTGTCGGGCAGGTTTTCGCGTAGTGTTCTGTTGATCTTGTCGTCGTCTTCTTGCGGTGCTTGGATATGATCTTGAGGCATCGTGACAGTACTCGAGATATCGGTTTTATGTTCGATTTTCTTGTTCGATTGTCAAAGGTATGTCTGGTTGGAGACAAAGTATGGAAATGGGTTGTTTAAGGTTTGATATGTCTCAGAATACTTCAGTTGCAAAGGAAGACGAGAGCTCTTTCTTATACATGAGTTTCGACTTGCAAGTGCACGCGCCATACCATAAAATACGTCATGCGGGACACGAGACCCCGCCACATTTCTGCAGGGACGGGGCTCGATGAGGCACATGCACAACACTGACGACGATCGACAGCGAGCGAGCTCCACACAAGCTGTCATGCCACTACAAGAATTCTCACAAAAAGAATAAAAGGCCGAAACGAATCAAAATATAGACATCCACATACTCCTACTTGGCAACGAAGCAGATCTATGCTATATACAAACACCAAAACACATTTTCACTGTCCAGGTTTCAACGCCCCATTCTCCCTCGCAGTATCCACAATCATCTTGAGCACATCCTTCTCCTTATCCGTAAACTCGTAAGCTTTGTTGCTTTTCAGCGTCGCCATGTTGTGGCCGCCAATCCTCCACTCTGCGGCCTCGTGCGTTTCCTTGATTTCACTGAGGTACACGTCCCAAGTGCTTACATTGACGTGCTTGTTTTCTTCGTACTTGTCGTCGAGGATCCAGCCGTTGAACCATAGAGGTCGGTTGTTGAGGTCGAGATGCAGCAATTGGGGTGAGGATACCGTGTAGAGTTCGTGAACTTCGGGGTCGCGGGTGACGAGTGGGTGTTCGGCTTTTGTTTCAGCGTCGAGGTCTGATGATTCTGCGGTTACTGTGCTGTGCTCGTGGGTTGGTTTTGAGGAAGGTGGTTGGTAATCTTTGAGGATTTGAGCTTCGCCGTCGACGAGTTTGTAGTAGTCGTGCTCGGACACAACACCCATGTTGCCGGCAGCGCCTTCGTTAAACCAGTAGTCAGTGTCTCCAGCAAGCTCCCAGCCCAACCAGAAAGTTTCCTTGTCGCCATAGAACAGCGAGTAAACACCCTTGGCACCGGTCTTTGAATTGTCATCACGGTCAGGACCGTTCATCCGGGTGACAGTCAGCATAGCGACAAAGTGACGCCATTTGTCCACGACAAGACAGCCAGATTCCTGTTGCTCGCGAGATTCGCCAGTCCAGTAGCGAGAAGTCTGCGCTTTCTTGGAGATGGGCTTGGGAAGCATATCCTTGAGCCACTGTTTGCGAGAAGAAGGAGCATAGATTCTGTCACGGAAGAAGAGAGCACCGGTTTCGACATAGCCAGGATCTTCGAAAAGTTCTGCCGGGTTGACAAAGAACAAGGCGTCAGCATCAAGGTAGATGACCTCGCGGAAACTAGACATGAGTAGAGCGAAAGCTTTGGACGCCCAGCCCTTGAGCTCCCATCCGTCGTCAGACACCATCTGACTCAAGTCGCGGGTGACGACGCTTGGGATGGACTCGAGCTTCATTCTCCAATCATCGTTAAGGTCGTTCTCACCCAAATACATGATTTCGACAGGGAGATTGCATCCCAGCTTGCGGAAAGACATGATGGCGGTGAGGATGAAACGAGCTTGCTTGTCGTTGCCAGAAAGGACGATACCGCGGCCACCGTTGCGGAAGTGAGCGTGAAGAGTAAGGTGATCGGCAAAGTAAGGAGAGGTGTAGGGGAACAGAATGTTGGACAGTTTCGCAAGGAAGGCTCTGTACCTCTCGTATGCTCTGATGATGTCTCCACGCTCCAGATCCGAGACTTCGGCGAGTTCTTTNTTAGGAGCCGTCTCCAAATAATTGATGACATCGTCGCGGACGTAGGTCAGCTTCGAGTCGGCAACAACGTGAAGTGCTTCCCAGACGGTGAAGAATTTGTGGAAAGCCCTGGCTCTGACGCCCAGCTCTTTCAGACGGTCCTGACCACCTCCCTCGAGTGGACGAAGCAGGTCACGAGTGTAGATCTCGTCCGGGATCATATGGAGGACATCCCTCAGAGCCTCGCGGAACGAGTACTTCTCACCATTGCCGATGTTGTGAGCAACAAAGGGTACAGACTGAGTGTGATGTGATGGCTCAACAGCAGGCTCCTCATCGCTATCCGTCGCTGGCACGTAATTAGAACCTTCCTTCATGTCAGGCTCTTTGTTGTCCGTCTGCGAGTCCTTGAGCTTCTCATACTCGGCCTCCTGGTCTCCTTCAACACGGTCGACAGTGTGCTCCATCTCTTTTCCATTGTCCGGTTTGCTGCCATCTTGTTCTTCAGTGGCATCAGTCCACCTGCCCTTTCCTGTGTCATCATAGCCGCGAGGGGGAGCGTCTCCGCTGACGGCTTGTGCAGCAGTATGGTCACCAAAGGCTACTTTGTCGTGAATGGTAGTGGGTACCCACGTCGAGGACTCGGGTCCGCGTGTTGCAACCATATAGCAGAGTACGATGGCGAGGGAGATGGAGAGTATGCGGACAACATGGATTCGTCGTCGTGGTTGGTGAAAGTAGTCTGCATATTTCGAGGGCGAGCCGGGTGTTGTTGCAGGCGTTCGAAATCCTTTGTCCGGTGACCCGCTCCGTGGAGACACGTCGAGATACATCTCGGTTGTGATATGCCAGCCGTGGTCTGTGATGGTGAGTAGGGACAAGCTCTATGTTGCTCGGCTTCAGGAAAGCCTATGGATGTGTGGGTGCAGGTGGTATGGATGCGCCAAAAAGCGAGAGACGGTCAAACGTAGGAAGAAGATGCGGGAACTGCTCCTTTTACTCAGGGCCATGCAGTTGATGCAGTAGCCACGGTCATGACGACTCTGGGGGTAAAAAGCGGACAGTCCAAAGCAGACGCAGTTACTGACCGTTGTGATCGAAAGGCTCAAGGCCAGGCTTTTCGGTAGAAGGCAACACGAACCCCTGTGTCAACGGCGACGGTAAAGTCGAGCATCCCAGGAGGCCCGGCATGCCTCACGACCGTGCAGATAAAGGAGAAGCATTACGAACAAGCATCGAGAGTCGTTATTACGTCGAGGGTGACCGCCTTTTCACGGAGCACCTTCAGGAATCTGACGTTTGACGCTGCGAAGGATGTCTGCCAATTCTTGAGACATGGCCGATGGACACCGGTGAGGAACCGGACCAAGAGGATCAAAGAGGTGATGACCGTTGAAAAGACGTCGGCGCTAGAAGCCGAAAAGAAAGCCAATTTCTGCCAAGAGAATTTCTAGTGCTTCTCGCTCCAAAGCATTTGATCACTTTCTTAAAATAACCTGCACTTTTCGATACGATCACAGCAGGAACGGAGCGAGAACGGGAGCTGAATATTATCTCTGGGTTGAACTAATAGGCATGTCGATGCGTCTGCAGACCACGCTTTTCTCAGCTCGACCCCTCCCAAGACACCAAGAACCAAGACCACCTCAGGTCGAGAAACCATATGGTGAACTGAATAGGTAATAACGTCGAAAGGGTAGGAGCACAAGGCTGCAAGGTTTCCAGATTAGCAGGCGGCTCAGCCGGTCTCAAGGTCCCGGCATTGCCTGCGAAGAAATGCAAAGCCGTCATGGAGTTGGAGTGGTGAGAGTTGAACGTCGAAGGGACAACCAATACAAGCTGAGAAGTGACCACTACATCACTGTCTGAGTGACGATGCTCAGTAACAGCTGAGGCGTAGTGTCTCCGTTTCTGGGATCGGTTCCAGCCGCTCAGTCTCCAGTGTGGTCTCCACTTCATCCGGCCCAACTTCTTCGATGTACAGTGTTGCTGGAGCATCCTCGACAGCTGCTGGTTTTCTGTCTTCGATAGTCACCCAGGAGTTTGACCGGTGCTTGGAATGGTGCTTGGTATGATGCTGGAGTTGATACTGGTAACCTTGCTTGGAAGGATCCTGCTGCTCCACCAGCAAGACACGCGGCTGTGGTTGTCCAGGCTGTCCCGGACATTCACCCTTGGACCAGCAGTGACGTCCCTTGTACTTGTAAAAGTGTCCATCCGGATACTGAACATAGATCTCGGCGGGACCGTGCCTCTAGTAACGATACCGAGTCTCCTGATGGGCAGGGAAGTAGTAGGTGCCTGCTCCGATTGCTGGCAAACCATATCCTTGTTGGACGACTTGAGCACGCCCTCTTCTGATATCTTCTCTCATCGCTGCAGCGCGTCTGCCATCTGGGAAACGAAGGATGATGTACCAGGCGTGGAGGATACCGGGGGTCCAGCCGAACAAGCAGAGGACGATGTTGATGAACAGATGGTGGTCGCAGCGTGTCCTTTTGACGACGGATAGCGGAGGTAGGAATATGGCGATGATTGCAAGGCAGAATCCGCCCTGTGAATGATTAGTAAAGCTCATGGGTGTGGAGTTGACAGGATGTGACGGACCCAGAGACCCATGCTAGAAGTTCCGACAGGTAAAGCAGGATGAATGAGGTTATAAAGGAAGCTGCTCAGTTGGAATAGTGTTGGATAGATGATAGCGACGGTGATGGATGAGATGAGTTGATGGTTGATGAAGAGGTCTGAATGAGATGTTGTGGCTCAAAATCTGAAAGTCCCATCTCGACGGCTCCTTCCCTCAACTAACCAGTGCATGCGAAAGCGACGACGTTGAACGAGTAAAGCTGTCAACATGGTATGAGGGAAAGAGCGAGTCGGCTTACGGTTCAATAACTTTATGCAAGACCCGACCACTGATATCTGTACAACTCTTGACGTCCACATTACCTACTGACGTTCTCAATACGAATTGATTTATCCTTGGATTGGCTTTTGACACTGAGACATTTTTCGAATTCACTATCACTATCAACATCTTGATGCGCATCATCGCGAAAAACACATCAACAGAAGGAAGCCGTAATCCCCTCGTCATGGGTACAATCCTTCTTGACCAACCCACTCCAGCAAGTATGACCACAAAAAAAACATCCATGAAAATGCACGAATGTGTGAGAAAACTAGGGGTGTCCGAGGAGAGTCATCACAACTCAACCAATCGTACACTACCGCTGCCATCTTGTCTCGCTAGCCCAATCTTGGCCCACTCACACTCCAAATCTGCCCTCGAGGGTAATCTTCCACTCCTGTCTTCCAACATGGTGGTCAGATCGCAAGTCTCAGGAGCGGAGAACTCTGTTTCCTCAATTTCATACCAGCCCAGGAACTTGAGGCCCCAAGGTTGATGACGAGGCCGAACTTGAGAGAACAAGGCGATAGGTGGGAACTCGCTAACTCGAGTCGGCTGAGGAGGCGAAAGGACTCTGTCTGATTGCGTGGAGGAAGGCGGAGTCGGTATGGCAGACGAGGCAGAAGACACCTCAACTCACAAAGAACCCGCTGAGCCTGCGCGGCTACGTAGGTCTATGAGCCTGGAGTCGGAGTAGAAGTCACTGGAACGATCGTGATATTCTTCAGATGTTTCAGCACCCTGGTCAGGGTAAGGGAGGCCGTACCCGGGGAGAAGATGTAGGTTGGCTTTGGCGTAGACGGTATGATGGCGGTGTCAGTCGGGGTTGGCATTGTCGAACGACACAATGAACTTGAGAGTATCGATATCGTCCGCCGAAGCGTTGAGTGTATGTATGGTCGTGCCGCGTTTGAGTCCGAAGCGCGCGGCATGGTCGGAGAACGAGAGAAGATCCGAGATGTTCTTTCCACGTCTAGCACAGTCGTCAGATACTTGTCGCACAGCACAAGCTGCGTTACAGGGTCCGAAGTGTGTGAAGGATCGAGGGTCTCGGCGTGGCCAGAGACGCTCGGGTCCTAGAGCATGCCAGGAGGTGAGTCCCCTTGGGAGCGTAGGGTCCGCACTTTGCGTGAAACCTCTTGGAGGACGACGGGACTCAACGACCCCTAAGGGTTGGAGGTATTGACCAGTGCGACGGTTGAAGATGCTCACAGAGGGTACCATCATGGTTCTAGGAGCTGAGGGAGTCTCTCTACTGATGGTAGGGTCAGAAGGCTGGTGAGTATTGTGGTTGTGCGAGTCGTGGTTGAACTCGGTGCCGCCGTTAGTGTCTATGGAGATGTGAAGGTCACTGAATTCGAGAGGTTGAGGCTCCGTTGCAGTGTGTGTAGTTTTTGTAGTGTGTTGGTCGCGGATGTGAGGGGGCAAGTATCTTGGGACCATGGTAGATGATGAGGGAAGTGATGGGACTTAGCTCTGCAACTATGCTGGTTTTATATACTCAGCTAGGATGTGCTTCATAAAGCAACAGCAGGAGTTACACGTAGGCCATGGTTGGCCTCATAGATAATGAACAGACTATAGGCTGCGAGGACCGACGTGGCAATTGGCGCCGAACATAACAGCTACCCTTGACTAAGCCTTGTGGACAAGTCTATGTCGGAAAGCGACATGTAGGGACGCCCATGACCCGTGTCAGGACAGCATCGAAGAGTCAAGTAATAAATTGGGAGCAGAGTAGGTGCGTGGCAGTGGGCACAAGCGGATTAGATCTTGCTGCAAGCACGGCAGGCGTCTGTGACACAACGCTCAATCTCCGAACTAAGCGCTCCCAGGGACACGTATGAGTCGACACAGAGTGTGTTCAGTGTGAGATAAAGCAGGAAGGAAGTCGAGGTCGATGGGCAGGCGCAAACATCCCAATTAGGTTAGCGCCAAAGCGACTCTCAGTCCGCCGTCATCGTCGCGACTTTTGGTTGCACTCGACTTTGTTCGCCAAACAGATCAGCATCCATTATGGGAAAAGGTAGGTTCTGCCGGAGTATGAGAGACGAACCGATGGCTAACTCATCTTGCAGGCACAGATAAGCTGTACGTATGTCGCCGTCCACATCACTAGGACCCGGTCGAGGCTCAGCTAACATACTGCGACACAGATCACTCACAGCGAGTGGGCATCCGATACCGCCTTCTCTGCCAGCGCTGGCGCCGGTGTGAACAAAGGCAGCGTTCCTGGCGCCTTCAAGCGACTTCCCTACAACTTTTGCGCCTTGTCACTGCAACCCTTTGAGCACCCAGTCTGCACCAACGATGGAACCATCTTCGACCTCACCAACATCCTCCCATGGCTCAAGAAACACGGCACAAACCCCGTCGATGGCGCTCCTCTGAAGTCAAACGACTTGATCAAGCTCAACTTTGCAAAGAACGACGATGCCGAGTATGTCGACCCCGTCACCTACAAGGTCTTTACCGACAACACCCACATCGTCGCCCTGAAGAACTCGGGAAACGTCTTTGCATGGGATACCGTCGAGCGCCTCAACATCAAGGCCAAGAACTGGAAGGATCTTGTCAGCGATCAAGACTTTAGCAGAAAAGACATCATCACACTCCAAGATCCCCAGAACATCGAGTCGAGAGACTTGAGCTCCTTCAAGTACATCCAAGAAGGCGCAAGCACTTTGACCCCAGAGCAAGAGGCTGAAAGAAGCGCCAATGTCAATACGAGTGCACTTGGAAACGCCGCAAAGATCCTCAAGGCCAAGGAGGCCGTCGCAAAAGCAAGAGCAGAGAGACAGAATGGCGCACAGGGAAACTCGCTACAAAGGGCAATGGCCGAAGCGAAGAAGTCAAACACTGCCACTGGAGCTTCCAAGCCTGTACCATACAATGCCGCTCAGTACACGACAGGAAAAGCTGCTGCATCTTTCACAAGTACTGGTATCTCTGTCCACACTGGCAACGAGCGCGCCTTGCTGTCAGACGAAGACTACATGCTCAAGCCCAAGCGCGTCAAGCACAAGGGCTATGCTCGCCTCCAAACCAACCACGGCGACATCAACGTCGAGCTGCACACTGATCTCGCACCCAAAGCCGTCTGGAACTTTGTCCGTCTGGCACAAAAGGGCTACTACAAGAACATACCCTTCCACCGCAACATTCGGAACTTCATGGTTCAAGGAGGTGATCCAACAGGAACAGGTCGAGGTGGTCAGTCCATTTGGGGCAAGAACTTTGCAGACGAAACCGAAAACTCGCTTGTCCACGACTCTCGAGGTATTCTGTCAATGGCCAACAAAGGCAAAGACACAAACTCTTCACAGTTCTTCATCACGTATCGCGCCGTTCCACATCTGAACAAGAAACACACCATCTTCGGCCGAGTGGTGGGCGGCAATGACGCGCTAGCCCGCCTCGAAGCAGTCAAGACAGATGAAGGAAACCGTCCTATCGACGACTGCACTCTCGAAGACGTCGTCGTCTTCGTCGACCCCTTTGAAGAGTTCCAANAAGAGCGTGCCGAGAACGAGGATGCGCAAAGACTCAAAGAGGAGATACAACGTCAAGGTGGCACGGAAGATGACAAGACAACCTGGACCGGCAAGCGCATCAGAGGAGATGGAAAGACTGAAGACAATGCCTCCGCTGGCGTGGGCAAGTATCTCAAGACTACCTCTGCACCGCCAGTCGAGGATGACGAAATCGTGGGTGAGTGGGATGAACCCGAACCGCCTAAGAAAAAGGCAAAGTCGGGCGGATTTGGCAATTTTGATAGTTGGTAAGCATCACGATGCATAACATTTTGCTCTCCAGTTACTGCAGCAGATGATCCAAACATGTGATTCCTTTCTGACTTGTAGAAATCTACGAGTTGGTCCCAACGCCTTTCATGCTCCTAATGACCCATAAATTCCACAACATCACACACTCCTTTCATGCTGCATCATGCCTTCAATAAAGATCACTGTCTATGTCCTTGCCTTTGCTTATACCGCTGACCCTGACGAAAGAGGATGAGAACGGCGCAAGAAACCTTGACGAATTCGAATACCACTCAGGCGCTCGCGGTGCTGTACGCAAGCAGACTAAGCTCGAGGATAAGAACTCGAACGCTGCTTCTGCTTGAGTGGAGGCAAATGATCAGGCCTATAACTCCCAAGATCGATCTTCTTCGTCTCCCTACTGCAGAGCACCATCCCTGGCTCAGAAGGCTCTTACGAGTTCGGAGAGAGGTTGGTAGTTTGCGGGTACATCGACCTTGTCGTTTCTTCTCTGGGTGATGTAGCACTCTCGCTGTTCTAGTCCTTCTGTATACCAGACACCTCTTGCCCACAAACCCCGTCTCATGAGTACGGACATGATTCCGTGCTTTGTGACTTGAAAGACAGATGGATAATGCAGTGTGGTCTTTGTTCTAATTGCACCGAGCACGTGTATCGAAAGACAAAGACCTCGAGGCTTGTACTCGGAGAACTGTAGTGTCTCTTGATGGATCGACAAGTGAATGTCTCCTTGAGCTCTTCGATTTGAGCGATTCAAGCTGTCGATACTATCAGAAATATTACCAACGGCGATCATCTATCCTATACACTCGACCTTTGATCCGAGCGGCATTCACCACCTGGGAATGGTTCAAGTCTAGCAAATCGGGTGTAGACCTTCGACATGATGATTCCGTCCTTGTGGTGTGCTCGATTGGTAAAACACTTCTCCCCTGCACCTCACTGGTAGTATGAACACGTTGAGAAAACGTGCAACTACTCTCAAATCTCCATCCTACCGAAAACACCAGAGAACGATAATCAAGCAGGCAGGTCCGTGAATCTCGAGCATCTTAGCCATGCATCTCGTGTTTGCGTTGATCAGAATCTCGTCTGACGAAGTTTAGAGAGGAGTCGAGGAGCTGCCGCTACACCAACCCGCTGCTTTTCTCTCCCGGATCGTGACACCGAGCCGTGAAAGTCTTCAGAAGCTTCGCACACCAGCCCTGTCGGCGGCGGCGGCGGCGACCCAATCGTCGAGGCCCATGTTCTGAACTACCATAGTGGTATTGATGATCAAAAAGTTATACACAAAAGATAGACAGGCTTGTATACTACTTTCGAGCAGTGAGGATCTTCGGGACATGGTGTCCATCACGTCCCTCCCCTATCAGAGGGCGGAAGCTATCAATTTTTTTCACTGCTCAACATGTGGAGTCGCATCATGGTTACTGAGCGAGAAGGATTGTCAGCCAGCAACCACACTATCTCTTATCGAGAACGTGACAACCAGATCTTCTCGGCTGAGGCCTTTCGACACCTTTAATGGATTTTGGTAAAGCTCGAGAGAAATTGTTGTCCAAAAAAATATGTACCATCTAGGAATGTGCAATATGTCGACCATGATCTCAGAGCCTGTCCTGGAACTGTTTGAGCCCGCACGGATGGCAATGGACTATGACCGATAGCAGGCAATCAGGTCCACGACTCTTGTGGCTTTTAACATTGATTTCCTAGCTGCTGATATGATGACTCAAGCTGAAGATAGTCCTACCTCGCGGCAGAGATATTCAAAGGTAAGCTGCGTTTCACCGACCTGACTTGTTACATTCTCTACCATCACATCCTGTAGGCCAGATCTGTGTAGCGATCTGACGAAGTTGAGTTCGACTCCTGGTCGGTGATGGAGTTGACAAACGTCAAGTTGTTGACGACGTTTGCCGTGGGAGTTGTCGGAGGAGTTGGCACGGTCGATGTTGAAATAGAGGATAGGTTCAGGGTGGTGATATGATGGCAGAGTATGGCTAGTGGATGCTCTGGGTAAAATACCAAATAGCTCATTCTCAAACTATCTGTTGTGATCAGATGGTCGTGAAATCGAGGTCTAGGCATCAAGAGCCACGATTCCTTTCCACACAACATGTTTGATATTAATTCAAGGCTACAACCACGCAAAGACTATCTGTTCTGCTACAGGTCAAGTGAATGCCATCATCCAACAAACTCCTTGCGGTTCCGCACTCCAAAAGAAGATCTGCTAAATACTAAAAAGGGAAACTCGAGGCCGAAAAGAACAGACCCAAGTAGCCAAGGTGGCGGCTGATATGCGTAAAGTTTATTTTCCGACGATTGTGTTGTAATGACAAGATACAAACCATTTAGAAGCAAGCAAGTTTTTGTATAGACATAACATGAACAGGTCATAGAAGAGAGTCTACCTTTCAATCGAGTAAACGGCCCTTATACAAGCATATCCAGAAGGCAGAAGGATTTCGGAAGAACAAAAAAACACACCCCAGTATCAGCACAGAGGCAAAGAAATTAGACATTTGCACTAAAACTTTGCCGAAACTTCAAAAGGTAATCGATCAAATTGCTCTTGTTAAACACAAACGGCCAAGCCAAAAGGATATCATCGACGCAGGATTATCTCCCTTCCCAATCGTGTCTACATCTACCAAACCCGTCCACCCTTGCCCGTACACTCCGCCATCAACGCTTCATTGGTGGTAGTACTAGTAATCGTAACCGTCCAAGGAACTTTCTTGGTCGTGGTCTCATGTGCAACTCCCCAATGCGTGATTGTCGGTTGCACTAATTCCTGGACTAAAGTTTGGAGAGCTGCAAAGTCGAGGAGAGCGCGGGTAACGGTTACGACTGCTGGAGTTGAGGTTCTGAGAGATGTTAGTGGTTGGTAGTGGAGGAGAGTGGGTGAAGGAGATGGTAAGGGAGGGAGGAGGGAAGGGGGAACTCACATGGTAGACAGAATAGTCGTAGGAATAGTCTTTGTGATGGTGGTGTATTGGGTTTGCGTCTCCGTCACAAAGTCCGCAGTATTGGTGGCTGTGACGGTGACCATACTAGCATCAGGAGCTCGTTTCTGCAATCCCTTTGCCTCTCCCAATCTCTGTTTTCTCTGCTCAACGAATTCTTGCTTTGCAGCCAGATCTTCGTTTGCAGCACGCTTAAATCTCGCAGAATTGGTGCGCTGGAAAATGGTCTTGAGAATGGTAATCTCAATCCGAGCAATGGGATCTGGATGCCAGTTTGGTGTTGCGGATGCGCAGGAGGGGGCCACGGAAACAGTGGTTTGGGTGATCTGCGGCGAATATTGCGTCTTGGTGACTGTAAACATATTTTTGGTGACCATTTGCACATTCAGCGGGTGAGAGTATAAAGTCGGTTTGCCAAAAGCGATCAACGCGCGTTTAGTAGTTGTCTTGGGCACCAGGGTTGTGGTGACTACACTGTGTGTCGTAGAAACAATGCTGTAGATAGAGGTCTCCAAGTCGGTGGCTGTGACGGTGGGTGTGTATGTGATTGTTGTTGGTGTGCCCACGTTCAGCGAAAAGTCTCGTTGGTAGGCGATGGGGTCTGCATCGCCGTTGTTGCTGATGACTACTAAACTCCAGTCGCCGGAATACATTTTGTCCTGGGGCCAGTCGGTGCAAGTCACGGTTTCTGGCGTGTAGTCGGGGGTCAAGGGTGTATCTGAGCATTGGTATTGATCGCCATTGGGGTCCACGAGGATGTTCTGTGACACTCTCATCAGCAAAGTTTTCTTGAAGGCTGCAAGGGTGTAGAGGTGTAGTCATACATTAGCGGTATCATTATCACAGCCGGAAAACTCTTGGACCAGTGAGAATGGAGTGGTCAACTCGCTGTTTTCGAAGTAGGTGCCACCACTCTGGATGTCAATACCATAGACTTGACACTGTGCAGAAGCAAGTCCAGAGCCGATGGCGGCGGCCGCAAACAAGAATGTCGATCGCATGTTTGAGCCAAAGTATGATGCTGCGAGTTGAAGAAGGTGACGATATACAAACAAGCTCAAGAGAGAAGGGATCAAAAAGAAGCAGATGAACCAAACCTACAAGAGCATGATTCAGAACCCAGACGGACGAATCACTTACTTATGTACTCGAAGCATCTGATAGAGAGAACAGCACTTCGGAGTATGGCAGAGTTAATCGTCATGGAACACCATTCGTGTCCGGATATTCAAGAAGAGTTCCACTCCCTCTACTAGAGCTGACATGGATCACTGCATACCAACCACAAATCAAGGTTAACATACCGCAGTAGCACAAGTCACTGCCAACCGTGATTCTAATTCCGTGCCTTGGACCCGCTGTATTCCCGTTTGCTGCAGAGCCAAAGGGAAGCAAAACAGAGTTGAGAACCGTGCCCTGCATGCGAAGCACAGAAGATCTGCTGTCCGTGTTGACGATTGCGGTTTTGCGCTCTGCGGCTGATGACAGCTGGAGAAGGCAACGTAGTCATGGGCAAAAAGGTGGAGAGGCGATGAGCATGTAGCGATCATACAAAGGACCGAGATATCCGTTGCGCATCTGACCTCACAAGATATGATTCGTGAGCTCCTCGAGTACACCATCTGACCTTCTGCCGAAAGCCACTATCCAGGTCTCAATCCGAGTCTTGGCGGCATGGAGTCAGTCATTTGTCAACCACCTCTGCAACACATCGACCACTGTCAGCTATGTTTCATAACCAGCCAAACCACAAATAATTGACAGAATCGCTGAAAGTACGAAGCAGATGTTGTGGACACCAAACTTTCGACGTCGATCTCGGACTTTGGTGACGACGATCAAAGATCTTCCCGTGCCGTGGTTCCGTGCGCAAACAAGTCCACTCGGCGATTTTGCGTGCATGCATCGTGCCTGGACATGATGAGAGGCTCGGTAGTTGGATACAAAGACCAAGGATGTCACTTCCAGACACGGCTCTTTCATGCAAGCTGTGAGCCTTGATTCAGATCACAGTGTTGGGAGAGTACAAGAGTACAAGTACTTGCAATAATCTATTGTCAATAAAGCAACGCATCACGGATATGCGTGGTCTTGCAGAAGACCATTATATTCGAGTAGAAGAGGTGAAGTACCTATGACCATTGTACCTTCTTCGCTCACCCGGGAATCAAAAACTCCTCGCTATAAGTATGTGTACCGCCCAGACCCCAGCCCTGTATATGCAAATTGCCCGTATCCCTGTGCCTCTCTCTGTCTAAACCTTTGACTTTTTGGTCTTTCTCTTTGCCGTTCTCTTGAACGCTTCCTCTGGAGGCTCATCTGGCGATTGTGCTCTCTTCTTGCCCTTTTTCTTTGGCGCCGTGGCTCCGTACTTTTCAGCCAGGTTGTCGAGAAAGTCTTCGCTGCGTGCTTTGTTGCGTTGGCTGATGAGGGCTGCTAGAGAGGATAGATCTCCNATCTCCTCCTGCTTTGGACTTCTTCTTTGTGGCAGCAGCGGTTTTCTTGCCGTGTTCCTCTGCTTCTTCTGCTTCTTCGTTTGCNNAGCGGCAATGCGACGGTCGATGCTCTTNTGCGTCTCTTCTGTGAATTTTGCAAAGGGCACAATTTCTTCCTTCTCAATTGCTTCCTTGAGGATCCTACGAAATCTCTCTTCGTCAACGGCGGCATTGCTGACCATGACTTGTTGATAGATTTTATTCATGTCGCCTTTGTGTTTTGTGTAGGCTTGCAGTAACGCTTCTCTTTCCTCATCACTGCCTTTGTAGTCTTGAGTAAAGGAAATAATGGTATCTTCAGTCACGGCATTGGCGTATTGGGCGCGATAGAAGTCGCCCCAGTTGAAGATTTCGTCGTCGATGTCGAGCGAATCGTCGGTGCGGCCCGTGTTGTCGTAGCGGGTGCGGCGGCGGGGGTCGCTGAGGACGGCGTAGGCGAGGGCGATTTCTTGGAATTTGGTGTGGGCCGTGTCTTTGTCTTCGCGTTTGGCCTTGTCNTGTTGTGATGTTAGTGGAGGTAGACAGGGAGGGGGAAGGGCAAGAGGGTGCGCACCAGGATGCCATTTGAGGGCGGCTTTGCGGTAGGCAGTCTTGACCTGGTCTTGGGTTGCCGTCTTTTCGATGGCTAGAACCTCGTAGGGCTCGACGGTTGGAGGATCGTCCAGTTCGAGGTCGTCAATATTGGTCGGCATGATTGATGTTGTTGGTCTTGTAGATTGAGTGGGAACCAGCAAGACCAGACAAGCACAACGCGTGAACAGCCAGAGTGACGCGCTCGTTGGCACGCGAAACCAATTTCCGCCAAGCAACCGAGGCTCTTTTACACCAACTGAACAAACACCTCTTGACAACTCTCCTCGATCACTTTCCTCTACAAGCAACCATGTCACATCTAGACTACATGCGCCTAGCCCTCTCCTGTGCCCGCAACTCACCCNCCAAACCCACAAACTTCTGCGTCGGCGCCGTGCTCGTCTCGCCCTCAAGCCCCGAACCCATCCTCGCAACCGGCTACACCCTCGAGCTACCCGGCAACACCCACGCCGAGCAATGCTGTCTCGCTAAACTGGCCATGAGCATGAACATCAGTGAAGAACACGTAGGCTCAATCATGCCAGAAGACACTGTGTTGTACACCACCATGGAGCCGTGCGATTATCGCATGTCCGGGAATCTGGCTTGTACGGAAAGAGTGCTGTTGACGAGAAGTGCAGCGAGTACGGGGCATAAGGGTATTCAAAAGGTGTATATTGGGGTCAAGGAGCCAGAGAAGTTTGTGGGTGAGAACAAGGGCAGGAAAAAGCTTGAGAATGCTGGTGTACAAGTCATTCACGTCGAGGGTCTGGAAGAAGACATTTTGAAAGTGGCTACAGCAGGTCACGTAGAGACAGAAGAAGAAGATCAATGATTGAAATGCTTGTTGGCTAGTTCATACACGTGTCATTACTGAGTAAAAGCTTCCTAGTTGCCTCTTGCAGCATCCTCTTCCTTGTTCTTAGGGACTGAGATGATCTTGGGTACTGTGACCGAGTTGAGGTTGCGGAAAGCATTTGCAATGGCGCCCTCGGGAAGATTGCCATTCCACTTGTCCTGCACCTTGGTAATCTTGCCGCCCTCGTGGAAAATGTTGACTACCGACGAGATGGTCTGCTCCATGCCAATGCCCTTGACCTTGTAGCGAGTCTTCATGTTCATGCTGATGGGGTTGCCGCTGGAAGTGACCTCATGGTCCAGTCTCTCGATTTCGCTGAACGCCGACTGAAGACCATACNNTGCAACAAACAGATGTCAGCATATGCAAAACACAAGAAAAACCTGGAGAGGATGTCAACGTACCCACTGTGCCTCATACTGCTTTCTGCCCTCAGCAATAGTGATAGGATCCTCAAANACACCTTCATCCTTCCAAAGCTGCAGCTTCTCCAGACTGGGGCGACCGGCAAAGAGATCAAGCACGCTTCCCACCAATGTCTTTTGCTGCTCTTCCAGAGTAACTCCAGGAGCAGTCTTGATGTTTGTGTTTTCAATGTTGAGGCCTGAAGACATGGTTGCGGTTTTTGTCTGATTCAAAGGAGAAGTTCTGGCGAATTGGAGGGTTGCGGGTCTGCTGAGGATATTGGTGGTTTGGCTGATGTAGCGTGGAGTAAACGGACGCATTTGTAGCTTTTTGTTGTGATATAAGGAGGAGATGGAAAGGCGGCAGAGTTTGTAGATAATGTCTCTTGCACTGTTTGGCGAGCAAATGCATGAACGATGTGGTCACAGTGACTACATTTTACCTTGATGTCATGATGCGGGGGAGAGCTCGGAGCTTGGACCCTTCGCCGTCTGACATGTCTCGGATATTCCACCAAGGTCATCATCGACTTTGAAGGATGTTGTCTTGAACATATCCTCTGAATCTTTCAGTAGTCTCGATATATTGGCATCACTCTGTCTAGCTACCATGCATCTGGCACATCTTGTTGAGACCCATATCAATGTCAAGTCCGTTTGATGCTGTAATGACCCTGGCTGCCTCTGGAGTCGACGGCGATGATGCCAAGTCTTATCATATAAGCGTTTGCATTCGCAATATATCATCTACTCGAGATAGCGAGGTGGTATAGAGATAATCAAGTGAAGTGTTTCTCTACTGTGAACACCGTTCACAGATGAACCAAAAGGCAGAAGTTGGAAAATGTGTTGACTTGATAAAGACAAGAACTCCCGATCATATCAAACATTCTGCAAACAAAGAATAAGAAACCGACCCAAATCAACCATACATTACCCGTAAATCCCTATGCCTCTTTTTCCAAGCCCCCAAGGAACAGACAAGCACCAAATCTACAGACCACTGTCAATCTGAGGGTACAGCATATTCTTCGAGTAGCTTCTCCAAGCATCACACTGCGAGTTGAAAGCCCCGCTATCAGGCATCTGGATCGAGTTCTTGGCCTCGATGAACTGCACACCCAAACCCTCGGAAATGTGCCATGCAATGTGGCAATGCATGAGCCAGACGCCAGGGTTGTTTGCCGGGAAGGCAATCAACAGCCATCCCAGACCGGGAAGGATGGAAGTGTCGCGACGGGGAGGGTTGGCAAAGTTTAGGCTTGCGGTGCTAGAGTCAAAGACACCGGCGCCGGAACCGAGGACGAAGAAATCGTGGCTGGAAAGAGGGGGATGTCAGTACATAGTCTAGGGAGAAGGGGACATGCTGGAGACTTACCCGTGCAAATGAATGGGGTGGGGAAGAGGTGGGTTCTGCTGGCCCATCTGGATGAGCCAGTAGGTCCAGGTGCCCTCTGTGGGGATCTCGATGACGGCGTAGGGGTCAGGGTAGCTGGTGTTGCCCTCCTGGACATATTGAAGGGTAGGTCTGTCCCAGTTGACCATCATGGCGGTAGTGTCCAAGTGCCAGAGGGCAAAGTTCTTGCCATTGGTGGTGAGACCGGGTGCAACACCAGTGCTGAGGGTCTGGACCTGAGCGGCGTATTGGCTCTGGTCAACAGCCTGAGTCCAGTAAGGAACAGTGACGAGCTCAGTGCAGCCGTTTGAAGGAGGGACCTCATTGCTGTCGGTAGGCTCGGTGGGAGTGGATCCCGAGTAGGTGAATAGAGCACGGCCACCCTTGTTGTTGCCACTATAACAATCGGTAGCTGCCTCGGCGCGGAAGAAGAAGCTGCCACCAGTCTGGCTGGCGGTAAAGATGACATCGTATCGTTGACCGACAGCAAGCAAGACCTTANNATCTTGGCCAGCCAAAGGCTTGGTAGGAATGAAATCAGCAGAGATGACGGTGAAGTTGTGACCATCGAGCTTGACACGGATGGCATTGTCAACAGAGGTGTTGATCAATCGCAGGCGATGCTTCTTGCCCTTGGTGAGGGTCACCTGAGCATACGATCCGGCACCTGCGGCGTTCTTTCCTAGACCGTTCACAAGGATGTTGTCACCATTTGGTGGACCGGCGTTGGCCTGGAGGTTAACAAGAGTCTGATCATTGACCTGTTCTGTGCCCGCGTAGTACCAATCGCTAACAGGGAAGGTACCGAGATCGATATCGTAGTTCGAGGTGGCAGGACCGTTGATGATAATCGTGCCAGTAATACCCATACCATACTGAGAAGAGTAATGACTGTGGTACCAAGAAGTACCGAATTGAGTTGCAAGGAACGTGTAGGTTCTGCTTCCACCGGGGGGNATAGGGCATTCGGTGATGCCACCGACACCATCAGAACCTACGCTGTTGAGCTGTCTGATACCGTGCCAGTGCATGCCGGTACCGTTGTTTTTGAGGGAGTTCTTGACAGTGATGGAGAGAGTGTCACCCCAGTTGGCAGTAATGACTGGTCCAGGCTGCACGCCGTTGATGAGGAAACACGGGATAGCACCATTGCCGTCTGGGTTACAGGTTGTTTCTGTGATCTCGAGGTTGTAAGGTACGGTCTTTCCTGTGGTTGGGTGCTTCTGGTCAAAATCGGTCTTGACACTGTAGCCATTGCTCCAGCAGGAACGAGAGTTTGGTCCGTTGGTGCAAGCAGCATCAGCCACTAATGAGGTACTGGAGGATGCAGTGCTGGCAGAAGAAGCAGGAGCACTGCTTGACGCAGCTTTTGATGATGATGATGCTGGTGTTGAAGATGATACTGATGAAGCTGCCTTGGATGTCGACGATGTCTTGACAGTGGAAGTTGCACGACGGACCATCTTGCCCATCTGGTCAGCTCCCCACAGGTAGCGACCTTCAGGTACTGCATCAGCCCATGAGACAGAGGCGAATGCCAAGAGGCAGATGCCAGTGAGCTTCTGGAAGTGCATGGTTTAAATATCAGAGCCGGCCAGCCAGTGGGTACTCTGGATGATGCGTCCGAGAATAGAAAAGTATGAGAGCGATTGAGGTAGTTTGAGGTAGTTTGAGAAGTTTCAACGAGTGATGAGTGGATAGTCCGACTTTATCAGTTGGTTCGAGGCTCGTATATATATTGGCCCGAGCCAGTACACCCACATCGAGCCCTCCCACATGGAGGCGGACGACTCAATCTGCATTGCTCTAGACCAAGACTGATCATGGCGGGACTAGCAAAAGTGAATAGTGCATCTCAGCTCGTTCTCCACATTGACAGTGACAACCACGAGCACATCCGGTGAGCAAGGTCGTGAGCTATACTGGACATCCCGGTGGCGCTAGGTGGGTTCCCGGTAATCCTAGACGGCTTAAGCAGGATCGCAGAGGATTGCAAGTCTTGGAAAATTGACTTTGCATCCTGACCCATATTGTTGGTGAGGGCGATGTTCGGGCAGGGCATAGGGCGGCATGGAAGCGAAATGGTCTTGACGAACTTGGCATTCAATGTTCTCTCCGAAAGTCTCACTGCTGTCATGTAGCTTTGCGTGCAGCAGCAGAAAGTGCAAGGTCGATCCTCATTCGGGCCTCACAGTCAGGCCCGAAGCAGCGATAGATCATGATGTGTGGTGAGACGAGGGTTGATTTGGCCAATAGGAAATTTCCCAGTAAGGGCCGATCTGACGCGCGGGAAGGCTTCTGGCTGAATCTAAGCTTTGGCCTGATGCAAAGTAAGCACGTACTCATGTACATACAAGTCGCATGCCTGCGTCGGACTCGGCCATAGGGGAGGCGTCGCTTCCTCATCGTACAGCGACTTGATGCCAAAGCGGCGACATGTCAAATCTATCCTGCGTGCTTCATGTCTGCTGCTTGTAAATTGTTTGCATTGGCCTGAAAACAGTGCATCTATAAGAAGCATCTATGCATTGAAGTCCAGTGTCGTGAAACGAAGGGTCAACTCTAGTCAGCATCTCCTGAATGTATGAAGATAGCAGGGCACAAAACCTAGTTCCTGTAGTCACTCGAATAGCCTGCTGTAGGTACACCGCATGGTTCCCCTTTGGTTTGTACCTACCGTAAATAGCATACAAACCGCCCGATATCTGTCAGCATAGCTTTGTTTTGCAAGGCACATCCATCCTTTGGTGGATAGCGGCGTCAATAGCTCGTACAGTCTGACACGGAAGATATTCCCTTGCCTGGCATCTGCTCTCGGCTGGTGTCTTGGACTCTTGATCCTTTGTTCAGCTTCTCCTCGTCAGGGCGAAGAGTCGTCATCACAGATCGTGCAAGTGGCATGTTTGCGACCCGAGGTGGGTTTACTTGGTCCGAGCTCTGACATGCGGGGATCTATTTGGCATTTTTGCGGGAAACCGTGCGTGGCCTTCGACGACGACACGCTGTGGATCAGTCTGCCGTTTCTTGATCAAAACACGCGACAAACATCCATCGGCTCGAGTTGTGCTATCGGACATTCATACGCCTAGCGAAGAGCTGTGGCTGCTTGATCTCGGTGCTGGAAGGGACTCTGCCACAAGCTCTCGGACATGTGTGGCTTGACGCCTTGGGCTTGTCTGTATCTGGACTGGTTCATGCCGTCGACTCACTCGAATACGAGCGGCTGCGGCATCCGGAGGGTTGCATCGAGAGCCACACTCTCGCTCCTTGGCTGTTTGTTGTATCTTGTAGGTGCAGATCTTGCGCTATTCTGCTCAAGACGATCCCTATTTCATATCCAGGATGTGCTTGTAGCTGTCCGTCCCTATAAACAATCCTCGCCATGAACTAAACCTATACAGCTTTTTCTGCTCTTCAGTCTCTCGACGCCCATAACTAGATTTCGCTCGACGCGAATCCAATGGCATTCGTTCCATCAAAGTCTAATTCTGGATCCCCCAAACCCGGCAATATCATGTAAGTTCTGTTCGCTCGATCTGATCCTTTGCCCACGAAGCCTCGCAGTGCAGCAAAAGTGCAGCGCCGTGTTACCCATCCGATGCTGGCCACATGTCAAGCCTTGGCTTCCAAGAGCCGCATCACGAGAAAGGTCCGTGTTACACGCCTCTTTCGATACTAAAAATGTCCGGAGTCCCCGCATCAAGTCCGGCTTCTACACACGTCAAACCAACGTTTGTTGTCCCGAGCCCTGCTATGCATCGAGGTGCAATATCGAATGCCAGCAAACGTTGATACTGTCGTTTGGGCGAACGCTCTGTCATGTCATCGAGCATCCTGCCGACATGCGCAAACCCTGAAGATCTCTTCACCGCATATGAATAGTCAAGTCAGAATCCAGAAATGGATCTTGGCTCTCGTGGTCGGTCCCTTGGACAAAAAAACATAGGCCAGCTCGGATGCCAGAACCCGTAAACAGTGCCTATCTCGTGCTCCTTGCGCAAGGCTCTCGTGCTCCGAGAAAGCCTCTCACCACAATCGGGTATCGTGCGATGCCGTCTTCCAATAGACACGCGTAACCTACCAGTATCCATAGCATCGTTCTCGTTCAGCCATCCAGATAGGCAATCGATTTCTGGTATCCATTCCTCGGGAATCGTGCTGCATCCGGTTTATGCGGCGTATTCAACCCACTTCCAGACCAATATGGGTCTCGTCTATATCGCGCTTAGCGAACCGCGCTCGGGATTTCTTGCTTGCCCATGGCAGGATCCAAGACTGCTGGTCCGAACGCATCTGTTATGAGCTTCTCCGAGACAGGCCACGAACGATAGCGTGATACGGAGAGCATCTTCGGGATTCCTGGTTAGCATTCAACAAGCTAGCAGGGCAAGCCCAGTCTTACATGCTCTATGGCACGGTGAGTCCGCGTCCTGGTCGGATCTTCCCAAGGATGCAGTTTTAGATTGATAAATGCCCTGCCCCCGACCTTGATGTCCTGTTATCCCAGCTAACTCTCGTTTATCTTCTTCTCTTCTCTTCTCTTGTCATACGCTTCACGATATGTCCGCATTGAGACTTGGTGGCTTCTTAGCGACTGCTCTCTTGAGCTCTCGCGCCGTAGCACAGACATGTCTGTCATTTGGTGTTGACTTCCAAACCAACGGAGACTACTTCCAAAACATCAGTTCCACGGCACCCTTCACCTTCGCCTCGCTCTTCGAGGGATGTGATAACGACGTTGCCAACAACATCCTTGTTGACCCCAACGGAGATGAATACCAATGCACTGATACTCCCCTCCAGCCCGACGATACCATTGAACTATCAACATGTCCCCTGGACAAGAATGAGATGTGGAGTGGTGACTGGTCTGTCTTGATCATCTCGAACAATGGCAATGACGATCCCATTGCCTACGAGCGTGACTTCTATCTCGATGTTGGCGTTCCCTCGACCACAACTTACACTCCCACGGTGACCATCACTTCAACATCTACTCCCCTTGTCCTCATCACCGAGACGTCGACCATCGTTTCGATCACTACACTGCCGGCAAAGACCACCACAGTTGCTTCCGTGACAAAGGTAAGCTTATTTGGTCAAATACTTTCTATGCAACTGTCGAATAACATTTACATCAAAAGTCTCCTACTGTGACCATCACACCAGCAATCTCCACAGTCGTGATCACAAAGACCGCAACACTCAGGAAAACAGACTACACGGTCGTCCCCGTTCTCACCACCAAGACCATCACTGCTTCATGCTCGATGCCCCCATCGCAACAATGGCCCGACCCAACTTGTACCATCACACCTACCTTGGTCACTGCCGCCGCTCTGTCGACCGATGACTCAGGTGCATCTACCACGGGTGCATCTGCTGCTGTTGCCACTGCTGCCACTACTTCTTCCGCCCCTGCTCAAAAGATTCGCCGTGGCCTGTTCGATCGTGCAGTACCGCTCGATCGCGCTGCCAGAGTCGCTGAGCGTAAGGCCAGAAGAGAGGCAAGCAACAAGTTGCACAGACGTGCCCCTGACTCTGCCACCACCACCATCACACAAACCGACACTGTGAGTGCAGACCCCTTTACTCTCTTCAATATCCGTTTTGCTAATTTTCGCTTTTCCAGTCTCTCTACAGCACTTCGACGTCAATTGTTACTGGCGATGCCACTACCATTACATCAACCACCGTTGCAACTTCCACCTCGACCTCCACTCCTCCTGTCGTTACCGTCAAGAGCGGCAAGACCACTTTGCCCGTGGTAACCACTACCCTCAAGCAATCCACCACCACAAAGACTGTCATGACTGTTCTTTACACTACCGTCAAGACGATAACCTCTTCGCCCACCGTCACCATTTCAAGCACTACCACAAATGCGAAGAGTGCTATCGCTTGTACCGCAAAGGGTGGTAGAATGACTTAGACGAATCTGTTAATCTTCTTGCTGGCTTGGCTGTTTTTTTTGGGCTTGGGGTAAAGTGAGGGAAGGAATCTTATGTGCCATGTAAGCAACTGATGTTTTTCTGTTTGTGGTTTGGGGTGCGGAAAGATGGGTTGTTCTGGGATTTCATCAAGACATGAATTTATTGCCTTCTCGTTCTTCTCGTGCCTTTCTGTCCACGTCCCTGAATTGCTTTTTTCACAGTCTTGCACTATTTCTAGAGATGTCAACGGGTAGAGAGACGAAAGGCGATAATCTGAGTACAGCAGAAAGGCCTCAACTTTGTGCTTTTATCGCAGCAACCAAAAATCACACTATACCACTACAAGATCTTCAACCAAAATTCAGGACACGACGTCCAAAACGACTTTGCCCCTCGTATCTCTTTCCCGCCGTTTTCGCGCCCTTGCAGTTTCCAACGTTTCTACAGCAAAATTTTTCCGATCTCGGCTCCCGAGCCGTGAAGAAAGTTACACCAGAGTTACAGGTCAAGGCTGGTCAGCACCTTCTTTTGACCAAAGAGCCAAATTTGTAGTTCGGCGATGAGCAAGGTTTTGGCGTCAAGCATGCGCAAAGTTCTGAGGAGGCTGCGGACCTTGCGGTGTTCGGACAATTTTTGAGGGGAAGGAGGGGAGAGAAGGTATACAAGTAGACATGTACCCAGGTAACTTACAAGTCAGCCTCAGAAATTTTGATTTGGGTTCCGAGACAAGACAACGATGCCAGTTTCGGAAGATTTGGACGTAGGAACACGCGACGATAGAACATGTTGCTTCTCCGTTATGTATTGTGTTTCCTCTATCTGCAAAGCATTTCTGCAAAGCACTTCGATGATATCGTGACAATTCCTCATTTTGATCCTTTCATATAACCTCTCACTATAGAGAGCGAGTTGTCCAGGGTCCACTCTGAACAAATCACAAATACGATTCCACAGAAGTTATCGTCGAGACATCTGGAAACCCGATCATACAGTGGTCCTGCTTGGCTAATAGATGCAAAGATTGTCATATCATCCATCTCCATACTTGACCGAACTGGACTGTTTACACACTTGTTCAATGCCACCCCAATTTTACTCTACTATGCTCACATGTAGGTCTTTGCGGTCAACAGATAGCCCTTACAAAACCTCTCTGAAGTTGGGGCGCGAGAAGAACCCATTTACAAGTCGCGAACACAGACTCAAGAAACGTACAGAGGGAAAGAGTGGGAAGATACAAAGCACCCTGAAGAAAAGACTATAAGCAAATAAAGGTCCCAGAGGGCATAAGAAGGAGAACCTTAGGTCGACGGATCTGTCAAAATCATGCATATCCCCCTGACCACTGCACATGAGATATCTCTCACGCAGCCCAAGAAAGAGAAACCACTCAACCTCCAAGGAAACAAGCAATGCTAGATGCGACTTCACAGACCCCAATTATCTGTTCAAACCTACCTGACCTGCCTATTTTTGTTTCTCACTTTATCACAGGGTCTCACGACTTGCTTGTCAATGACAGCGATATACTTATGGACTCTATGTACTGCGATACCGCGCAAAACACTTCTATATTTCTTCCCTATTCTTTTTTTTTTTTGAGATACTTTAGTAGTATTAGACATATACGAGGATGGATCACGCAAGTCTCAAGCCTCATTGTTCTGTTTGGAAAGAAGTGGAGGCACTATTGCTCATCCCGTCTCCGAGACACTACCTGCTAAGATGAACTGACAGAAGAACATGTAACATCACGAGTAAATCGTGGTCATGCGCATAGAGAAACAAGTCACAAACAGTAGATCAGGCTCGAAGGGTGAGCGTCCCAAAAGGGTTCAAAGGAGGACAAGCAAAACTTGTTACCCGCTAAAGGTCCATTGAAAGAAATCAAAGCAAGCTAGAGAACTCCGATGCCCAATGCCCTAGAAAAAGTAGTAGGTATCGAGAAGAAGAAGAAAAGGTAAAGCAAAAGAAGAAACAAAACAAGGACATTTGTCCTGCCAATACTCCTTTCCATGCTCGTGACCGTACAGCTTGTTTAGTGGTTGCGTTGAAGACTCTGCTGTTTTGCCNNTGGAAATCATTGAGTCAGCATGTTGTCTCTGGTCAAAGTAAGAAGAGTTGCACACACCTTCATCATCTCAATTCTGGCCTTCAGGTTTTGCGTCACTTCAGCAGCACGTCTCCAACTCTCTACACCACCAGTGGCACCTTCACCGCTTTGCGTCCTCGACATGGAGGATCTTTGAACACCAGACTCTGGACCCAGACCTGCTCCATAGCTTTGCTCCATGTTGCTTCCCGGTCTGCTACCACTGGCGCTGCGCTGCAAGCCAGAAACCGCGGGACTAGCGCGGCCGCTGCTCGAGTGGTCCATGGATGGTGCGTTTGAACTTCTGAATCCACTCACAGGGCTTGTGATGCGTTCCAATCCGGCTGCAGAGTCGACGTGTTCGTGTGTCTCACCGCTGGGTTCTCGTGCTTGAGATGATGAGTATGACATGCCACCGCCAGGACGTCCGAACTGAGGTCGAGGCGGACCCATACCGCCCATGGGTGTGTCGTAGTGTCTCATGCCGTTGGCACCGTTGCTCTCAGAGTAGCCATTGTTGTGCATCTGGGTGTCTTGGTTGTGGTCACGCTCAACCCGTCCCAAACGGGCCACTTCTCGCTTCAGCCTGTCTACTTCACGGGCGAGACCAGCTGCACGTTCCTCGGCAGCTTCAGCATCACTGCGCGCGCGGACTAGCTGAGTCTCCTTGGCCTTAATTCCCAACACATCGCGAGTGTGATCTTCGATCAGTTGTGCGTTCTGATTCTGGAGCTCGTGGATCTGGCTGTTGAGTCTCATCTTGTCCGTTCTCAGTTCACTATTTTGAGAACGGAGGTATTCGGCTTCTGAACGCAGGTCCGAAAGTTCTGATCTTTCTGCCAAACTCAAGACGGAAGGAGCTGCTTGGGGAGGTGGGGCGTATTCTTGAGGGGGCTCGTTTGTGCTCTGGTTGAATGAGTTGGTTGGCTTGCCTAGTGGCCTGGCGGCAAGACTACGGGGTGCTGCGAGTCCTGAACGTGGCGCAGGAGCAGGTGTCGGTGGGTCGTCCAGCATCTCGACATCTTCAGAAGGCACTCTTCTGGGCGAAGCGGCTGGTGGTGCCAAACCAGGCTTTCTCATCTTTGATCCAGGTGCTGCAAGTCCAGATTTGAGGCCAGGCTTGACTCCGGGTCTGCTGGTTGGGCGAGCGGCTAGCGGTGCAGCAGCTGGAGGCTCTTCCGGTGTAGCGGGTCTGACTGGCGCAGGTGCTGCCTTCTTCACACCTGGTGCAGGACGTCTTCCGGGAGCGGGCTTCTTTGCGGGAGCTGCGGCAGGCTTGGGAGGGGGAGCAGCCTTGGGCTTCCACTTGACCTTGACCTCTGCGTTGTCACAGTACTCCTTGATCTTGTTCTTCTTGATATCGTCAATGCCGTCGAGATGAGGAAGCATGTTGCGGTCAGTCATGATTTTCCACAAGGTTCCAAGAATTTCAGCAGCTGCTTCTCTAGGTGGGGCTTGAGAGTCCGCCAGCAGAGTTTTGGCAGCGTCGGACATGGTCTTGAGCTCAGCAGGTGGAGGCACCTCTCTAAGGTTCTTCAAACAGCGCACAAGCACACGAGCGGACTCGAGCTTGACTTGAGGAGTCTTGTGCTTGAAAGCTTCGAGCATCTCCTCGAGGTTGTCAGGCAGACCAGTGGCCGAGACGACGGCGTCGCAAGCGGCAGCAAGAGCGTCGGTAACGGTCTGCTTCTTCTCCTTGAGACGCTCGAGCATGGGCGACATGATCGTAGAGCGGTATCTTGAGAAGCTCTTCTTCAGACCCTTTGCGAGCACTTCGACACAGTTTGCAGCCACAGTAACGCAAGCCACGTTGGCATCCTTCATGCTCTTTGCAAGACCACGCATGACATCGTCGAATGGGCCTTCCTGGATGGCGGGTTGGTTGGCGGCTGTGAAGAGCTCGTCAAGAGCCTCCTTACGGTCCTTCCACTTTGACGAGTTGAGGCGTTCGCTGAAGTCTGCCGGTACCTTTGACATGACATCGACAGCCTCGAACTCTGGTTCCAGGTCGATTGCGCCGTCTTCTTCCTCTTCAACATCTTCAGCCGGAGCCTCGCCCGCCTCTTCTGCGGCTTCTTGTGCAGCTTGTTGAGATCTGAGCAGTCTCTCTTGTGTGGGCTTGTCGTCCTTGACCTTCTCGAACAGCTTTTCCAGATCCGTCTGTTGGACGGGCTTGAGCTCTCCCCAGAACAGGGGTTTCATGGCTTCCTTTAGCCATCGGTAGAGTTCGACTGTGAGGTTTTGTGCTTCGGCGCGCACGTTCTTGTCTGCATGACCGTAGACCTTGGGTAGTAGCTTGACGATGGGCTTTGGCTCGACGGTTTTGCAGCCGTATGCGTGGTAGATGGCGGTGAGGGATTGTAGGGCAGCGACGATGACTTTGGGGGTTTTGGCGGAGAGGAGGGGAATGAGCTCTTCGATGACGGGGTCGGCAATGTCGAGTTCGACGTAGAGGAGGAGGGCCTCGATGGCAGCGGCTTTTGCGGCGGGACGACCTGTCACACCCTTTTCGACAATGGGCTGGATTGTGGATGTGCGAGTNGCTGAGGGTGTGTGTTAGCTATAGGACAAGGGAGTGCCTGGGAGAATTGCGCACCGGGTGCAGCCGGGCTTGCCAGCAATCTCAAGAAAGGCATTCAAGGCATTGAGGCCTTCGGCCTGAGCAGCGACGTTGGCATCGGCTACAGCGCCCTTCCAGATGTTGGAGTCTGCGATAAAGTCCTTGACGAGGGGGTCGCTCGGTTGCGCAGTCTTGAATTCTTTTGTGGCAGCTTCGTAACCTTCCTTGCGCACTTTCCAGTTCTTGTGTACAAAGCGATCGGCTAGGGGCAGCTTGCTAAAGTCCTCTTGCTCTTCAGCCATGTTGGCGGTAATGTAAAGTCTTGGATCCTAAGTCGGTCCAGAGGAAGACTGGCCGTAAACCTAGAAGTCGAGGAGAAACCTAGAAGTCGAGGAGAAACCTAGAAGTCGAGGAGAGCGGAGTGCGATGGGCGAGAAGCGACGGCAGGCACAATGTCGCTGCGTCGTTCAATCAAGTTTTGTAGTTGTTCGACGGTGAATATCTCGTCATGGAAGTTGTTGTTTGGCAGAAGAATATGGCCGGCTTTCTCAGGCGTCACAACAACAAACACGAGCGCAGCCCAAAGCCAAATTCCCGTCTGACGGCATTGGGCAGCACATGCGACGACTACGAAGTAGCAAGACTCGACCGATTCACTCTTCGCACCTTCCCTAGAAAGCGCCTTCCCTAGAAACAACGACAGTTACAGCTGAAACTCGCGACTTCCCCTTTTTCACAGATTCGGTCGCCCTCACCGCCGCTGGTGCAGGTCCGCTCTTGCCAGCTTGGAGATTCAAGAGTTGTTATGCGCAACCACAACCATGTCCAATCTCTTGACTCAGCGACAGGCTGAAGAACTGTGCGTCGCCAAACTCCACTCCGAATGCTGTTGGCTGATGTGCTGATAGCNNCACAAGTCCTTGATCGCCTACCTCACAGCAGCTGGCTTGACAAACACGGCTTCATCCCTCCGCGAAGAGCTCAACATTGGTGACGAATTCGACGATGCCACGCGAAAGAAATATGAAGGTCTCTTGGAGAAGAAGTGGACCAGTGTCGTCCGCTTGCAGAAGAAGGTGAGCTCCTGTTCTCAGCCAACGCGACTTGTTTGGCATGGCCCTTACCCTCGACCAGNNATAATGGACCTCGAATCACGCAACACAACCCTACAAACAGAACTCGACACCGCCACTCCCACTTCACTGTCGCGCCGCAATCAGGATCCTGCCACCTGGTTACCACGATCTCCAGCCCGCCACACCCTCCAGTCTCATCGTCAACCCGTTACATGTGTCGCCTTTCATCCTGTCTTCTCGTCCCTGGCTTCTGGCTCCGAAGATGCAACAATCAAGATTTGGGATTGGGAGCTGGGTGAGCTCGAACGCACAATCAAAGGCCACACCAAAGGTGTTCTCGACATCGACTACGGTGGTCCACGCGGAGGCACGCTTCTGGCCAGCTGTAGTTCTGATCTGACCATCAAGCTTTGGGACCCGAGCGATGAATACAAGAATATCCGCACCCTACCCGGCCATGATCATAGTGTGTCGGCTGTGCGCTTCATCCCTTCAGGCGCTGCTGGTGCCCCGTCGAGTGGAAACCTCTTGGCCAGTGCTAGTAGAGACAAGACCATCAGAATCTGGGACGTCACGACTGGCTACTGTGTCAAGACCATCCGTGGTCACGCTGATTGGGTACGCGACGTTGCTCCAAGTTTCGATGGTCGCTGGCTTCTATCTGTTGGAAACGATCAGACCGCTCGCCTATGGGATACACAATCCGGTGATGCCAAAGTCACCTTCGTCGGCCACGAGCACGTTATTGAATGTTGTGCATTTGCTCCCGCTGCTGCCTATCCTCACCTGGCTTCAATGGCCGGCCTCAAGAAAGCCCCGCCCGCAACTAGCTCGGCCGAGTTCGTTGCGACTGCTGGTCGTGACAAGCTCATCAAGCTATGGGATGCCAGAGGAACTCTGATTAAAACGCTTGTTGGTCATGACAACTGGGTCCGAGCCCTGCTGTTCCATCCAGGAGGCAAGTATCTACTCAGTTGCGCCGACGACAAGACGATACGCTGCTGGGACCTTTCGCAAGAAGGAAAATGCGTCAAAAATATTGAGGATGCACACGGCCACTTTGTCAGCAGCATGCGCTGGGCGCCAGGAGTGATCAAAGATGCTGCCACTGCCAATAATGACGCTGCTACCAACGGATCGAAACCAGGCGACGAAGCGGCCAAAATCAGCATTCGCTGTGTCATTGCAACAGGCAGCGTAGACCTGAATGTCCGAGTCTTTGCATCATAGTCTTACTTCCCTTGTCTCTGTTCTCATGTATCATTGGGATGGAGTATTCGGCGCATGGTGAGGGGTGTTTTCCAATGGTGCCTTTTCTCTGTAGATGGTGTATCTTTCCGAGGTTTTTCTTTTCAGCATGGATCATGGCGCATCTTTTGCTATCGTACTCATCATCCTTCCTCTTCTTCATTCATACCCTTGCTTGTAGGGAAGGTTGGCGTCTTTTCTATCTTTGCTTCCCTCGAAAAGAAGTGCTATGAAGTATACATATCTCCTGCTTACCTTCTTCTTGCCCTGTTCAATTTGTGGAGCCTCATAATGAAGCAGAAGATTGCTCTAAATCATGAAAAGCGCATTCGTCATTTGATAGTCATGGTTATGCACAGTAGTTATGCTGGCCGTGGATATTTATGCAAGACCATGTTGTGATGTGATGTCTCTATCGCATCTACTGTGTGATCGGTGGAGAGCGTACAAGAGGTGGTGGGTGTTTGAAGTCCTTGTTGCAGCCATTGATGTAGACACGGTTAATTATGCAGGATAGTTATGCTGGAAGCAGAGACAAGATTTGTGCAAAAGACATGCGGCTCTCCGCAAAAATCACATGCGGCGGGTCAAACTTGTGACGTGCATGAACGAATCGTGAAAGAAGATTGTCAAGCTGATTTTCTGGACTCTATCTCTACAACAAGTACACGTCGCCTTCCCTCCAGACGTATCCTGTTCACCAGTCTCTCACACAGGTTTTGTCTGATACAGTCACACCACCGCAACCAGTAATTCCACCTCCATCCACTCCTCAGCAAGCAAAGAAGAAAGAGGGGGAGAAAAATCATCTGCTAACAACAATCAGTGTCCGACATCGACCTCTACTCCATCCTCGAAATCTCGCGGGAAGCAACAAAAACCGACATCAAANAAGCCTACCACAAAGCCGCGCGCGTGCACCACCCAGACAAAGTCCCCGAAGACCAACGCGCAGCCGCAGACGACCGCTTCAAGGATATCCAACAAGCCTACGAGATCCTCAGCGATGACAGCACACGTGAAATGTACGATATGCATGGTATGGCTGCTTTCGAAAAGGGAAACCCTGGCGCAGGAGCAGGGCCGGATTTAGACGATATCCTTGCGCAAATGTTTGGGCAGGGGATGGGTGGGATGGGAGGTGGGTTTGAGGGTATGGGGGTATGCCGGGGATGGGTGGGATGGGAGGTAGAGGTGGTCCGCGCAAGAGCANAGAATGAAGTCCAGGAATACGAGGTTTCGCTCGAGGAACTGTATAAAGGCAAAACGACAAGATTCGCCAGCACCAAAAACGTTATCTGTGGAAACTGCGAGGGCAGTGGTGGAAAAGCGAATGCAAAGCCAAAGAAGTGCGGCACTTGCGATGGCAGAGGTATGCATTTTTCCCTCCTTGCCTCCTCCAAAAATNACACCTCAGCCATACTGACTATCACTCAAACAGGTTCCAAGATCGCTCTCAGACCCGTAGGCCCCGGCCTCGTCACCCAAGAGACCGTGCCTTGCAGCACCTGCTCCGGCCGCGGCTCCTTCTTCTCCGACGACAAGAAATGCAAANAATGCAAGGGCGCCCGCACAACCTCGCAACGCAAAATCCTCGAACTGTACATTCCACCCGGCTCACGTCAAGGCGACAAGATCGTGTTGTCGGGAGAAGCAGACCAAGTCCCCGACCAAGAACCTGGCGACATCATTTTCGAGTTGGTGGAAACACCGCACGAGCATTTCCATCGCGCAGGAGCAGACTTGCAGGCAGAGCTGAAGGTGAGTCTGCAAGAGGCGCTTACGGGCTTTAATCGCGTGGTGCTCAAGCACTTGGACGGCAGAGGGATTTCGCTGCAAGTCACTCAACCTGCAGGTCGCATTTTGCGTCCGGGCGAGATTCTCAAGATTGCTGGCGAGGGTATGCCCATCAAGCGCTCAGATGCAAAGGGAGACTTGTATCTCATCGTCGACGTCGTGTTCCCTGAGGACGGCTGGCTGAGAGACCAAGCTACCATCGACAAAATCAGAAATGTGTTGCCTACCACCGGCACAGAAACCATCACGGCCGAGGAGGTGGATGAGTGCGATTGGGAGGTTATCAAGGATATGGAGGACTTTGGCGCTGGATCGNGGGACCCGAGAGCCGCCGAGTGGGAAGACGATTCCGAAGAGGAGGGTGAGGCTGCTCAGTGCGCGCAGCAATAGAAATCGGTGCAAGAAGATGTGGAAAATACCGCAAATTATAGAAAGAGCCATGACGACAAAGTCTGCCTCTTTTGCTTTGAGAAAGGAGGTATATGATAGCAAACTCGATTTGGCGTGCATCAGGCCTGGGGCCATTCTTGTGTCTTGGCTTCCACTGTTCTTATTAGATTTGCTGATATATTGAAACCCTCTGCTCTTTACACTTCAACCCTTTCTACAATTATTCAATCTGCTTTTGCACACAAAGGATGAATATAAAGCTCCTTCTATAAGCTCTCTCGTTTCTATCTATTCCAACGCCAGCGTAATGCCCACACGCAAACATTTCAGGTCCGGTCTTTCGTATATACATCGTCTATTCCTCCGTCGCACTCAACCACTCTTTACGCAGCCCCAGCAGCAGGCGCATCCCCGGACTCCCTAACAACCTTATCAATAGCCTGTGCCACCATCTTAACATTATCCCTATTGAGGCCCGAAATACTCGCTCTGCCCGAGGTAAGCAAATAAATATGTTCCTTTCTCAAACTCAACACCTGTTTCTCTGACAACCCAGTGTAGCTAAACATGCCATTCTGATTGATTATGTGTTCCCAAGAGCCCGGTGTGGAGAGCGCAACCAGTTCGCCGTAAAGTGCTGCTCGCATGGTCTTGATACGGCCACTCATGATGAGCAAATCTTGCTCCCACTCCTCNTTCAACTCTGCGTTTTGAAGAATAAAGGCAACGATTCTGGCGCCATACACGGGAGGATTGGAGATCTCGGCTCGTTGGAGATAAATCAGGTGACTTAGTGCTTTATCTCTGGCGTCCTCGCTGGCAGCAACAATGTGGAAAGCACCTACTCTCTGCCCATAGAGACCAAAGTTTTTGGAAAAGGATTGCGCGACTACGAGTTCGAGGGTTCCGCGCGAGACAAAGTGGCGCACTGCTCAGGCGTCTTCGTCGACGTCGCCAGAGGCAAAGCCCTGGTATGCAGAGTCGAAGAAGGGGAAGAGGTGTTTGCGCTCGCACAAATCGGCGATTTGCTTCCATTGGTCCTTGGTGGGATCGATACCAGTAGGGTTATGCGCGCACGCGTGCAGCAAGATCAAATCGCCAGGCTGAGCCTGTTCCTCCAGCGTACTCATCATGCCCTCAAAGTTCAAACTGCAGGTCGCGGCATCGTAGTAGGGGTACATTTTCTGCTGCACATCGGGAGCGGCAATGTCGAAGATGGCGTGGTGGTTGCCCCAGGTGGGATCGCTGACCCAGATGGTGGCTGGCTTGAGGCTGTCGTTGAGGAAGCGGGCGCCGAGATGTACAGCACCGGTTCCGGAGATGGTTTGCAGAGAGCCGATGCGGGAAGTCAGAGCAGCGTCAGGGTTTCCGAAGAGGAGGTCGCGTGCTGATTCGACAAAAGGATGCAGGCCTTCCATGGGCAGGTATTCGTGGTTTGTGGCCACGTCTTCTGCGATCATCTTCTCGACCTGTGGTTGAGTATTGTCAGTTTGAGTCCTTTCTATCCTTCTTCACAGCAAAACCAGAAAGAGCAATTATTGTCAGGCTAAGACGTGAGAGATATTGATATGCCTGCTCGTCAATGTCCACCGTTCCACTGCATCAATTTTTTCTCATGAGGTTCATATTGCACTTCCAAGCTCTTTCAAAACAACCAAACAAGATAAGAAAGAAAATCAAAAGTAGATCCAAGAAAAATCTCACCTTCTTNNCACCGTCGGCAGCACCCACGGCTTGCCCTCCTCATCTCTATAAACACCAATCGTAAGAGACGCCTTCTTCTCAGCCGGATCCTTGGCGTAAAGGCTCATCAATCCAAAGATGGGGTCTCCAGGCATGGTCTCCAGGTGATTAAAGAGCGAAGTGCTCTTGGTGTGCACAGGCAGTTCCTCGCGAGTGTAGCCCATGATTGCGGTATTGTTGAGCTTGCTGGAAGAAGGTACAGTAGAAAGTGTGCAAAGGCCAAAAATGTGTATCGAGAGATTAGTGGATATCAGAAATGTGAGTGAAAGACTCGTCGGATGGCGGAAGAGGAGGTCAACTTGTATGAACAGTCAGGCCGCTTGGATAGACGACTCCTATCAATCCCTCGGAGGACATACCAAGGCGGCTCCCCAATCTTTTTTCATCGCCGCTGCAAAATTCCACCGGTTTCGCAGGGAGATATGCTCATAACTGACGCATTCGGCAAGTCCTTGCGGGGATATGCACACTCATGCACACTCATGCAAGCTGATGCAAGGCACAAGTGTCGAAAAGCCGTTCTCGGAGGTCAGAGAAAGAGCTGCGACTGCAGCACGGATACGGACCGTATCCGTGTCTGAGACGACATCACTTGATGCATTCGATAGATATCAAGCAAAAGATACGATGTGGGAGATAAGTGAGATAGTTATGATGACGGTGTGTCAAGGAAACTAATGAGGGGGTTCAGAAGGAACGAGGACAGGATTCTGGTCATGAATTGGGGATAGCTAGGCAGCCAGTATCTGACCAAGGGACAGTGATATGTGGACAGGCAAGAGCGTCCAACAAGGAGCATGATAATAATACAAGATCTATATTTACAGAGGATGAGGTTGTGTGAAGAATAAATTCCTTACATCTCGAGTCGCTTCATACACTCGTTGTAGCCAAGCACAGCCATGACTTGTGAGCTTCCAGGCCCTGGCCGTCCAAAGCATAGCTTCTCTCGCAAATAGCGATGAAGTGACTTGCTCCATTCCTTTGATTTTTCTTTCTCCACTTGTCCGTCTATTGTGGCGCGAGATTGACACGTGTCCCCAATCGCTTTGGCGTACTTTTCCATTGCGGTATCCAGATGTTGTTTTACTTGTGCATAATCGTGAGATGCTGTCGGTGATACGCTGGCGGTGTTGACACGAGACATGATCTCCATAGCCGCGTCATGAAGATCCGATGTGGGAATTGAGGTTTCGGTTGATGGTGAGACTGGCGGTAGAGTGGTGAAGAAGTAGGCATTTCGCTCTACGTATGATGTTGGATTCTCGTATGTTTTTGCGTCGATGAAGAGAATGTTCATGATGTATGTTTTCAGATCCAGGCCTCCTATTACCGCTTCTGATGTAGGATAAGCAGTCCTCGCGGCCGACTCAATCAAACCGACCAAAGTCTCAAACGAATCATCTGACGTTGAAGATTGCATTGCGCGTTCGATGATGATCTTTGCATGGTTCTTCTGCAGATACCATAGTTTGTCGAACGAAACAATTGAGTTGCCTTTGGTAAACTTCAGGTCGAAGAGTTCAACCAACTTGTTCATTTCCAAGACATCATCGCGAGTAGGATTGCGCCAGCCCAGTAAGGCAAGAAAGTTGGCCAGACTCTCAGGCAAGATACCGTGCTTTGTCTTGAGAGCTCCGATATCTGTATCAAAATTGCGCTTCGAGAGCTTTGCTTGATCCTTGTCAGTGAGCAAACCTACATGGGCGAAAGCCGGCGGTGTCCAGCCGAAAGCGTTATACAGAGCGGCATGCAGAGGTGTTGAAGACATCCATTCAGTGCCACGAATCACATGAGTGATCTTCATGTAGTGGTCGTCGATGACGTTGGCGAGGTGATATGTGGGTGTTCCGTCCCCCTTGAGAAGAATGACACCTTCAACAGCAGCTCTTTGCGGTAGCGTCTTTTTGGACTCGAGCGAAACTTTGCCATAGACAAGATCAGACCAGCTGGGNGCTCTGTCGGGCTTGCCGAAGCGGACGGCATGTTTCTCGTTACGTGCTCTTTCATTTGATTCGTCCAGGGGNATGCTGGCGCAATCGCTATGGCAGCCGCCGATGGCAGATCCGACTAGCGAAGCATCGACATCAACAGGAGCTTGGGCTGTGGAGCTGCAGAAGCATCTGAAGGCTGCCTTTGAGCCGACGAGTTCCTGAGCGTGTTTCTGGTATAGTGGCGTTCTTTCAGACTGCTTGTATGGACCATAGGGACCACCGACTTGCGGACCCTCGTCCCATTGAATGCCAGCCCACCTCAGGTCGTCGCACAGCCTTTGCTCGGCATCAGGGACTAGTCTTTTNCTTCGCCCATCAGCTCTTGGGTCTTGAAATGCTTGTCATGTGGTGCTCACCTGATCTGTATCCTCTATCCTGAGCAGGAACTGGCCTCCAGTTCTTTTGGCGAGCAGGTAGTTGAAGAGAGCGGTACGTAGCGATCCGAGATGGAGATAGCCGGTAGGAGAAGGAGCAAAACGCGTTCGTGCTGGACCAGAAGGAAGAAGCTCACGGGTCGAGTGTCCTTTGGCCAGGCGACTGGCGGTAGTCGAGAAGGTCTTGATTGTGTTTGGGAAGGTGAATGCGCCGGAGGAGATTGAGAGACGACGCCCGATCGGAGTGCTTAGCCGATCAAAGCATGATTTGCAGACGAACGCCGACTTTTGCGACCGTCGTGGTAGCACATTGAGCAGTCGCGACATTCTCAGTGAATGCCGATAGGAAGGAGCGATCACTCGAATACTTTATTTGGTCGGAGGTGAAGGCAGCGCAACTCCGACCCCGCGCATGTGCCAAAGCTTGGCCTTCGTCAACAGCCATACAGCTCCAGCGTCCATCACTACTACCTAATCCACCACACACGCCAACATGGACGACCCAAGGAAGACGTGGCGTGAGTGCAGCTCTGTCTCTATTCATCCACCACAAGTACTAATATCAACCCAGAGCTGGACAATGCCGTCAACCTCACCGACGCCACTCGCGATCAGCCCTACGCCTACTCGGTCGACCAGCAAAAGGACATCAACAACAAGAAGCCATGGCGCAGCGATCCCAACCACTTCAAGCACGTCCAGATCTCGTCCGTCGCTCTGACCAAGATGGTCATGCACGCCCGCTCCGGCGGCAGCATTGAAGTCATGGGCCTCATGATCGGCTACGTCCTCCACGAGACCTTTGTCGTCACAGACGCCCTCCGCCTGCCCGTCGAAGGAACAGAGACCAGAGTCAACGCTCAAGACGAGGCCAACGAGTACATGGTCAAGTACCTCGACCGTTCGCGTCAGGCAGGCCAGCTCGAAAACGCCGTCGGCTGGTACCACAGTCATCCTGGCTACGGCTGCTGGCTCAGCGGTATCGATGTCTCGACCCAGTACACACAGCAAACCTTCTCCGATCCTTTCGTCGCCGTCGTCATTGATCCCGACCGCACCGTCAGCTCTGGTAAGGTTGAGATCGGTGCTTTCAGGACCTACCCCGAAGGCCACGTCCCTTCCGACTCCGGCTCTGCTGGCGAAGGCATGGCTGCCGTCCCTCTTGCGAAGGCTGCCGACTTTGGCGCCCACGCAAACAGGTACTACTCGCTCGAAGTCACCCACTTCAAGTCGGCACTCGACAGCACTTTGCTAGAAGCCCTTTGGAACAAGTACTGGGTCCAGACTCTATCGTCTTCGCCTCTGTCCACCAACCGCGAATATGGAACCAAGCAGATCGAAGACCTGGCAGGCAAGATCAACCAAGTCACCCAGAACGCCAAGCACAGAGGTTCAATGTCGATGCGTCCGGGCGCCAAAGGCGATGCGGCCATGGACAAGGTCGTCTCTGCCGCCGACAAGATTGCCAACGAGGAAAAGACTGGTCTGCTGGCTGCTCAGGTCAAGGAGAAGGTCTTTTCGGCCCCTGCAGAGAGCACGAGTATTGGTGACGGTAATGGAATCGAGGTCAAGATGCAGGAGGCCATGGAAGAATAGAGGCAGTTCTCCTAGACGATGATGACACGACTTGCATGGGTTTGCTGGAGTTTATATGGCTGGAGACATGCATCATCACGGCGTTTTCACAGGGCACGGACGATAAAGTCATGGGCGTGCTATGCATTAAGAGCGCAATTGTAATATCAACACTACAAAACATTGACTCTCATATGATTTTAAACTCCTTGAAAAGCATATGTGGAGCTAAGTATGTTACTCTCGCTTCTCTTTTTCTTAGGTTGTCATATCTTCCTGGCGACAAAATGGTCAAAGTGCTGTAGGGATCCTAATGTATTTATCTGATGGAGCATGGATAGAGAATTGAAAGCAGTATTACTCAACGATAGATTGGCAGAATACTACAAAAGATACCTTAGGACATGGAGGAATATATGATAGATTGCTTCGGATTGCACTGTCCTCGAAATAGCTTTCCAGTCGTCCGTAATGTCGCCATCAATGCCTCCATCTATCACCGTGAGTACAACCCTGACATATCTTGGCGTGTTGATATCGAATCCCTTGAGTTCAGTCAACGTTCTTAACGCTGAGTTGGACCTGTCTCTATCAATCGATTTCCATCTGTATTGTTCACTCCGAGTCTCGCTATGCTCCTATCTGCAGTGTCATCTCCGAGGATACCACCGGTGGCGCTCTGCAGAGTTGTACGAGTACGCTGGAGCAAAATTGCCTTCCCTTGTCCGTTTGTAGCACAACCGCTTGAGTGCAAAGCTTCACGCATGCAAGCTTCCGCACATGGCCGGTAGAGACGGATAGGAACAAGAAAGAGATGGGCGTCTGTCATAGATGTTGCAGCTGCATGTTGCTGGTTGTGGCGATCTCTTGAGTGTTTGTGCTAAGGAGGTAGGAGATCTAAGATGCACAAATGTAGACTGGTCAGGTAGAAGTGGTGATGTCTCTGACATAAATCAGAGAGGGAAAGAGTCGAATCCCCGGCATCCCCGGATCGGATGTCCACAAATTCGAGGCTCTGTAACATTGCGTATGACGTCCCTTTATGGATGGAATTGATGGGCCCAAGTCATCCTTTACCAAGTCGTTTGCGCTCGCGTGCAGCCCGCGTCCAATCCTTTGACATTTCCGCTCTATATCGACACTCCAGTGACGGACATGCAGTGAAGATGCCACAGTCTGCGACAAGACTGCCGTCCATGAAGAGAGATCGCGTGCTGCGATAGCAACCACCTATCTATCCTACCTAATCTTTAATAGATCCTGTCAGCGCAATGCCGCTGCCTACCGCGTCCTTTGTCGGCGGCGTCCTGGTCCTCGCCTACCTCTCGACCTTTGTCCTGTTCGCGCTGCTCCGTATCCTGACGGGCATCAGTATCCAGCGCATTGGCTACTCGGGCTTCCGTCGCATCGCCTTTTCGCCCAAGCATGGCATCAAGATATACGTTAGAGGCGTCGGATTGTCTCTCCATCGACCTACTTTTGCGCAACCCACATGGATCAGTCTGCACCTGACCGAGCCCCAGGTCGTTGTCGACTTTGGCGCATTGCAGAATGCGGCCAACACGAAATCCGAACACGAACGCGAACATGGCGCATCGAGCAAATCGCACGACAACGACGCATCGCAATGGAAAAAGTTGACGCAAGTCAAGGACAAGATCAAGAGGTTGCATACAAAGATCCGATATCTGTGTCTGGTCGACTTGGTTGCCGTCTCGAGCAGCATCATCATCAAAGACGTGGGAACCGTCACCGTCGAGCGCATTACCTTGGCTGTCGACACGAGGGCAAAGACGGTCGATCGCAGTCGCTTGTTCCAGCATGACCAGACAAAGGCTTCGTCACATACCCCGGCCGAATGGAAGAGCATCGTTCGATCTATACTGTTCACACCCGAGGGAAAGGAGTCCTCCGAAATCCTGGATGGCATGTCTCTGAGCATCCATGGCTTCTTACATCCGCATCTTGAGGGTCTACGCGATGCTTCGATTGCGTTGAAGCTAGGGCGTCTGGATATCCCATATGACGACCTGCTGGACGCGAACGAGAAGCTGCACCAAATTCGCGGTGCTGCCAAACACGAGACCCGAAACTCGCCATCTGTACAAGCACCCAAGATTGCCATTAACGATGTGCTCAAGGAACCCCAGGATGCCGAGAACCGCGAGGAACAGCTCATGAAAGCCGTGGCAGAGTCAAGAGAGTTTCTTGGATCTGTTCTCAAGGGCATACAGGAATTTCAATTGGCCATTGGCTTTNTGGGTCTTTCCAGGCGCATCAGATCTCTGCATACCTCTGGTCAGCAAGTCTACTTCAATATGGCCATGAAGGAACTAGGTCTGGATCTTCTGCGTCTTGATTCGAGGAGTCCAGCCCATCGCATGTATTTCTCGCCATCAGACGTCGCCCATCAAGCTCTGCTCACTGCCATTTCCATCTCGGCTGGTGTCGACGACGGCCACGACCACCCGGAGCGCATGCTCTACGTACCTATGGTTACCGCGACTGTCAAAACCACTCTCCCATCAAAGACTATACAAAAGCCAGACGACAGCACCAACGTGCGGGAGCGCAACAGCAACATACTGTTTGCTAACCTTGTTTGTACCTCGCCATCTGTTGATCTGGATCCAAAACATTTGCCACTCCTGCTAGCTATCGCAAAGGTACGGAAGGATTCGAAAAAGTCCTCAAAACCTCCCCTTTTGACGAGTCGCGGCTTTCTATCTCGCCTCTTGCCAAAAGCCATCATCAAGATCGCTGTCCAGGAACCTGTTGTCAGGGTGTCACTTCCTCCGCTGAGCCCGTGTTACTCTGGAGACGTCGAGTATGATCTGCTCATCTCGTCAACCTCAACCATGTCCTTGGATATTGACTCGCAACACTCCTTGACCGATAATGCAGTCAAGTACGGCTTGCACCTACACTACAGACAGACTTCAAGTCAACTCTACTACCAGACAAATGCTGGCCACAAGCATGACCTCTTACAGACAGACACTATCGAGGTCAAGGTTGACATCAACTTGCTACCGCAACCCGAGGTCTTTGTCTATGGTAGATTCCAGACTTTCTCGGTATTCCTGGTACGAACAGAAATCTCTGAAGGTATTCGCCAGATTGTAAAAGCCGCTCGTCGAGAAACAGATTCGGACGGCGGTGCCACAGTTGTGAAGAAGCCAAGTTTCCTTCGTCAAATCCCAAACTGGCTACAACATGTGAGCATACAAGGAGCCGACTTCAATGTCGAGCTAGCAGGCGTGGATCAAGCTGTATCCAAGTATGCTCGCGGTTTTGCCTTGCAGCTCGAGTCGTGGTCAGCAGAGTACAAGGCGCATCGTGAAGACGTATACGTTCCTGTACCGCGAAGAAGGTCACTCAGCAGATCTTTCTCGCGCGAGAGGAACGATCGATCGGCAACACCAGAGGCTCCGCGCAAGAAACAAACACTACCGACGGACGGGCGAAGACTAGCCTTGCACATACAAGGCCTGGAAGGTCATATCATAGATGCCGTGGAAGAGTCGAGCGCTGATCCTTTCATCAACTTGCCCAAGTTTGAGGTCGCATTCTCAACCTCTAGCGACATACAAGGGCCGCTCTTCCACATCAATTCGCATGCTAAGAGCTTGCAATTGAAATACTCGCTCTACAAGCACTTCTCGATCGGTGTAGCAGTGTTGACATTTAGAAGAATGTTCCTGACGCTGGATTCACAACATACTGACGAGCATCGTAAANAGCATCAGCCCAGCTCGCCCGTCAAGACTCGTGACCATTCTCAATATGATCAGATCTTGATGAGCGAAGTAACCACAATCGACTTCAAAGCGAACCTTATCCAAGTCAAGGCGGATATGCCCGCTGATCCTCCGCTGATGGTACAGATCTTCGGCGCTGATTGCGGTCGTCATAGATGGGCTACGCCATTTGCACGACTCAAGGTTGTACGGCTGCTTGCTGGAACTCCTAACATGAAGCAAGTCTGGAGTCGTGTCGTTAGCGTCAAGAATCTACGTTTCGACCTTCGCGAGATGAAGAACAAAGTCGGCCAAAAGACCGAGATTACAAAATCATTCGACTTGACGACAGATGTCATTCGCATTGGCGTCCCACACGGCTTGGTTCTGCACGCAATCTTTGACAACATTGTCAACACTGTCAAGACTTGTGAGCAACTACACCATCATTTCAGCACTGGAACACTCGAGTACATCTTGGAAAAACATCCCGAAGGACCGAAGAAGATTCCAAGAATATCTGTGCGTGCCCAATTGTTACTATTCGAGATCGAGGACAGTGGCTTTGAATGGAAGCTCGGAACAATCTATCGTGCTGGCCTTGTTGAGCAACAGCAGCGTCTCGCACGCGAAGAAGCTTTCAGACTCAAGGTCAAGCACGCAGACTCACAACGTCAACGAAGGGGTTCGCGCGTGCGCACCGCTTCTCAACAACCCCCACCATCTCGCAGACGTAGTCTTTCCCGTCCTGCAACATCACACCATAAAAGGAGTAAGAGTGCTCACTCGATCCACACACTTCGAGAAGAAGACGAAGAGTCCTCTCCTGAGAAGCCCCGTGGCAGAGGTCGTGATCGCAAGATCAGATATGACACTGATGGCAAGGCTAATTTCAATAGCGCAAACACTCGTACTGTTGAAAAGGCACATGCCAAGTTGCAGGAGTTCAATGCTCAAAGTTGGAAGAAGCGTATTGACCGAGCATTAAACACACAGAGCCGTGCTATCAGCGACTTGCGCGGTATCTTGTGGGGTATAAATGACCTGCCGGACGAGTCCGAACAAGCCGAGAACGTAATGGCCGTACCACAGCGTCCTGCGCTTATGGCCGCTGTCATTAGCGATGTTGGTGTAATCATCGACAAGCCTTCGTTTGCACTCGACCAATATCCGCAATTTTTACACGATATTGGTAAGGGCATGCCCATGGACATGAAGTATGGTCTGCTTTTGCCCATGAGCTTGAAGGTCACCATGGGCGAGGCTCGAGTTATGCTGAGAGACTATCCTCTGCCTCTCCTACACGTTCCTGCCATTCGCCCTGGCCAATCACCCAGACTTGCCAGTCTGTCTCTCAGCACCGACTTTGTTGTTGCGGAAGAATTCCAGGGATTGGAGTCTCAGCGCCACATCAACGTAGTCGTGGTGCCCAAAGAAAAATTCGGCAAAGACGACAATGAGAAGAACTTCTCAGTCGATGTGCGTAGAACTATTTCGGCTGTGAAGACTTACTCAGACATGAAGATCGACATCAACACGAGCTCGCCCACAAGGATTACCTGGGGAACATCGTATCAACCCGCTATTCAGGACATGATGCAGGTCATTGAGAACTTCACAAAGCCACCAATGGACCCATCCGACAGAGTTGGATTCTGGGACAAGATCAGGCTCAGTTTCCACTCACGTCTTGATGTCAATTGGAAAGGTGATGGCGATGTTCACCTCTGCCTCAAGGGATCTCGAGATCCTTATGTCGTGACTGGTCTCGGAGCTGGATTTGTCATGGTCTGGAGGAACAAGGTCCGCTGGAGGATCGCCCAAGATGATGACNCCCGCAAGTTCATGACTGTGGATAGCGGTGACTATGTCATGGCCATACCGGACTACAACTACTACGCCCGACAGCTGCATGAAGAGCCTGAGACAGAGTCACACAGTGGGTCTAGTAGCGTCAACAGCGGCAAGGCTACAGCCGCCTTCAAGAAAGTGGTCATGAAACTGTCCGGGAACGTGCAATGGATGGCTGGTCTGACATTCGAACGCGAAGTCGAGGATGGCAAGCGGAGCTTCGATTTCTGTCCTCACTACAAAGTCAAGCTCAGGCATCCTGATCACGCCAAAGCACCACCAGGTGAAATGTACGATGCATTCAAGGATTTCAGAAGTCACTGGATCCATGGCTCTATCGCCATCTCTGCACCGCAAGATCGAGACTGGAATGTTGCCAATCTTCAACCGTCGAAGAATTACAACTCCGTTCATCTCAGTCCACGCTTCTTTACGCACTTCTACAACTGGTGGTCGCTCTTCTCCGGAGTCATGTCACTACCCGTTCGCCAAGGTCCTCTTTGGGGAAGCATGGAGAAGTCGAGTAAGAAGTTTGGTCGTCATCTTGGCACAATCAAGTACAATCTGCTTTTCTCGCCTCTGTTCATCAGTCATATCTACAAGCACAAAGATGCCGAGGACTATCAAAATGACATCGTTTCTGCCACAGGTCTGAAGATGAAACTTGATAGCTTCATGTTGGATCTTCATCAACGCAGGGAAACTTTTGAGATCCCAGCGACTGCCGACAAGAAGGCAAAGCGAACGACTGCCATGAAGATCAACCAATGTCAACTCGATTTCATCTCGGCTGATATTCGAGCAATTTCTGCATCGATCAAGGGAACGAGTACCACTGAACTTGATCGAGCTGACGAGGCCACTCTGGCTTCCTACCAGACGAGCAACATCACTCATGTCGATATGTCCAAGTTTACGATTCCTGACAACGACCTGACCTGGATTGATATGGACGACTTTGTCGAGCTCGACTGGATCTTGCCTGCAGAGACGAATCCTGCGACCAAGATTCTGCCGCTCGGATTTGCACCTCGCTTCACGTATTTCAGACAGACTGATCATGGTGACTCGGTTTCGGGTGACACGACACGGTCCAGTATATTCGGTGATGAGCCAACGCATTACTGTGTCATGTCCAAGCGAAACGATCCTCGCAGAGTCCAGGCTGATCTTATCGAATCTCGTATACACCGTATCGAAGAGCAAATGGCCAATAACGAACGCGCGGTTGGAGAGCAGGAAGTCAAGGTCGTTAGAACGCATGAAGGCCATGAACAGCTTAATGAGCGACTTCGAGCTTTGAAGAACCACACCGAGGCATTACAGAAGAAACATGAGTTCTTGTGCGAACTTCTGAACGTGCTTGTTGAGAAGTTGCAGCAAGAGGACCCGTCCATTGGTGAAGGAATTGATACGGATGAACTGCCTGACAGAGATGCCGAAAAGGATAATGCACCAAAGGAAGATAAGAACCCAATTGCAGACTACACGAGCGACTTTAATAACAGGTTTGTCGTGCACAATGCTCAGATCAAGTGGAACAACTCTTTACGAAACATTATCCTGCGCTACATTCACCAAGTCAGTCAAAGACGTGGCTTTGTGTACTACATGTCTAGAAGGGCTGTCAAGTTCATTCTGGATATCCTTGAGGAACAGAAGAAATCAGGTCCTCAAGCTCCGGATAACCGCACCAACAGTGTGGTCAGCAACGATGCATCTTTCTTACCCATGACACCCAATCAAGAGGACGAATTGGCCGTACAAGATAGAATTGACCAGCTTCTCAACGATGGAAGACAGTTCGTCAATGCCGACGACCCCGAAACACAGGAGTGCACAGAGCCAGCTGACAAAGAGGGCGGTGGCGAAGGCATCTCGACCGAGTATACCCCACAGAACACTTACCATTTCCGTCTCATTGCTCCACAGATCCAATTACAGAGCGAGAAGGATCCAAAGTCGGTCATGCTGGTCGCTGCCAAAGGAATGCAACTCAAAGTCGTTCAGATTATGGACAAGGAAAGAGTTCTTGACGAGATCAGCGGCTTGGTACAAACACGCTTCTCTGCCGCTATGGACAGTATGCAAGTCTTCGTCGCCAGCACCAAGAAGTTCTCGACTGAATATCTTCACATGTACTCTGGGAATCGATATGGTGGCAAAGTTGGAGAATACTGGCCCCCTTGGGTACCATTGGAGGTCATGTTCGAATTCCAGGTCAACCCCTACGGTTTCTCGAGAGTTGTTCACCGTACTTCTGCAAGCTTGCGCTACGACAAATACAACAATCTGCGTCTAAAGTACAATGACGACGTCAGTGGAGGAGACGGAAACAAGACGCAGAACCCTGACGCCTCGGACCCTCGTATGGACCACGTCTATATCGAGTTCCCTCACTTCCGAGCCATCTGCGACTCCAATCAGTACTTTGCCATGTACATCATTGTGCTGGACTTGCTGCTGTACAGCGAGCCACTGGAAAAGACTCGTAGTGAACGACTCGAAAAGATCATGCTGGCCTCTGACTTTAGCGATCTGACAGGCGCACCCGAGATGGTGGAGATGCTACAAGCCCGCATTCGCCAGCTTGAAGATATCAAGATGCACTTCCAGATCAACGAGAAGTACTTGGATCGCCAGGGATGGAAGGATAGAATCGCGCTCGATGCAGATCTTGCTGCTTGCGAGGATGAACTGTTCTTCATGATGAAGGCAATCACCACTTCGCAGAGCAGAGTCGAAGATCGCAATCAAGAAGAGTCGCCTGGTCTCCTGAGATGGCTCATTTCGTCCAAAGAGATTGCTTGGCATCTCATCCGCGGAGAGAACGAGTCGTTGCTTGAGTTCCAGATCAAGGATGGTCTTTTCGATCGTACAGACAACAACGACGGCTCCAATTACAACTGCGTGGAGATTGGTAGGATCAATGGCTTCAATCTGTTGCCGAATGCCGTATACCCTGAGATCATCGCACCATACATTGACCCAACTCGTGGCTTCCACAAGCAAAAGGATATGAAGATGTTGCGTGTGCAGTGGTTGATGCTGGAAGCCATTGCCGGTATCCCTGTGGTCGACTACTTTGAAGTCAACGTCATGCCTTTGCGTGTTCAACTCGAACGCGAGATTGCCAAGCGACTGTTCGAATATCTGTTTCCAGGTGTTGGCGGCAATGCATTTGAAGGTGGCGGCTTTTCGCCTTTCATGGTCCGTAACATGGCCGTGCCAGAGGACGACGAGGAAGATTCGGACGAGAAGAAGGACAGTACGCCGCATGAGGAAATCCCGACCGGGGGTGTTGGCACTGGAGCTGGTGAACTCGAACACAGACTCCAGCCCACGCTCAAACTGCCCGAAGGCAAAGTGCCCATCAAGAATGGCAAGAGTAAGGGGCTCGGCAACAATCAGTCGACCTCGTCTCTGCACAACCTGCACTGGAATCCCTTCAGCCATTCGGACAAGTCATCCAGCAACGTCGCCAAGAAGCAGAACGGCAACACCGCGTCCAACCTCAGTCTCGTCAGCCGCACGCCCTCGCAACGTTCCTCGGAAACAAATTCGCTCGCCGAATCCGAAATGTCCAAGAAAAAGGCCAAGAAGGGCAAATCGTCGGACAAGGACGACAACAAACAAGCCTCTGACGATTTGTCTCTGATGCTATCCCGTGCTTCCAACTACATGACCTTGTCCTTCTTCAAAGTGCCCAGCATGGTCCTGTGTCTCAGCTACAAAGGCCAAGGACGCAGAAACCTCGAAGACGTGCACGATCTCGTGTTCCGCATGCCCACACTTGAGTATCGCAACAAGACATGGTCGAACCTCGACTTGGCGCTGCAGATGAAAAAGGACCTTATCAAAGCGCTCATCTCGCACGCAGGCGCCATCGTGGGCAACAAATTCCACAACCACAGGCCTTCACGCCAAGCCGCGACCAGCAAGCTGCGCGAGATGGCCAATCTGAGTACCATGCACATCCACCGCTCCTCTGCAGAACAAGACCGCGGCAGCGAAGCAAGCACACCCATCACCACATCTTCCATCGTCGAAGAAGAAGACGCAGCCGAAGACCTCGACGAAAAACCCGCAAGACCATCATTTACCTCTGGGCGGCCCAGCGTGTATGACGACCACGCGCCCTCCTCACCAATAAACAGTTTCTTCATCGCTTCAAGAACCAAAAGCATCACGCCCTCCCTCACCATGTCCCTCGAAACCGAAGGCGGACCCGTACCCCCTCCGCGCCCACGCCCACAAACTAATTCCTCGCACATCTCGCGTCAATACACCAATACCTCGTCCCTGAATACCCCTGCTGCATCCAGAAGGTCTGGAGAAAGTAGACACAGAAGCACGAGTATTGGCTCGTCTTTTGCAGACAAANAAGGCATTTTTGGACGCTTGAGACCGGGGACTAGTGGGTCTAATGGTGCAGAGCAGAAGAATGGGGGAGTGGCACAACAGGGGGACGGGGTTGATGAGGAAGGGTTTAAGAGTAAGTTGTTGCTTGGCGGCCAGAAGTTGCTCAATAAATTGCCGCATGGTGGTAAGGGGTAGTGGGGATTTTTGAGTTTTTTTGAGAACGGCGTTTGTGGTGGGAAAAGTCTCGAAAGAGAAGAGACTAGGAATATTCTTTTGCTGCCTTCTTGTTACTGTAGATATCTTCGCTTCTTATATCTTGCTGTTGCAGAAATCAATGTATATTGTTTTTTTCCCCTTCAGACGTCGATGGTTCTTGTGCAGTCTATGCTTCAAATAACCAGTTCGCTGCAGTTAAAAAAATCTGTTCGAAGACTCGGGCTTCCAAGCCAGAAAGTGTTTCTCAAGTTTGCCCTTTTCGAGCAGAGACGCGTGCTGGGAACACAGATAAAGAAGCCGCTGGGTTGCGACACGCTGGCTTGGCCGGTGTATGCTGCAGCTTGCATGACTTCAGTAGACTGAAAAGGGAGAAAAGTGCCGAGGTCTTTGATTCTTCCACGAAAAGGCGAGATGCCGGATAGATGGGCAGTGTAGAATTGGATGCTGGATGTCTTCAGAGCGGCTGGACCGAGAGTCTTGGAGACAAAGGGGGATCGTGAATCTGATTGTCTACTATCTTCTCTCTTCGCTTTATTGGAAGCGGTTCTCGGAGATCTCCTGGAGCAGACAAGTTAGGACGGCATGTTCTCAACCTAGCGAGGCTGCCGAGCTTCCGCGTTCTGAGTTGAGAAAGTGTGTAAGCTAGCGGGACTTCCCTCAGATACTCGAGAAGAGGATGTCAGTGTTGCCAACCCGCTATTAGTCCCAGATAAGATTTGTTCTATTCCCTTCACGACCTCATCCTACTCGAAGGCGAGCATCGGTTGCTGGCAGAGGGCGCGGGTCTGTACTGACAAACCTTACTGTAGTTGTCACTAGAGACCAAAGAGGACAGTACGTGGCCGATAAGAAGAGTAACTACTTAGTAGGAGTTATTGTTTCCCAATACGATACCCATCCGCTATGCTAATATCTCGAAGGTCTGTGGTGCCCTGTCAATTCCCTCGCCACGACAAGATTGATTGATTTCTCGAGTCAGTGGAAGTGAAGAGGTCAGTGAACCTGTCCTTACCATACCTCGATATAACTAGACAATTGTGCCCCTGTCTTGACCAGATTTTAGGGGATTAGAGTGATGTTGAGAGGATTCATGGACCAGGCTGCTCTCTCTTTGTACCATTGTACCATTGTACCATTGTACCATTGTCCCCTGATGTCCATTGTGCTCTCTTAACACTTTCTCGAGCATATGTTCGTGCAGCCGAAGCTATCCACGATCGTTTTCGTTTGTGATGTCTGAAACTCATTGTCTTCGTAGTTATTTCGGAACATGATGGTGAAGATTTCATGATCATGTCGATACCGCCAAAATTCTCTTCTTAGTTGTATGCATTAATACTCATTTTTTGTTGAGATTGTGTGCGGGACTCGATATTGTGTTCGTTAGATATGCCTTGAGAAGACTTCGGCTCATGACAAGATTTTGATCATTGGATCAGCTATTCCGACCGAGTTGGGTGTTGGATCAAATGGTTGCGAATTGGACGGAACATCGACTGAGTTGTAGGGCTAATCTGCCCATCGCAGTCACCTACCAATATCCGAAACGTAGCAACCACTTTACATAGAGAACACTGATCGCGGTGTTGACTATGGTTTTGCATTACGGATGTTGTACGGCATCTTTATGCACCACATCGGAAGCCAGAGTTGACTTATAAGACAGGAAAACATAGGCTTGTTGCCAATGGAGATGAAACCATAAAGATACTATTTACTGCCATGCAAAAGTTGGTGAATCAAGACGAAATCAATTCCCTCGATTGTACTATTCTCAGCTTTCTGGTCAGCAATTCCAGCAATAGAAGCTTTTTGCATTCCACAAGTCAAGTATGCAAGAATGTGTCTTTGGCCTGAGTAAGTGCCGCCACCACACCAATGTTCCAAAATCCGTAGGTCTTTGCAATGGTGCCGGCTGATGCCATTCTTGCTTCCATCCAAACCAAGTGACCTCTAGATCCTTGTTCCTCAAGCCACTTGTTCATCTGCTCCATTCCAGACTCGAGGTCCGTGTATGCAGGATCGACTACCAGGTTGCCTGCTTGATCACGCAGGTTCTGAAAGAGAAAGTGTGTGTCTTCTTTGGTGAGGTCTTCTCCCTCGCTCAGGTTGATTATGAGACGGTCCAGAGTTGTGCCTAGGATATGTGGTCAGTCTATTGAAGACTTCGTATATACAAAGCAACAGATCACCAACCTTTGTTCCACAAGACACGGACATCTTCTTCTTCGAGCGCATCGACTTTCTCCTGAACCCAGAATGCAAAGATCGAGATCCAGGTTGCTTCGCTCATGTCGACTGAAGTGCGTGACCTGAAAAAGTAATTCGTCTGTGTTGATGGAGAAAGAAAGGTCTCAATACAGAAGGCAAGTGAAAGGCGAAGGCTGACAAGTGAGACATCAACAGAGGGCATCACTCCGTGAAGAAATCATCCAGAAATGCAGTACGCGGTACAGAGCAGCAGACGGATCAAGTGATGCAGATAATTTGGCAAAGTAAGGCATAGATGATAGAGTTCATAACATTCATTTCCAGCTCTATAGAGGGATCCCAAAACAAAGCGACTCCACAGCATTGAAGGCATTCAACAAGTTCTTCATGGTTCCATCGACTATGCCATATACATTGTCGTTCTCCTACGACGAAGAAGCAGCCGAACCAGAGTACTGCGAACAGCAAGAAGCAACACCATCAACCTGATCAGCCGAAAGCACACCATTGCGAGCACAAGTGTACTTGGCCTGCAGACAAGCATCCTGAGCCTGAGCCTGCTGACCAGCCGCACAAGCCGCACTAGCAGCACTCAACTCATTAGTGCAGTAAGCAGCATTCTGCTTGCACTCAGGGTCCACATTGTCTGCGCCAGTGGAAAGGCCATAAAGCACATTGCTAACGCCATTGGTGATGCTGCCGACAATGCCGCCGGTGACGCTGTTGATGATGCTCTCGACGTCGGAGGGGAGTTGGGCGTTGGAAAGGATGTTGGAGGCTGCGGCGAGCACGTTTTCGGTGTTGCCGCCTGCGTTACCGGATTGGTAGTCGAGGAAGCCGGCGAGGGGTTGGAGGAGGGTGCCGCAGACGAGGTCGCTGCTGGAGGAGGAGGTTTGGCGGCGCTCGGCGGGCGAGGCAAAGGTCATGCCGGCAAAGGCGACGGTCATGAGAGTGGTGAATTGAACCATTGTGGATATGTGAGGGTGTTTGTAAATGGTATCTAAGTGTAGAGATTGGTGTGTAGAAGTCGAAGGAGACTTGAGATCGAATGTAGATGAGGGTTGAGTAAAGTGTTGGTTGATGATTGGTGTTAGATGGGATCTTTGGCCTCTTAATATACCTTTTCATGCTGGCAGGTCGAGCAACAGGATTCCTAATTTCCGTGCTGTGAATGTACGCTTTACCGAGTTAAGCTCATGCACAGTATCTGTTGTAGTGGACCTCAAGATCAACGTGAAGCACGGTGACCAGAAGATCTTTGCATGTATGAAGAAGATCAGTATACGATCAACATCAGGTCTATCAGGGCAGATCTTCGGTAAATAACCACGGTTCTGGAAGTGATTGACAGGAGAACGTTAGAGCCCCAGAATATCCAGCCTCATCTGTCATGCCGTTTGGAACACTTGTCGGGGTACTTCCACATTGGGTCAACGCAATGTGGGTCAAAGGGTCGCTCGCCACGTGCTGATCTATATCTCTACAGCGCCTAACCTCAAACCCACGACTCAGCAACCCCTCAACAACTGACACAGTAACATCGAGCCCGTTAGAAGGATTGTAACTCTCTAAACTCCTTCTGCTCATCCGTGGCAAAACTGTTTTTGATGTGATCCTCATGGAAAATGGTTTGCAGAATCAACATAGAACTGAAAAGTGTTTTGCTAGATACACATATACCACTAGATCGAATCATCAAAAAATTCATCTGTATACTGCTGTTCCGGTGCAAAATCAAAAACAAGACACAAGGAACCCGTTAATACTGGCTTCTCTCTCAATCTTACTAAAAAGCTTGCAAGGATAGCCATACGTGCTTGTTGAAACCTACAAGAGAAATTTCATGCAGATCTTCCTTCATACAGTACAAGTGGCAGATCTGCAAGATACCAAGGGAGACCCTTGTCGAAACACGAGTCAATGCAAGCAAGCAATACAGGTCTTTCTACTCGTGCGCCAGATAAGACATGATCTCCCAACACTACTAGATTTTTCTTGCTTTGCCTACAAGAGGGTAGCACCAACGTTGCATAGTCCTCTGACTTACAAAGAGAAAGAGCAATTGCATGGTTTATCAAGGTTGAATCAAGAGTTTTGTAGGTCAATCACTATCCAATGGAAGTTGTAGCCACCTGCCCACCATTTTCCCTGCAGCCTTGTTGTAGGTCTTGAGCTTGACGGTGCTTTGTGCCACTTGTGCCACCACTGCCATCATCATTCCCACCGGTGCTGTTTTGAGCATTAAACGTATCGGAAGCCATTGATATCCGCTCAGAAGCATGCATTGTGCACAAGTATCCATAAACTCAATCTTCAGAGTAGTGGAAAGGCATTAACAAAGACAAGATGAGTAATGAATAGATCTGTATACTTGGCGGCTAGGAAGCGATCAAAGGGTATTTTATGTAGCCAGAAGGCATGGAAACTGATGTCCAGAATCCTTCCTATTGGTTTGCAGGCTATTGGCGGTGCCAGGCTAGGAGAAGGATACTGCTGTGTCCTACTTGCAAGAGCACATCTTCATGGCGACAGAAATTTGATGTTTGACAAAGACATCGGAAGGACTGGCATGGCCAAAGCCCTTGGTGGTGGAGCTTTGTATCTTGTTCCCGAAGTCGGCGTACTTCGGAACAAGTGATTGTGCCGTGTGGCTAGGACTGAGCCTGGGACGGAGAGGATTACCAGGAATCCTCTGGATGTCCATGATCCATGTATCGCAGTGCTGTGATGGCCAAGGCGAGATGGTATGAACCATAATAGTCATGCTTGGACACGTGCGAAGAGCCAGACTTTCGATGTGCTCGCCAGAGCCGGCGTCGTGGAGAGGCATGAGAGTGATGAGCATCATAAAAGATGCAACAGTTCATCAACCATCCAACAACTTCTTCACTCGCTCAATTCTCGTCAACGCGGTTTCGACCATCTCCAATCGCTTCTGGCCTAGTCTGTCCCTCTCCTCGAGAACCTTTAATCTGTGCTCCAGCTTTGCCTTCTCCTTCCTCTCGGTCGCGACCATCTCGTTGGCCTGTTCGAACAGCGTCGCCGACAAGTCTTCCAACTCGGTTTCCAGATCCTTGAGCTTCTTCTCTGCGGCAATGCGCCGGGACGTCTCGGCAGTGAGTGCGGCTTGGAGTTCGGAGATGGCGGGAGAGGCAGCGGCGGGTGCCATGGGAGAAGTTTTGGAAGGTGTCTTGGGGAGTGGTTTTGTCGTATTTGTGAGCGACGACGTGCGAGTCAAGAAGCTGAATTTGCCAGAGGCGATGGAAGAGTTGCGACTCAGCGAAGTCGGTGGTGCAGGGAAGGGGTGTGCAGCAATGAAGTCCAGAGGAGAGTCGGTGCGTGGATTCTGGCTTGTTTTGAGGTTGCGAATCTCTTCTTCGTAGTCGGCGAGGCGGTCGGCNTGTTTGGAGTTTGATGCGTTAGTGAAAATGAACAGAGATATGATGGATAGAGGGAGGTGAGATGTACATATGCAGATACACCGAGAGGAATCGCACAGGCAGGGATAACAGCCAAAATCAAACTCACCAGCTTCGACGCCTTTGCGCGTCAGACTTGCGACCTGCGCTTCGAGTGTCGCGACGCGATGGTCGTCCTCGGCCGACAATTCATATCTCGTCACTTCGGGCGACTCAAAGGGCGGAAAAGGCGTCGTGTCTGTCTCTGGCTTCTTTGTTGTTGACGTTGTTGTTGTTGTCCTTGCGGGTGTTTCTGGAAGTGGAGAGGCTGGTGTTACGCTTGGTGCATTCTTTTGTTTTCTTGGTGGGGAGCCAAGATTCATGGCCAGCTTGTCTCGTGTCAGAGTGAAGTTGAAGCCTCGTTCACGTTCTAGAATCATTTTCGAGACGTGTAACTGACGTGAGACGTGTAGATGTTTGACAAGACGTGTTTTTGTACAAGATATGCTGTGCAATGAGGATGTGTGTGTGAGAGGAAAGAAAGAGGATGCGAACCGAAAGGTACCAGGGGCAGTGAACCAGTTTGTGCCTGCCCGTTTATTGTCCCTCTTTCCACAAAACCCCCTGCGGCTTTTTTCCTCTGACCGCGTGCACTCTGCTCTCCTGGTTTCGAGAGACTGTTATAACGGCTGCTCAGGAGGTGTAACGGTCTGCTGTCGTCTTGTTCGCAGCAACAAAGGCGGTCAGCGGGCCGCCCCGCGTGGGGGCTGCGAGGATGACCCTGTTGTACCTGACTGCCTCTATGTTTCTATCCTTACCACCTAGACACAGACTCCAAGTCCTTGTCTTTGCATGTACTAAGAATGAGAACGACCCATGACGTATCTCGTAGATGGAGAAGCAACCAGTATTCAACGTGGTCATTAGTACGAGACCAGCTGTACCAAATGCTCCATATCCTGGTCCTGTAATCGCGATGCCAGCCTGCTTAGCCTTATCAATAAATGTTTGCTTCTCCCTGAATGACAATCGGCGTCTGAATTGAGTGTGGTAGATCTTCTTGAAACTTGGAGTTTTGGTGAATCTGATAATAAATGTATACTTTAAGCAATGTGGATATATACAGAAAATCCGTGTCCATATATAGACAAGGAGTCGAACAAGGTCGAAAAGCAGAAAAGAAAAACCAATGCTAGATGCTTTTGCCTGCATGAGATGCCGAAACAAGTTCCGCTATAGGTGAAATGAGAGAAGAACAAGAGAGAAAAAAAGAAAGGGGTATCTGAGAGAAGTCATCTAGCAAGTCCCAAAATGATAAAAAGATGAAAACCAATACCATGGTTGCCATGGTCCTCTAATTCCATGAACGCCGTAAAAACTCCGTCGTGAAGGCCGACGCAACTCGATACTTAGGTTGGTCTCGGCGTTCCGTGCTCGTCATCGTCTTGAGTCCGTGCGACTTCTTCATCAGATGTTGAGCTATTCCTCGTGGTCAGAGCTGTTCCTGAGACGGGACCCTGTCGAGGCGTCGCGTCATCTTCCGTCCGGCTATTGATAGCATCGTTGACGATGTTGCTATCGCCTTGACTGCCGGCCGTTGTGGAACTGGCCCACGTCACATGATGCGAGCTGTTCGAATCTCGGACAGTGTTCAGTTGTGAACCTGTCGGCGAATCCTTGCTGCTCATATCGCTATTCGTGTGTTTGAGCACATGTGGACTCCATGCTGCGGCTCCTCGAGTGGGTGCTGGGATTACAGTATAAGGCAAGTCGACATCATTTGCCCTTTCTTGCTTTCTCTCGCGGAACTTTTCACCCTGTTCGGCTGCAATAGCACCAAGTCTGCCCTTGATATCCCACTTTGAGTATGAATGAGAGGGAATCCCAGGAGTATCACTATTGTCGCGAGCGGCTCTGACTTCTGCTGGTGGACTCATTCGTTTTCGCTTGAATGGATTCTGCACCGCATTCCGAAGCGCATTGCTCGTCTGTCGTAATCGTGATGAGCTGCCTGCGTCCGCGTGTGAATTATTTGCTCGTGAAGCAGTTGATGTTTGAGCTTCAAGATCATCAATTGCCGGGCGCTCTGGCAAATCCTCTGTTCGCCTTCGCACAGGCTCTGGTTCTTGCGACCCACCATAGTTGATGACATAGACGGTTGAAGCGGCACTGGTCGTATTTGCCCTGTCAGGGGCGATATTCGAGGAGGAGGCGGCGTTTGGNCCAGTGATGGGTGTGAGTGTCGTCTCGGGACGAGGTAACGATCCAAAGGTGATTGTTCTGTTTTCGGAATGGGCTCTGCCCAGAGGCAAATGAGTGCTTCGTCGAGGGGTCGCTTTTCGCCTCCTGGCGACTGGATCTTGTTGCGAGCCGGATTTGTGAGTGGAGCCACCAGGACTATCGCTATCAGCTGGGCGATAGTTGTCTCGAGGTTTCCGCGTATATGTCATATTGTCGCCAGGGGTCATGTCGATCATCTCATCACCGTCGAAGACTTCACGGCCCAGAATGCCGTCCTTCTTTTCATCTCGTTCCAAGGCTTCTATTCGTTCGACCCATTCCCAAACAACAACACTAGAAGCGGCAGCTCCAACCCATCGGAAATAGTCACCCCAAGCAGCAACATCCGGTTGGGCGACGTCAGTGATGAAGAAGGCGACGGGAGTTAGTATTGCGACATGTGACAAAAGAGCGACTATGAAGATGCTCTTCATCTTGAGATGAAAGTAGGCGTAGCGACGTTTGGTGAGACCATAGAAGATGACCCAGGCAGCGTAGAGGAGGCCCACAGCGAGTTCGAAGAGATAGCTGAGAGCTGGAATGGCGTCGACGAAATGACGAGGGCGAACAAAGCTGTCGACCAGGAAGCTGTTGAGGCAGGAGAAGATTGTGTCCAGAACAATGAGAGCAAAGCCAACCCATTTGATGACAACCTTTTCCTTGTGGCGCGGAAACAGTCGAATCAGAGTCTGTACTTGAGCGAGCCAGAGAAAGACGTCGGAGATGACGCGTGTCACGCGGACTTCCATACTGCCTTCGACTTTTCTGTGCATAGCATCTCCATCCATGTATCCAACCGCGTATTGTTCTTGGGCAACTTTGAATGTGTCTGCCGTTGCGATGGTCAGGGCGATGGCGGTAAGAAGAGCTGCAACTTTTTGAAGCCATGGTCGTGAGCCAACACCGGGTGCAGCAGTGCCACCGGTAGCGCCACCGATGAGTCCTCGTCCGGAAGCAAAGTTTGTGAGGCCGAATCCTGGAGAGAATGAACGGGAGTTGATCAGAAGCATGACGACCAAGACCCAGGCGAGTGAGGTGGCGCAGGCAACGACAAAGGTCTGAGGAATGGTCGAGGCATAGAAGGGGTTCTCGAGGTCGGCGACGCTGGACGGGTCATTGCTGGTTCCGGGAGTTTCGTATCCTTGGGTACACGCGGGCGAGAAGACTACGTTGGCGGTGAGGGTGACGATGTTGTCTGGAGCGAAACTAATGATGCCATCTGAGGGAAGTGTATATGGAGTGCAGGTNCTGAGCGGGATTGTGTCAGTGGGCGCGCGTGTTCGAGGTAGGAAGGGTAGACGTACGGCAGTGAGACTCGACGACGTGGTGGTCGGCAGCCCCCATAACTGTCGAGCAACATGCCGCGACATGCCCGAGGGCCGTGTGTCGCGTCCAGAGCAACTGGTGTTTGAATCGACTCGTGGGGTGGGGTGAGCGTGGATCGAGAGACACGGGGCCCGCGCCCGGGGAAGTTCTCGTTGCGACGCGCGACGGGGCGACGAGTGGGCGGTGATCAAGTGTCTAGGATGGCCGGGAGTGCGTTCTCTCTCGTCTGAGAAACATGTCGCGGCGCGGACTGGGCAGTTGTGGGTTGGGTTCTAGGGCAAGGAAAGATCGATGGGAGACGGTCAAGGCCTCGACAGGCTGGGCAGTGGGCAATAATGGACAGCGGCAGCGGGATGGCGAGTCGCTCCTTCCTCCTCCTCCGCTGTTTGCTGAGCCTCGCGCAGTGAACGCCCGCTTCTTGGCAGAATCTTGAGTAGCTTCATCCGTTGTACCTCTGCACGAGCCATGTCACGCCAAATCCTCCGCGCCTTCGCTCTTGCCGAATCCTCAGCCTCGGAGCCTGACCACTTCTTGCCCAGGTCAAGAACTATCCAAGGTCGACATTATCACTCTTATACAAAGTTCAACGATTTCACATCTTCTTTGACTTGTACCGATTCGCAAAGCAAAGACTCCATCCAGTCCTGAACATGTCCAGCGAAATAAAAAGTCTGGAGAGTCTCCCCGGCCTCCGTGTCGAGCGCCATGTCTCCTCCCCAACTTCTTCTGGCTCCACTGTCATAAGCTACACTAAGGATCTGGGGGAGGGTCCTGTTCTGTGGCTCGTCCACGGGTACCCTCAGTCTGCATACATGTATGCCTGACACTGTCTTGTCAGATGTTTAGTCTCATGGTTGCTGACCTCTTCGCATAGTTGGCGTCATGTACGTTCCTAGTAGTCGCTCAATCCCGCGTTGCTACTAATTCTCTCATCAGNNATTATTCCTCAACTGCAGGATAAGATCTCACTCTTCGTTCCTGAGGTGCGTGCAGATCTTCTCCACCCCCTCCGCATTTGCCCGACCACTGCTGATCCTGCCTCCGAAAAAGNNCTGCCGGGCTACGGCCTCAGCACGCTCGAAGGAAAGGCCGGAGTCACCGCCGTCGGCGCCGCTCTGCTGCAAGCCTGCCATGAGCTGTTCCCTAACCGTCCCATCATTCTAGCCGGTCATGACCGTGGTGCTCGCGTCTGTCATCGCCTTGCTGTCTCCAATGCCCATCCGCCTCACAATGACACAGCCTCCCTACATTCTTACAAACTCCTTGGTACCGTACTGCTTGATATCGTACCTACTCTGATCCAGTGGCGGTCATTTTCACATCCCCTGGCCAGCGCTGCTTACTTTCACTGGCCCTTTCTGGCATCTCCCATTGCCGCAGACATGATTGAAGCCTTTGGCGCTGCCAAGTGGACACATCTGGGTTTGGACCGCATCTGTGGCGACAATGCCGAAGGTCGCAAGGCAATGCAGTCCGACGACGCCTGGGACGTGTACAAGTCTCTGCTCTCCAAACGTGAAGCCATCGAAGGATCGTGTGCCGACTATTCAAGCGGCTGTTTTGATGAGCCCCCTCTCCAAGAGGCTGACCAGCGTGAAGGCCGCAAGATTCAGAGTCCTGCCCTTGTGATGTGGAGCAAGTACAGGTTGGGCAAGATGCATGGCGGTGATCTCGGGTCCATCTGGAAAGAGTGGATGCAAGATGCCTCCCTGCTGACCGCCGAAGGTGTAGGTGAAGATGTTGGGCACTATCTACCTGAGGAGGCAAGCACTGTCATTGGAACAGCCATCAAGGACTTTGTTGACAAGGTATCAAAATGAGCATATACGATAATGATCAACGGCCAGAATCATGACTTGCGCATCTCTTGATTAATTCACCTTTGCTTCGGCTTCACTCGTTCCTCATATCTCCTGTTCTGTTACCCGCGCTTACTTTGAATTGATCTCTCTGTCCATAGAGAGACATGATCATAGTGAGTTTCTGTCAGAAGTAAGAATAACTCCCGCATCGACGCTCATACAACCAATAGGATATGCATGGTCAGACCTCCTGATGATGAGTCTACTGATGGGACCTCAGATCATGCTGAGCCGACAAGAAGCTAAGAGCTCTCGAGCAACGCCGATCATTGTGTACCCAAACAAATCATTGTATTGACTTACGATATGCTAGCAGGACAGCAGAGAAGAACGAATGGAAGCAACCATGTCCGTGGATCCCATTCGCTACCTCTCAATCTCCTGCAAGCTGTTGAGTTCAAACGTCAACTGCCTAACCATATCGGCGTACATTGGAAAAGGGCCACTAGCCACTGCATGTTCACTGACTCGAGACAACGAGTGATACGTCTCGGAGCTTACGCTCTTTCTTTGTCTTCGCCCTGTACGAGTTGCGTGAGATTGGAGGCCAACAAAAGACTAACTCGCCTTTAAAGCTTGATGACAACTTTGCCGGTATGAGCACCAGAGTAAAGATACTCAAACGCCTTAGCCGACTCCTCGAACTCGAACACCCTATCCACAAGTGGCTTCAAAGAAATCTTCTTCTCTGCCAGGAATGCGCAAAGGTCTTGCTGATCCTCGCGTGTACCGACAAAGATGCCNCCTGACCTCTTTATTAGCGACGACTCTCGAAGAGAATGCGACAAATGGACTTACTGTACTCTCGCCGCCTTCATCAACACAGGAGTAAAGCAGTCTGGCATTTCTGCGCCTTCAACTCCGCCCAAGAAGCCAACCAAGGAGACGGTGCCGTATCTTGCCAGAGCGTTGAAGCATTGCTCCATGGAAGTGATGCCGACATTATTGATGACAACATCAACACCATCGCCTTGTGTCAATCTCTTCGCTTCTTCATCCCAATCCTCGTGTGTTCTGTAGTTGATACCCTGAACGACTTGACCTAACTCCTTACACTTCTCCAACTTCTCGTCGGAAGAGGAAGTGATGATAGCGGCCATGCCAGTAGTGACGCAGAGCAGAGTAGCAAAGATGCTTACACCACCAGTACCTTGCATCAACGCACTCTTTCCTTGTCTCTTCTTGTCGAAATCCAAAGCTGTCCATGCAGTAACTCCAGCACAAGGGATGGTGGACGCTTCTTCATGGCTCAGATAGCTCGGGATCTTGGTAATATCGCATTGATCAAAGATGGCGTATTCTCTCAATACTCCATCCACATCTCCACCAAGCGCTTTGATCTCTCCAGAACAAGTCTCTCGGAAGGTCGGAGCTACAAAGTTGCCTTCTGCAAGCCCTGTAACCGAAGAGCCGATTGAGATGATTGTCGCAGAAGCATCTGAACAAGGAACTCCGTGTGGAATGACCGGAATTGGATAGCGATTGTGTAGCATCCCCACATCGCGGAAGTTTAGAGACACTGCGTGTATCTTGAGGAGAACTTGTGTTGGCTGCAGGCTTTGAGGAATAGATTCGGTAACCAGTTCGATGTTTTTGCCATTGGATGTGCGGCGGAATGCTCGTGTTGTAGTTGGGAATGCCATTGTGTTGTCTTTTCGGGGTACACTTCAGGATCTCTAAAGTCTTGACATGGTCGCTAGAGAATAGAGTCCGACGTTCACACGGGAAAGCAAGGTGCATGAAGGGAAGGAGAGGTCAGGCTATTGCTTACTCAGCTGTTATGCTTAGAAATCAGCGCAGCCGAGTTGCCAACCCTTGGAACAATTGTGTTGGCAACATTTGAAAGCAACGTTTCCTACAAATGCACGTGGGTCCTTATCGCAGACGAGCGTGTTCGAACCTCCTTGAATCCTCTTCAATATTACTCGAAGGCTGCAACACATCATGTCGGCAAGCGTAAACCGCAAGAACGGAAAACAAGCGTCTTGCGAACCTTGTCGTAGAGGAAAAGTGCGATGCGACCATCGCATGCCCATCTGCGATCGTTGCCGCCGCCGCAACATGGACGCGGAGTGTTTTTACCATCCTGCTCCTTTGACTCGACCATCGAAACGTCCTAGAATGTCTTCGTCAGAATATCAGGGATCCGGTTTAGTAGGAGCGACTGGACAGATTATTCCAGTGGCTGCAGTACCATATCACAATCATGATCGTGTAGATACTGGTATCAGCGACAACAGCCTCAGCATTCACTTACTTCCTGTCGGTGACTCCAACACGACATCCCCTGGAGACCTCCCATTGTTATCGCTTCAAAGTCTTGACAACGACAATACGCAACATGTTGTCGACGTTGCATTATACGACGATCGTGGAGATAAAACACTCGAAGGAGATCTACTTTCAATCATCTACATCCTGGAGCACCTACAGCATTGCGGGACGATCAGAAAACTTGTGTCAGCGTATTACGATCTGGGCCAGGTGGCTGTTATTCCAGACCAACTTGTGCTGCCCGCTATATCTGACCTTGAGCAAATACACAAAGATATTCTACATATCCGAACAATGACTGATGAAGCCAACAGCAGTATTGCCATGCGAGCAGTGGCTGGAAGAATCCGGCGCGCGACAATCTCGACAATGGTCATAACTTCAACCACCTCTTTGGATGAATTTCGAAGTTCCTATACTGGAACCAACTTACGAGTAGAAACGATTGGTCTAATCTTCACTCTCGCTGCTCGTGCATCTCGTATAGGACTTTCCCTGGATAACGAGGACCGTCACGATTTTGTCCAAGCCATGTTTCAGTGCAGTGCGCGATGCATGCATCTTGCCCGAGAATTAGCGACAGAGATGAATGATGTTATAGTGTGGTTATCGTACGAGAATTTGCGTATCAGCACGAGCATCCAAGGATATGCCAGTATGTATACCGTTCTTACAACATCGTTCCACCGCATCCCTACGGACTTCAATCCTCATTTGTGTGTACACAGGTNNCCGAATGTTTGGCGACGGCTCGGTAATGTGTCCACTGATCTACTCGCCCTCGAGGTCCATCGAGAAGCAGCCATCACAAACGTGCCCTTTTTTCTTGCCGAGTGTCGTAGAAGAATGTTCGCCGCTGCATACCATTGGGACAAATTCCTCGCCACGCTCTTTGATCGTCCGCCCCGGATCCTCAGCTGCTTTGCTGATTGTCGTCTGCCGTTCGAAGCCACTGATGACCAGCTCTGTCTCACTGGGATCAGCGACGAAGAGCAGGCTTTGTTTGAACGCGCCGGTGGATGGTCCACTGGAAATCCTTTCTGCAGTACCACATGGACCCGAGCGCTCTATATACTCGCGCAGTTCAAAGAAGAGGCGCTCTTGCATCACCTTAAACCTCTTGATCACGAGACAAGATCAAAACTAGAGTCAGTACAGCTCTGTCATTTCGACACTCAAGAATCATCCAAAGTGGAGACGAAACATGTCGTTCTAATANACAGTCACAGAAACTTAGCAGGCCGATGCAAGCACACATGGGATAACTTCCCAAAACGTCTTCATTACGAATCTGCATGTTGGAAGTCCGATTTCACGCTCATGACATCTCTGAGATTGGCTGAAGTCTATCTCACCTATCTACAGACACGGTTCCACATCCATCGCTTGCTAGAGAAAGGCGACACGCGCTGCTCACCGGAGCTGGTCCAGATTTGCTCCAGTATTATAGAGACGACTGTTGAGATTGGCAGCTTTCGTAATCAAGCTGTATATCAACTGCACCGCATGTTCAGGGCAAGCACTGTAGGTTGAAATGAGCTACTTATGTGTCGGACATGACTAACTCCGCATAAGGTTTTATGTTATGGTTTACCCAGTGCAGTAACCCTCATCAACGCGCTAAAGTCTGCAAGGGGAAACATGAGCCGCTTGCAATTCGCGGACTTGGTTCGTATCATATCAATACGACGTCTCTCGGTGTTTGTAACTCTACTGGAAAGTGTCTACAGACCGGAAGATGCGAATTACACGCTCTGTATGAAAGCATCAAAGCTTATCTCGTCTGCATTGGATGAAGTGCTGGAATACCTGCTGTCAGTTTTCGCCAATGACACACAGCAACCGGCGCCTTCAGTGGCAAGCAACTCCACGGCTGAAGTTCAGGATCCAACCTCGAATAACGATGTGGCAGCGTTCTGGCTTGCAGGAAACACTCTGGGTGATTTGATAGATTGGGATGCAGCCAATCTAATGCACATGAACAACTGGATGGGAGGCATTGACTGGACAAATGTGAGCGGGGCGGTATAATCTGATCATACTCCGCGAACCATCTACTCCGTGTCCGGGTATAGTTTTGATATCTCCCCACATTGTTCGTGCCACAAAATCTATTCCGAAGGTAACTCCCGCTTATCCCGAGGATTCATTCCGGGAAGCTGAACACTCACCACATATCTAGGACCAAAGCCCTCACATATATCCATTGGATTATCCACAACGCCTCAGCTCAATCATCTCTTCATACCGACTGTACTCTTGAAATCTTGTGTATTCGTTTCTTCCTTCGCACAAACAACCATAATGCCGGGATCAGACAAGCACACCCAACTCCGCCAAGCCATCACGTCCATCAAGGAAGCTCTCGTACCAACAACCAAAATGTCGGGATACGAAAAGCTACCTCTGCTCCATTCTATTTCCTCCACAGAGCAAGATGTATGTTCTCAAGCATCTACAGTTCGAAATGGCAACTGACTTTCATCGCAGCCCGCGCACTATGAAACGGAGAAGAAACCTACCAACACAATCAGAGAATACCGAAAATCCTCTGCGACAAGATACCGACCTGAAGTCAACCCTGCACAAAAGACGATCAGCGCCGCCGAATTAGTAGACAAGACGAATAGAGAAGCGATGTTCTACCACATGGCTATGAGGGCATGAGATGATCTTTTCGCAATGGCTTTTGGCAGTTGGACAGCTATAAGGCATGTGCTCGAACGATATTAGACAACAAGACTCGGATGAGTATGGATTTGTAGTTGTTCGCGCAATACCCATCGGTCTATGACAGTGGTTCTAGGGTTTACATCTCACTTTATGAATGCATTACTCGTCACGTGTTGGCTCCTTCCATCGATATTCTTCTACTTCCACCAAAGTCATTGCTCTAGTTACTAACAACACCAGCGGAAGACGAACTAAATTGTTCTAGAAATGTTCGCTGATAAGACGAATGAGAGGCTCACGTAATCGCCGTATACCGATGACCCCGCAAGTGGGGTAGCGGTGATCTCTTATCTGCCTACCGATATGCCGACCCGTGTGATATCACCTTGACATCTATGACAAGTTTCCATCCCTCACTTCGATCTCTCTTGCTTTCTCGCACTCATCCCGGAACATCGCATACAACGTTTCACAATGACCAAGGACTGGAAGCAGGCCGCTGCCGCGAAGAAACAACGCATCAACGACTCAATACCCAAAGAATGGCGCATTGATACTTCCTCCCTTGGTGCGAGTGTCATGGATGTTCCCTCGACTTGCGGTCTGCTCAGCAAGTCAGAACTCGACATTACGAACTCTTCCGCTACGGATCTGGTAGCCAGACTTGCGACCGGCAGTCTCAAGGCCGTGGACGTCACAACAGCGTTCTGTAAACGAGCAGCCATCTCGCACCAAGTCACCAACTGTGCATTGGAGTTCTTCCCCGAGATGGCGATGCAGCAGGCCAAGGAGCTGGACGAGTTTTACGAGAAGAATGGACGCACTGTTGGGCCTTTGCATGGTTTGCCTATTTCGCTCAAGGATCAATTACGTGTCAAGGGCTTAGAGACGACCATGGGCTATGTGTCTTGGATTGACAAGTACGATACTGAAGACTCCGTGCTCACTGCTTTGCTCAGAAAAGCGGGCGCTGTGTTCTACATCAAGACTTCTGTACCGCAGAGTCTTATGGTCTGCGAAACTGTGAACAACATTACCGGACGTAGTGTCAACCCTCGTAACAAGAACTGGTCACCTGGTGGCTCTTCGGGAGGAGAAGGTGCGAACGTCGGCATCAGAGGTGGTATCATCGGTGTCGGCACTGATATTGGTGGTTCCATTCGCGTACCTTCTGCCTTCAACTTCTTGTATGGACTCAGACCCAGTCATGGAAGAATGCCTTACGGTAAGATGGCAAACAGTATGGAAGGACAGGAGACTGTCCACAGCGTTGTTGGTCCTATCGCTCATTCCGTGCCTGACTTGCGCCTGTTCGTAACGTCAGTTCTTGAGCAAGAGCCATGGAAGCACGACTCAAAGGTTATTCCTATGCCATGGCGGCAATCCGAGCACGACGCAACAGTTCAGAAGATAAAGTCTGAGAAGCTGACTCTTGGTTTCTTCAACAATGATGGTGTAGTGATGCCGCATCCGCCAATCCTCCGTGGCGTTGACAAAGTCGTCTCTACACTGCGAGAAAATGGCCACACGCTCATTGACTGGAAGCCCTACAAACACGACTATGCCGTAGACCTCATTCAAGGAATCTACGCATCAGACGCAGGGAAAGATATCCACACCGTACTCTCAGCATCAGGCGAGCCCGCAATCCCAAACATCAACGACTTGGTAGACCCAACCAGGTCTGGCGCTGACATTACCACGCTATGGGATGTCCAACTCCAAAAGTGGAACTTCCAGATGGAATACATCGAGAAGTGGAATCAGATGGAGGAGAAGCTTGGTAAAGAGATGGATGCATTCATCATGCCCATCACGCCTACTGCTGCCATCAGACACAATCAATTCAAGTACTATGGCTATGCAAGTGCGATCAATCTGCTTGACTTTACAAGCGTGGTTGTTCCTGTCACTTTTGCAGACAAGAAACTTGACAAGAAAAATGACAACTTCAATCCCATGAATGATATGGATAAGCAGGTGCAGNGAAGAATGTGAGTTGGAAAGTAAATGCCAAAATTGACAACGACTAACGTGACTACAGACGATACAGAGGCTTACCATGGCGCTCCTATTGCGGTACAGATTGTAGGACGAAGACTTACGGAGGAAAAGACGATGGCTATTGCAGAAGAGGTCGGAAGACTCCTAGGCAATGCCATCACACCTTGATTTGAGCATGTCTCATATGGATACATGCACGTTGACAAAACTTGCAAGGAGGGGACACACAACTTGGAATGCTACCTGCTTTAAGACCTCTCATGGATGTTGGAGCTGATGTATGTCTCCTTGAATTCAGTAGAACTACGGATAGACCCTCATCTCGGCCAGTCCATTGCTTGATTGAAAGCTTGGCTGGAGCACATGTTTGGCAGCAGAAATATAACGTCCGGTCGTCCGACAAGGTTTGCATGACAGAGAGCGATAGTCTACGGCCGCAGGGAGCCAAGCTAGTGGTAGTGGCGGGACGATCGAGGACAGTACAATACAAAAGAAGTCGGGAGTTGTCCCGTCCACCTTGCTCAATCAAACTCACCTCATGGATCAATCACTTGAGTCTGACCAGATAATTACAAAAGTGCGGCCATCATACAGTTGGATCACACCGACTTCTTCACTTTATGTACAAGTCGGGCTGGTATTCATACCCATCCGCCTTGTCTTTTACACTTATCATGCCTTTGGCCCTAATGATCGCGAGTCATCGTCATGGTTCATAACGAAGTTCCTGCTGTCGTTGGCCTTCTTCTTCTGTCTTGGTTTGCAGTCTCTCTCATGACTGTCAGCGCTATACCAGTGACGACAACCGCAGCTTGCAAATGCGGAGAAGAAGGGACAGAAGATCTTCCTAGTCTCGTTGCCCGAACGTACTGACAGGAGATATGCTTCGTCAGTCTGCCAGCATATGTGACAATATTGAGCCATCTGATACTATGCTAGACGATGTATCTCATGCCTCCTTGAATCGGCTGTTCACGTATTCACTTGGTTCTTATGCAAAAGTAAGTACAGTGGCTATCTGACCCTCATATCTGCGCCTAGACTAATTTCCTACTCTAGCATGGTCGCCAGTAATATCGCGACTGTCTTTATTCTTAAGAACTACGCAGAATGGGAAGTCAGTATCAGAACACAACAGAGAGACACAAAGAAAAGTTGTAAATACAAGAAGGATATGATTGATTGATTAATGATACTAAAGACAAAACTCCATAAACACATCTCAGAAGATACTTACTACCCTGTCAGAACTCATCAGCAAATCAAGAGCTTCTGTCGTAGAATCTTCTAAGCTCATAGCAATTAGCATAGACCAAATTTCCAATTGTCTCAAGGCAGAAACGACAAAGCCAAATCGTATTGTAGTAGTACATACGAGCATTGCAGACAGGGCAAGAAAACCAGCGGCCTCCAGTGGGAGGCTGAGCGGTTGTACGTCTACCGAGAATCATCTCGATGTCGTCAATGGTAAGATCGTCCTCGGGCTCATCATAAGGATCACAGACCGTGTGGATGATGTCGCAAGGCATTCTTTACTGAGTTAAGTCTTGTTTGGGATGATATGTGTTGGCTCGATGAGTATGAGATGATGGTTGAACGGAACAGATCTAACGGTGCTTATATAGACATTCGATGGTCGATACGAGAGTCATGGTTGGATACAATGGAATCAGGAAACAAAGGACTATGACAAAGACTTGAACTGACCATGAAAGGCTTCCCAGCGAAATGAACGAAGATGAACAAAAGGACAATGCAACGTCCAATCCAGACAATGAGAGTTTTTTTGAGATCCCTACGCCGCTGCAGTTAACTGCTATGGTTCTCGTTTCTCGAGCTTGAGCGGCGGATTACCGGCAGACAATTTTGAAGAACCACAGCTCTGTGAAGTGTTCCTCTTCCTCTTTGAGCGCGGAAAGCTGTACACAAAGTTTGTTTGCGTGTAGCTTCCAGCCACTCCCTCCTGCAAAAAGAAGTACATCACGGTTACGAGAGATCGAGAAGATAGCACTATCACCAAGTGCTGATGAAAACCACAATTGAAGATGATCTAGAACGTTTACAATGAAAAACGATGAAGGACAGAAAGCGAAGGGGAAAAAGTTTGATTTGATATGACACGCCTTACCAAACACTCCTGGAATTAATACTTGAACGGATCTGAAAATGACAGACTTTGCAGTTAATGACAGTAAGGGCATTGCCACTTGCCACCCCAATACATGTAATTAGAGCATGTTGGGCATCTAGGTGCAGAAGGACAACAAGAAATAATGACAGTCGAGGAAGATGTAGTAGTGTGGCTGCACATTGCGGGCTTGTATTGGAGTGAGCGGGTTCTGGTGTGTATTGAAGTGTGATGCGAAGAGGGTAAATAAGCCAGCTTGTAGATCAGTATATGTATACTCAGACTTAGTAGAGCCTGGATGATGCTTGTACAATGCCCCTGTCAAAACGGGCGGATAGACAAAGAAGATCTAATCTGATGGACAAAGCTCGAATGCTAGTGAAAGAATACGCATCAAGCTTGAATATACTCATGAGCCTATCGCTTTTGTTGCCTCTACTATCAGTCTTCCCTTTCTAGGCCAACATTTCCATGCCTTGTTCTTGGCCGATGATCAAAGCATATGCATTCATTCCTTTGTCGTACAAGAAACAAAACCATTGTTCCTGCGTATGAAGCAGGTGACCAGCCTCGAGTTATACGATGATATAGTCGTATTCACTTATTCTCCAAATCAGCGCATATGGAACCATCGGTTGCACCCCACCTTAGAGATTGAGTTGCTCAGTATTGATATGCGTCAGCTTACTTGGGGCCTTGGTCCGGAGCAGATGATCCAAACTGAGAGTGATTTCCCCCATGCCTAGTTCTGCAGACATCACAAGACGAAGATAATTGCGTTCGATGCTCACCCAAAAAGCTTTTCGAGGAGTGGCAAAGGAACTGGAAAGCAGCCTGAACGGACAAGAACGCAGAGGGGAGAGACCATGAGAAACGTTTGATAGTCTTCGTAAGCTCACTATGGATGGAACCCATATCATGTTAATTGGTGTGGTCTCTCTTTGCTGGGAACTCGAATACAGCTAAGCATCAAAGTCATGCTTCATTTCTCCTCTTCATTCTTACTTCGCTCGTATTTAGGAGCAATCGCCTCTGCGAGTGACGACCAGCTGGTGAAATGTATGTACGGCTGTCAAGTCAAGATTCGGTGGGAGCGTGTCCCCCAGTTCACGATTATGGCTGATTGCTTTTGCTATCAGGCTAGTACTCTCGGCACCGGATATCCTGCCACTAATCCTGGGAGGTGATCCACGATAGATCCCTCCAGCTCCTGATCGTACTGTACTGATTTTGGTGACGTTATCTTCTTTGCTGAAGACAACGACTGCTGGCTCTCGATGCTCTGTATTCTGAACTTCGGCGGCACCAGATGCGATCGTATTTTTTCCCCGTTCAACATGTCATTTGAATCGACGCGGGCCAAAGCATGCAACATGTCCGTTTCGATACCAGCGCACACATGTCTCTCTGCTATCCTCGTTCTAGCCAACTTAGGATCAACGTCAATGAACCAGGTGTCATCTACAAGCAGAGGAATATCTTTCCAAGGCTGTGCGTCAAGCAGTAGCCAACTTCCTTCCAAAATTATAAGAGAAATCGTAGAACCAATCTCGATTGCATTCGGTGTGGGATCTTTGATCGCATGATCGAACCCAGGGGCATGCATGACTTCTGAGGAGTGTGTACTCGACTGTCGCAAGTCTTTGACAAATTTTAAGAGTTGTGTTGCATCGAAAGTCCAATCCGCGCCTCTTCGGGCGTATGCTTCGGCCTTGTTGGGCATTTTATCCAGAGTGCTCTGCGGGTAATGGAAGCCATCCATCGGAAGCACCTGAGCCCAGGGTTCATCGTGGTCTTGATTGAGCAAGTCCACGATGTTCTGTGCTGCAGTAGATTTGCCGCTGCCAGGTGGACCGGCAAGGGCAATAATAACTCGTTTGCTCGGACTCGTACTGCGCTCGAAAGTATGGACGTTGCGGGCTCGAAAGGCCATGAGACCGTAGGTGTATTCCATGGTGTGAGCAGACTTTTGTGGTTGATATGTCGGCTGCAGGTCGTGCTTTCTTATGACATCTTTCTTCGAGAAGTGTTCTATGAATACTATGCAATAAACGGCTCAGTGAGAAGGGTCGTTTACGCCTCGGACCACAGTGCTCCGACGACAAGCCACATTGCTAATTTGAGGGTCTACACATCGGAAACCAACCACCGAGTACTGTCCGATGCGAAAACAGATACACCGAAACATGGAGTGCCCTCGGATACAGATAGCTGCGCTGTTAGCTCCGGCGGGGTCTCGTATAGTGGAGTGTTATGATCCCAAGATCAATATAATCTACCCGGTCACCCTCTCAGAAAAGACATCCGCCTCGATTCGCACCCAGAACAACTCAAAACTATCCCTAGACAGTACTCGCCAAGATGTCCATGACCCTGGAAGACGGCAAAGTGGTTCGCCAGCCCAAACCAGTCCCAAACACACCCCAAAATGTCTTCGAACAGCTCAGCATGAAGGGAAAAGTCGTCGCCATCACCGGGGCATCTGACGGAATCGGCTGGGCTGTTGCAGAAGCTATCGCAGAAGCCGGGGGTGATCTCGCCCTCTGGTACAATACAAACGACGCAGCAATCTCCAAAGGCGAGGAAATTGCAAAGAAGCACGGAATTCGTGCCAAAGCATATCAAGTCGAGGTTTCGGATCATGAAGCCGTCAAGAATGCCGTCGACCAGGTTGTCAAAGACTTTGGCAGACTGGATGTCTTTGTCGCCAATGCTGGCATGGCCATCTCGAAGGCGATTACTGAGCAGACTATCGAAGAGTACAGAAAGCAGATGTCTGTGAATGGTGAGTGTCCTTAAGCACAAGGATATACGCTCTTGTACTAATGCATCTTAGTCGACGGTGTTGTATTTTGCGCCAAATACGCCGGAGCCGTGTTCAAGAGTCAAGGATTCGGCAATCTTATCATCACATCAAGCATCTCTGCACACATCGCCAATGTGCCTGTTGATCAACCAGTATGTCCAACTCAGCATAAAACCGCACGCAACCGTTCCTAACAATCATAGATTTACAATACGACAAAGGCTGCCGTGAACCACCTCGGAAAGAGTCTGGCAAGAGAGTGGCGCGATTTCGCAAGGGTTAACATTGTCTCTCCTGGTTTCTTCGATACCAAGATGGGCGCCTCTCCACTCTGTATCAACGAAGCTTACCGCATGACCCCACTGGGACGCATGGGTCACGTCAAGGAGATCAAGGGATTGTTCTTGTATCTGGCAAGTGATGCTTCGTCGTACCAGACAGGGAGTGATACAATCATCGATGGTGGATATGTGCTTGTGTAGTCTAGCGAAATGTTCAATATTGCACGTTTGTTTGCTCAACTTGTACTTGTGTGCTGTAGAGAGACTGCTCGGCTCTATGTTTTTGGTGGTGGATAAATCGAATCCTGGGGAAGATACCAGCTGGATGGCTCCACAGCGATTTGGTAGTGAATGGCGACGAATTAACGGCTGAAATCTAGAGGCAATCTAATGGGCGAATGTGATGTGAAAGCAACGCAGAAGCTGAAATTCCTCTGAGATATGTCATGTTGATACCAAAACACCAGAACGAATCATTCGTTCATTCATCCTGTCATCTGGAAAGGATGACCAAAATCATTCATCCCATCAAAAAGCGCCTGTAGAGACGGATCTGCGGCTAAGCTCCATTCGTTGAGCACAAGGTCCGCTATGCCATGATTGTCAAAGGGCTGACTGTACGATCCTGCATTGGACGGACTTGGCTGGAACACCCCATCTTGAAATCCTTGAGCCATCTGGATCGAAAGCTCGTTGCGATGTTCCACCTCTCCAAGGTGGTTCGGCACGAGCTCATGAAAAGTTGTGAGATTGTCCCCATCGCTCGAAGCCTGTGATACTGTGGCCTGTCTCAGCATCTCTCGCAATCGAAGTACGATCTGGAAGGATCTGGCGGCTGCACTACTAGTGTTGATCAAGCTCTGCAGACACTGGCATGCCTGACCGATGATAGTTTCATGGTCTTGGAGATCGTCCTGAGTCTGCACAGATAGACGACATCTGAAGATATATTGAGCGCTGTAAGATAGAGTCGCTTGGAGGGTGAAGTAGACAGCATACCAACTCAGTCCACAGTGGAGGACTTGTGAATGCGTCTGACAGAAGGTTGAGATGCCTGAGATCACACCGGCTGATACAGACTGACACCTTGTCCCTAGTGAGAGCTTCTCGTGCTCGTCTTTGTGATGACGCTGACTCGAGAGAAGCAGCAGAATGAGTAGATTGGACTCTTTCCATAGAACGATCTGTCTTGGACCCATAAACCAGGACGGAACATCGGCGTGGAAGAAGTATGAGGGAAGCGAGCTATGCCAGTTCTGTATCATGTGCTCCATCACGCTAGTCTGATGGTCAATGTCCGCGCAAGGATTAACACACATGAACTGCGTGAACACTCGATTTGCAATCTTGGTCAGTCTCGCTAATGCGATGACGGTCGAGGAAGTTGTTGGGTACGATACTTCTGCAACGCTGCTCGAAGCTGGATCGTATGCCGACTCGTCGACGTTGGAAGGGACTCGGATGTCAACAAAGTTGTCTGGGACCAGTGTCGGTCTGCCAGTTGTGATATTGAACCAGCAATCGAAACAGCAGAGAATCCAGAATAAGACACGTCTTCTGTGGGTGTCAAATGGCTTCACGCCTGCACTCTGGGGTAGCTCAAGATGAAGCGCGAGACCGAGAGCCATCCTTAAAGCGATGCCTATGTAGTTGTATCCTGTATTGGGCCGGTCTCTCTTCTGGAGGTAGTTGCCGAGAAGGAGAAAGGCCTGCACATTGTTCATAGATCCAGATTCCAAGACTTCGGGTCTGATGCGTGAGCGAGCCGCTTCGTAGTATATCGAGTTCTCCTCACTGCTACACCCCGACACCCACTCTCCTATGGCAAGGACCATATAATAAGTTATATGCCAGGTGGATCTGGACGACATCTGCTTTCTTGCCGCGTACTGCTTACGAAACGTTCCCTCATGTAGAATAGGATAGTAAGCGTTGTAGCCAAGGAAAAATGCTGTAATGAGCTGTTCCTGAATAGAGTTTGTAGCCATTAAGTGTCCAAGTGTGCCTGTCAAGGCTTGATGAGCTGGAGAAGTCGCGGCGTCAAGCGGAGCACCACGATCGACCACGGCGACTTGGGATGGTAGCAAGGATGAAACAGATTGTAATATCTCGAAACCAGAACTCTTTCCNTGTACAGATCTGAATCAGCACATCGCAGCATAGTGAAATGGGACGTTCGTACCAAGATATCCTGATCCATTACCTTGACGAGTTAAAGAAGCCATGCCATCACGCGTATATTCACCATCGGGAAATGGATCGTTTGCATTGGCATCGAGCCCTTCGTTCCATTCGTAGGGACCGGATGGAGGGTCTTCGGGATTCTGTTGGCGACGCGGTTCTTGAGGTGCCTCCTTCTGTCTGGTCTCACTCCTTGATGTCGCCTGAGCTTCTTGCAGTAACCTCTCCAATTCTCTACAACGCGCTTCAGCCGCATCAAGATTCCGCCGTGTCAACGATGTGCGCTCGTGCGGTCCTTCGAACACACATGTCTTGCCGGCCTTTTGGCAATATGCACAAATATCGCTTTCTGGTGCAGCGACGCATTTGGTCTTCCTCTTCTGACATTCCAAGCAAGCCCTTTCGGTTGCTGACCTCCGAATTGTTCGACTTGCTGGCATCGGTAGCGATGACCGATTGAAAAGAGACGCAGGATGTCGGAGCGTGAATGGCGATGTAGGAAAGAGGGGCAATGAGGGGTCTTGCTTGGCAACCCGTTGACAAAATCAGCTTCAAGTACACTTCGGACAACAGCGCTCCGACACACGGTATGAGCATCTCAAGCGTGGATTATTCCTGAGAAAACGCGACCTGAGAACATGGCATATAACAAAATCATGGTTGTCCAATGGCTCATGTTGGATCGTGCTGCATAAGCCGGCCATCTACGATTTTTCCAACCCTCCTACCTTGACAAACTTTCAATCATGACGATACTCGCTCCCGCGACAAAGCCTTTGGCAGATTCAGCCAGGGCAGACCTCAGCAAACGATCTATCCCTCATATGGTGCTTAGCACAGGCGATGCCACATCGCTGACTGCACCTCCCTCGTTCGACCTCGGCGCCACATCTATAGCATGTGCTCTGGGAAGATTCAGAGTGCTGGGCAATGCGATCGTCACTGGCGGCATAGGGACTCTTGGTCTCGCAGCTTGCAGTGCACTGCTGGAACATGGTCTCTCTGGACTTGCCATCTTCGACGTCAACGCATCTCAGGAGGACCGCCAGCTCGCACTGTTGAGGAAGCGCTTTCCGCTGTGCATCATCACTTGCTTTCAAGTTGACGTTACGAACGAGTCAGCTGTACAAGAGGCAGTCGATTCCGCTGCGGCGACACTCGGCACGTTAGATCATCTTCTCTGCTTCAGTGGTGTTGTTGGCTGCGTCAACACCCTGGACATGACCGCTGCTCATTGGCGTCGCATCTTGGACGTCAACACGACTGGCTCATTTTTGTGTGCTCAAGCTGTAGCCCGGAAGATGGTAGACCAGGGCACTGGAGGATCAATCATCTTCACAGCCTCGATCTCTGCCCACAGAGTTAACTACCCACAACCTCAAGCTGCTTACAATGTGAGCAAGGCAGCACTCATCACGATGAAGAATTGTCTGGCAGCCGAGTGGGCCCGCTATGGCATTAGGTCCAATTCTGTCAGCCCCGGGTATATGGATACGATCTTGAACGAAGGACTAGGTATCGCGGAGGCAAGGGATATCTGGGCTGCGAGGAACCCCACAGGCCGTATGGGTACCCCCGACGAGCTCACAGGTGTAATCGTCATGTTGTCGGCTGTAACGAGTTCGTACATTAACGGTACTGATATCGTGGTTGATGGTGGTGCAATAGTCTTTTAGTCAAGGCTCGAATTGTAGATAGGTACTCATCAAGATCGTAATCTTCTCGAATCATCATTGCTTCCCAGCACTCTCTGAGACCTTTGCCAATTCACGAGCTAGTGAATGTCTGCGTTGAAAGCCTAGTTTCAGGAGAGGTGGGAAAGTGTCTTGATCGGACAGTGGGATGTAAGCGTGGCAGGTAGTCAGTCGATGCGAAGCAGTCACGGCTCATTCCCGTTTGGGCACGAGCCGCGGCTGGTCGAGCAATTCCGACAACCACGAAGCCGCGACACCACTGCCTCGGTGTGCCGGATTCTACAAGCACCAACCTTCGCCATCGGAACACGACCAGAGTCATGTGCCATATACAGAGCTTGAGTCACTCGCCCTCACGTCTTATCCAGTCACAGAGGAAGAAGATGCGCTTCGGAGCACTGCAGTCCGAGTAACCTGAATGTCCCCTTGTACACACCATTCGGACGCCATCTTGAACCTTGTTTGACCCATGGGGTAGCGCGAGATACCCCGGAAAGCCAGTCTCCGCACGATCTCCTTGACCTGAAGTGGCCAAGATAGTAGAGCGTGGTCTATAAGACATGGTCGATCCCTAGCCCTTGTTGTTCTTGCCAGACACGATCAAGACGATCTGCAAACATCACCGCCATCACTTTCGAAGTCACACTTCATCATGACTGATCTCAATACCAAGGTCGACATGAAGGATGAGACAGTCGCTCAATACTTTGAAAATTCGGAGGACACGCAGGGTGAAGTCCTGGAGACAAGATACGCTGGTGAGAACTCGATTACAAGTCTGATCAACGGGCTAAATACTGATTCTCCTCAGNGTCTCGGGCGATGGATTACTGTCAAGACCTTTTGGAAGGCCATGCTCTTCTGTATGGTCCTGAATTGGGCAGCCCTCAATGATGGCGTGAGTAACCTCAACAAGCTCCGAATATCGATACTGACATCCTTCGCAGNNTTCCAGCAGCAAGTCCCCGGCAATGTCATCCCGATGCAAGCATTCATCAATCAGATGCACGATACCACGATCGATGGCAAGCCAGCAGTCAGCGCCAAAACTGTCTCGTATTGGCAGGGATTCGCAGAAATGTCCAAGACCGTGGGCATGTTTGCTGGAGGATGGTTCGCCGATCGATTTGGCAGAAAGTAAGTTGTATACTCTTCGGTCGATTCTACACAACCACTGACTATCTGCAGGAAAGCAATGATTGGTGCCATTGTCATCCTGCTTGGTGGGTCGATCACTGAGATTACTGCCTTCAGTTGGCAAAGTTGGCTCGGTGCAGCAGTCCTGGTCCGTCTGGGCGTTGGACTTGCGCAGTCGATCCTCATCACATACATCTCCGAGATTGCTCCCTTCCAGATTCGTGGCTTCATGATCGGTGCTTACCAACTCTGCCTCGGATTTGGGCAGCTCATCGCAGCCATCGCGACTCAGCTGGTTGTCGAGCACCAGCCCAACAAGTGGAAGCCATTGATTGCTACTGAGTTCGCATTCACTGCCGTAAGTACACATTCTGATAGACTTGTTAGCTCAAGACCACATGCTGAACACTCTTCAAGGNTACTCGTCATCTTTATCTGGTTTGTTCCCGAGTCTCACATCTACCATTCTCGCAAAGGCCAGCATGAACAGGCGAAACGCTCAATGCTCAACCTCTATGGCAACATCCCTGGATACGATGTGGTAAGTACGTTAAAGATCGTGAGATAGACACCAGCTTACGAGAGACCTCAGGAACACGAATATCGAGTCATTCAACACGGTATCGAAGCTGAATTGGAGCTGGCTTCGGCGTCACGCAGCTCGTCCTTCTTCGAGATCTTCAACGGCCAGAATTGGCGGAGAACACTTGCTGGTTGTCTCGGTATCTGCAGTCAGTGGGCTGCTGGCGCGCCTATCGTCTTCTCCTATTCGACAGTCAGTATGCTCATGAACATATCCTGAATGTTGAGCTGACTCTTTTCAGNNTACTTCTTCAAAGTCGCCGGACTTGCAGACCCTTTCCTCGTCACCATCATCACGTTCGTTCTTGCCTCAGACCACTGTTGAGTCCAGTCCTAACGTCACCCAGATNTCGTGCTTCTTATCATCTCAATCTCTGCATCGCTGGTTGCATGCGAGCATATCGGACGTCGACCTCTGCTTGTTGGGTAAGTGATGGTGACGACAGACTGTGTAGCACAAGACTGACAAAACTGATCAGTGNGCTGTTTCATGATGTGTGTCTTCAACATCTGTCTTGGTACAACCGCCTTCTTCAAGACTGTTGGAGCAGAAAAAGCAGCTCTTGGCTTCTTGTTGCTGTGGGTCATCTGCTATGGAGCTTCGGCTGGGCCCATTGGCTTCGTTGCCGCTGGAGAAACCTCGACGCCTCGTCTCAGAGCTCAGACCACTTCCTTCAACCTAGGATGCTACGGTCTCGGCTTGTGAGTTTTGTGCTGTGATTTGTGTTCCATTGTACTGACAAAATCACAGTNNGTCGTCTTCCAGTGGACAGTCTCCTACATGATCAGTCCTGATGCTGCCAATCTAGGTATCAAGGCAGTATACGTATGGGCCGGACTCCTTGTACCCTTCACCATCCTTCTCTGGCTCTACTATCCCGAGGTAAGTCGATGTATAGCGTATCTTTGTGCACTTGCTAACGTTGTCCAGACTTATGGTCGTACCTATTGGGAACTCGACGAACTCTACGAGCGCAAGATCCCTGCTTGGAAGTTCAAGAATACTCCGACCACATCCGACCAGAGTGGAAACAAGAACGCGGCTCTCATGTCGGAGCGGGCGAAGCAGGAGGCCAAGACGGTCGCCTGATCTCGGGGGTGATGGAGAGCAAGAGCAAGGAGGTGTCAGATGCGAACGAGTCCGAACAAATATGAATTGTCATGTGGAAGCGCAGATCTATTGATGACGGCAGAAGACAAGTCCTTGCTCTGTCCAAGCTCAAGCAGGTGTGGAGAAACGCGACATGTTGAAACAAAGCCGAGCACCGACATTGTCCGAGGGCAGGCGTCTCATGAATTAGATAAGAGATCAATTGGTACAAATATGGCGATCTTTGGTCCACTCTGTGTTCCTTCCCTTTTTCGCGTCAGGCACTCGAGTAATCTTCATGCAAGACGGGCCATCCACTGCTATGCAAGCCCTCGATAAATGCATGCGTGACAGGGCTCGCTCGCATGCTTCGTGTCGCATTCGGCTCGCCTACGACGAACACGAGAGTCGATCCATCGTACTCGTGTAGATCGCACGAATCACCTTGCCATCGCTCTCGCCAGTATAGATTATTGTCTTTTTCTGCGCCGCAAATAAATCAGTGTTGGCGCAATCACACGCCACGAGTTTCGACGACTTGACGACTGTCGGGACGCTTGTCGGCAGTTAGCCCTAGTTGTACGATATGGTTTCAGAAAATTTGACGTCCGGCGACAGAAACTGTCGGGTGCCTGCATCTTGTACCTGCACTATCCTTCTTTCAGGACATGACACAACAGGACATGACACATAGTGATCTTTGTCTCCACCCAAAAACGTACGGGTACGACCCTTGCGAACGACGAATGCAGCAACCGAATACCCTTGTTTTGTCTGCGAGTGCTGGACGTGCAGGCGCGTGGTAGGTCAGTCCCATGTGTTGTGCAGATCAGATGCACGAGCAATAAAAATCTAGGCGAACGGGCAGCCGCCGTATCCAAGCTACCATGGTGCTATCTTTGGAATTTCTCAGTAGGGCACACACATATAAGAGGTCTGTAACTTCCCTTCAAAGGTGAGCATTCCGTCCGCGATCGTCCTTTCCGCTCATCATCACAACATGCGCTCGTCTACTATCTCGTTGGTACTGTGCGCGGCCAGCACTTTGGCTGTACAGATCGACACAGAAGGCCTTCCTGACACTGGCCTTGACACCTCGAGTTGGACAACTGGAACTCTACCACCGATTGAAGATCTGGTTGATGCGAACGACTTCCAGATCGCCGCCAAGAACGTCTTGTCCGACAAGAATTATGCCTATTATCGCACAGCTGCTCTGGACGAAATCACATACAACGCCAACATGCGTGACTGGGAGAAGATTCGACTGAACGGTTTCAGCTTCACCGATGTATCCATTGCCAACACAAAGACAAGCATCCTTGGATATGAGTTCGATGCACCATTCTTCATCGCTCCTGCGGCAAAAGCTGGCTACGCAAGCGATGGTGCCGAAACCAATCTTGCGAAGGCTGCTGGTGCCGCCAATCTTCTATACGTACCCTCTATCTCATCGTCGCAGTCGATCGAAGAGATTGGTGCAGCAGCAGTCGAGGGACAAGTCATGTTTCATCAAGAATACATTTGGTCAGACACCGCGAAGCTTCAGGATGAGTTGACGCGGATGGAAAAGGCGGGATTCAAGGCCATCTTCTTGACAGTCGACAACACGGTACGTGGACGTGACCTTTGCAACGGGACAAATATCTGACTGAAGTCAAGGNGTGTCAACGGAATCAGAGATCGTTACCTACGTTTCTCTGCAGGAGGTGATGCTGGTCACAGCTCTACATTCACCATTGAATCTCTGAACAAGCTGCGAAACATGACGAACCTGCCAATCGTCCCCAAAGGTGTAAAAACTGCTCACGATGTCAAGCTCTGTGCTGATCTTGGCTTCCCTGCTGTGTACATCTCGAATCATGGAGGTCGTGTCGTCGACTTGGCACCAACCGCTGTTGAAGTGCTTCTCGACGTTCATCGCTTGTATCCCGAAGTCTTTGACCAGATTGAGATCTATGCTGATGGAGGTGTACGTCGCGCAAGCCACATCATCACGTTACTGGCTTTGGGTGCGCGTGCGGTCGGTCTCGGTCGTGCGCCAATGTATGCCAATGTCTACGGCCAGCAAGGAGTATCGAAGCTCTTGGACATTATCAAGAAAGAGCTGACTACAGAGTTGTCATTGATTGGAGAAGCCGACTCGAACGACGTGCGAGGAAACAGAACCNTTGTCAACACCCGACGAGTTGAATTGGAGTTCTTTGGTGCGCCTCTGCCTTGATATACGTTGAACCATAGAACTCTTTGACACATGTCATAATAAAGTATTCCTAGATCTTGTCAAACTTTGTCCCGCCGCATGACTCGAAGATCGTGGTCCTCCGCGGGCATCCGGACGCTCCCGTTCATCCTTCAGAGCAACAGCTTGCGCGACATACTTTCCTCATTGTTTATCAAAGCCCGACACTCGTCAACTTATACAGGTCGCAGCCTTCGCAAAGTCAACGCTTTGGAGTCAGGCCCTCAGAAACGCAACACCATGTCATCATTCCTTCTATTCTGCCTCGATGAGATTCCTGCATCGGTAGTAACGCACTTACATCGTTGCTTACCCCATTACTCACGACAATCAGNNATTATCAATACTCTCCTGCAAGCGCCAAAGCACAACTTCTTCTCTCTTGTCCACGACTCGGCTCAGACGAAATTCGACCCGTTTTGCACTTCACCTCCAATAACCACGCCGGTCAGAAAGTTTCTGGATCGAGAGCAAATACGCCAATTCATCACAACCCGTCTTAGCGAGCCTCCAGCTGGAAGTGACTTGGAGCCATGCCAATATGCCGTACTTGACGAGCGCAGTGCGTCAGACCATACAGTCATTCTAGCGCACTCGTGCTCGAGTTTGCAAATGCGCGATCCAGGGACCATGAGCGAAGATGAATTAGAGCAGTGGTATGCCGAGTGTGAGGAGCAAGAAGACGGACTGGATGATTCGTGGTGCGAATGGCGTGTCGCGTTTGAAGATGCAGAGATGCTTTCTACTTACTTGTGCTTCGAGAGCGATTTTACGGTCAAGCTTTATGATGAGGACTTTGTGGTGATGCATACAGATGCTCGAGGGGTTGTTCAGATGACGTCTGCGTATAGAGCCTTTGTAGGTGCAGATCTGTGACGAGTTCTGATGTCCGTGGACAGGAACCAAAGACACTCGTGCAGTGGACATAGTAATATCGCTTGACAGCCAGTTTGGAACATAAACACGCATCTGCTGGATCGCGATCGTTCATTCACTTTAGACTCTGCATATCTACTGTGTCTAGCTGGTGCCTTGGAGCTTTCCAATGACAAACTCGATACCCTGGTTCTGCACATTCGGATCAGACTTGTAAGACAAGTGAATATTGACATCACCCAAACCATGAGCGGTGTCGCAGACAGGATCGTTNCTACACACTATTAGTCTAACATCCAAAGAGTTCCGAGAACCCGCGAAACTTACATAGGCGCAGACATCCAAAGTCTTGCTGACCCAGTTGCTGGGGATGCCGCCAAGAAGAGCGGTAAGGCCATTGGAGTTCTTGGTAGTGGTGCCACCGTTGGCGTCGACATTGCATGCCAGACCAGCTCTGCGGCGAGGGTTTCCGAGAAGGAAGACACCCTTGACCGCGTTGAAGGCAGCACCAGTGAGTCTGGGCATGGCGTCTACGGTAGCGGCTGCACCTTGAGAGTATCCTTCAAGGATGAAGCATCTCTTAGGGTCAGTCTTGAGACCAGCGTTGATCTGGTTGATGATCNNTGTGGTGGTCAGCACAACAGTCGGGGTTGAGATTTGACATAGGCGACCCACATCGTTGGTGCCGACAATCGAGATCTGGTCAACACTGGCAGGGTAGACAGTATCGTANCTGTTATACAATCAGACGTGGTTTGCAAGACAGACAACTTCGAGACAAACCTCAGTACCACCCATGACCTGGGCAATGATGGCGGCATCCATGGTCTTGAAGCTGTTTGATGGACCTTGAGGCTCGTTGGTGCCGCGAGTCTCGATGAGAGCTGTGATGATGTTAGGACTTCTGATGGGACTTGAAGGAAAACAACCGCCACAGCAAGACATACTGTATGCAGTGCAGACTGCACGCTTCTCAAGCTGCTCAATCTTCTCGATGGGGCTTGCGAAAGCTTCGGAGGCAAGAAGTAAGAGGCAGACAGCCTTGGTCCAGGCAGCGAGAGACGACATGGCGATTGATGGAGAGAACAATTGAAGAGTATGAGAAGCGAAGGTCGATGAATGAATGGCGAGCAGATGGGGTAAAGGTCGAGAGCGTTGCCTTTTATATCTCTGCCGCAAGGCAAGACATCTTATATGGTATGCCTTGACCACAGCTTTGCGAGCCGGTGCGAGCAATTAGCATCAATCGAGGCCCCTCTCTCCAGAAATTAGCGAGGAATATGGTCACGCTGACTTTTGCTGTAGTTGAAGCGAGTAGTTTGATGCATGGTATAGCAAACCGTTCGTCGTTCGCCGAAAGCTTACTATAGGCTATGGCCCTTCGTGAATGGTGCTTGTCGCTTCCAAGCCTGCAGTCACGAATTTTCAGGCATCCCATTGGACCTTCGAGACGCTTCGATGCTCGGGCACTGGACTGATCAGGCACGCGATCGTGCTGAAGCGCATGCCCCGCACTTTCCTGTTGATATTCTGCGGTCGTATTAATATATTTCTGAGGCTTAATATATGGACCTCGGCAAGACCCCGTACCATCGACAGGGCGCTCAAGATCGACAGGGAGAGTAGGCACTCGAAGAGCTCGCCTGATCTTCTGCAAGTCCTGATCATGTGAAGGTCGTTACTGGTCGTGATTCAACTCTCAGTTTGCGGAGCTCGGCAGTAGGACTGTTCCCAGGTATTTCAGGCGAAGCGGGCCGCACCATCTGCTGTGAATATGACGAAAGGAGACCAACCACAAGAGCCATACCAGAAGAGGGAGGTGATAGTATTGGCGATGATGTCCTAGGCAGCTTCCTCCCCCCTCATTGGTGAAGCTTAGGAGACCTTGTGCTCCGCGCGTAGAGACGTCGAGAATTTCGTCGCTTTTGGGGGAAGCGGACAGCCTCTTAAAAACATCTTCCAAGCCTTCGGAGACGTCCTTCCAATGTGGTAAGTCTCAGATACATGATTTCTCCAGTATATCCGCGAATCGGAGCAAGCATTCTGAACACTCAAAGTAGGAAACTCGATTCTGAAGACAAATTGCTGAGCAGCATTGTGAGGAAAGGTCGTCCACATCTTGCGCCAAGCTACGAAACGTGGTCTCAAGCTCAGTATCTGCATAGCGTCTTCCTTCACAGTCGTGGGACCGTAGCTGTGACATCGAAAACTTTCCTCATCATCGAGACAATCCGAAAGCATACTCTCTGTGCTAAAAGGTGCGAGTAGCTGCAGTTCAATTGTCCTGATAGGAGTTTGTACGAGGTGCGAGGCTATACTAGTAGCAAGCTCAGCTAGGGCGGTGTGGGAACTGATGGTATACGAGCGATCGTAGGCAGACATGATTGAAGCAGTCGAAAGAGCGGAAGCTCAAGAGATTGTTTTGACCAAAGTGTTCAGGGCGAAGTCCAGTCGCTGTTCTGCGTGGTTGGCCAGGAGTTTCTGTCAGACAGCGCTCGATGTCAATGCAATGCAGCGAGAGATGCAGTCCGGTAGTCCCTTGGTAAGCGGGGTTGAGAATATTACGGCCGTATGCTGTAGCACGCTGTGATGTGACGAGAGTACGGAAGTGTCCAAACAAAACTAGTCAGCTAATTCAAAAAGAAAAAGCAGACGATGGACAGTAGTGAAAGTGCCTTACTACAGATCTTCCAGACACTGATCTCTCAAGGAAAAGGATAAAAGATTGTCGCGAATACTTGCCTGACACAGTCGATCAAGTGGCTTGCGAAGCTCGACCAATCGCCTGGGAATCGACTGTTGCAGATATCGGCCGTGCGTTTCACTGATGCCTCGCCATAAGAACGAAACCGAGTGTTTCGTTTTGTGAAGATGTTGGTTCGACATGAAAACAAATAGACCAATAGAGATCATCTTCACTCGCATTCCACAATTTAGCCGTCACTTGGCCAAGCTGTACGTTCCATCATCAAACTTCTGTCGCTAAACTGAAACCTCTTCTGGATTTCGGCGAAAGCTTCCATCGTCAGGTTTCCGACCTCCAAGCGTCCTTGTCAACTATGCCATCTTTTCCCATATTCTACAGTGGCCTGCTTCGTATTCCAGTATCGACTTACACCTTACTTTTCGCATGTAACCGACTTAGGCTCGTCTTGTAAGTCTATCAAGACCCAGATGGGGCATTGGAGCTGCACGGCAAATCCCCGAGCTGAGATTGCCGGCTTGATCTTCGACGGTTCGACCCGTTCGCTTGCAACGGCCCATGATGGATTCATGAAACCTCTCATCCGTCTTCTCCTACTCGTCCGTTCTCCTCCGTTCGCTGAAGATGGCACCGCATCCAGAAAACGATGCGCTCCAGCTTTCATCAGCGCTTCTCTGGAGTTTGAGGCTGCTAGCATAAAGGTGATCTTGTATACAGTATATGGTTATATAAGGACCCATACCAGGCTGTTCACGCGTGTTTCTCCTGCTCTCTTTCTGCAGTACGTGCTGTTTACTGCCACCGACGGAGCATGCTCCTAGCACTACGCTCACAGATCTCCGTTGAACACGATTTCTTCGTTTGAACTTCTAGTGGAAACCGTGCCAAGGAAGGCATAAGCAGACGACTGCCGTGTTGATACCCGTCGGTCCCAGCATCTGGCCGGTTCATGCTATTGAGATTTGGATCCGGATCAAGCCAACTCCACAAGGCGCCGCTCAACTAGGCAGATGCCATGGGCGTTCAAGAGCTAGCTAGTCATGCCTCTGTAAGCTTTTTGGAATATCCTTTGTCTTTCCGGCACCCGTAATAGGGTAGCTGAGACTCGTGCTGTACATATAGGTGCCGATCATGCGCCACTCTTTGCACGATCTCTAGTCCTCTGATCTTGCTACATCTATCCTCGTCATGCCATACAGTCGGCAGTCCATTCCTTAACATAACTCTCTTTTGCCTCACATCGACCTAAAAGCACCACCTTCTTGCAGACTGGCTTCGACTCTTGATTGAAGTTCGGCCAGCCGTACAGTATATTCGGAGTTGGAGGATAACACCACTCCGCTCTATGATGAGTGTAGCATATAACATGGAGTCTCACATGGTATCCCGACAGGGGATGCCCAAGAACCCAAGACCTACCCAACCCACGCTGGAGCTCTGATCGCCATCTCTGTTGCCTTCTTGACCATCACAATCTTCTTCACAAGTCTGCGCTTCTTTGTCAGAGGCTACATGATCAAAAAGTCTGGGATGGGACGACTGGTTGATCCTGCTTGCACTCGCTAGTTTCATCTGTCAAGCTTCCTTCCTCATCCACCTCGCATGGATGGAACAACACTTGGATCTGGGTTTTATCAGACCTCTTGCGAACGCTTTGGAGTTTGTCGTTCTGGAACTCGCATTCTATATCATGACTTCACTGTTTCTTAAGCTCTCTTTAGCTGTCTTTTTCTTACGAATTGTAAGCCTGCTGACTGTTTCTCTTCTTTGTGACCTTTGCTAACCACTTATGTTATCAGGTTGTTGCCAAATGGCAGAGATACACCATCATCATTGGCACCTCCATCTTCTCCCTATTTACGCTCGCCTTCTTCTTCGTCGCAGTCTTTCAGTGTGGACCGCCTTCTCAGTTTCTGCTCAACAACGCCAAGGGAAAATGTCTGCCCTGGAGTGTCACAGGACCTCTAAACTATATCCATGGTACCTTGAATGCCATCACAGATTGGATATTTGTCTCGCTGCCAATGCTTGTCATCCGCAACGCCAACATGAACCGTAAAGGCAAGGCGTCAGTCATCGGCGTGCTCGCAATCGGCGTCTTGGGCTCTGTGGCGTCCGTCGTCCGACTCTATTACATCAAGGATATCCATCCAGGTGCTTCAAGCGCCACCGAATTTTTTCGAAGGCTGCGACGATTGCGATTGCCAGTATAATTGAGATCGGCTTGGGTGTCACGGCAGCATGTCTTGCAACTTTGAGACCTTTGTTCAAGAGTGTCCTGGAATATTCGCGCAGTGATTATACGAAGGACACCGGCAAAGACAAGTCGACCGCTTTCGAGCGTGGGACCGCGTCTCATACCGCAAGCAGCGGCTCGGCGCTTCAATCTTCACGCAACAACAGAGCGTTCACACAGTATGGATTTAACGCTAATGATATGGTTCCCGGCAAGGACGACGTGCATGTGGAACTGTCAAGTCTGCCTTCTGGTCGCGGATCGTCTTCTGACTCGGATGAGGCGGTAGTGCATACGCAGACTGTGGTATATGAGCAACGCGGATCTCAAGATGAACTGCTTGCCAATGAACAAGATGCCAAGCAGAACTACAAAGCTCACATTTGGAGCGCCAAAGACGCCAAGGCGAGCTCAAGTTAGCGATCTTCTGGTATTTGGGTATATATCATTGTTTCGTAATCTCCATCTTCTTCAATCCTCTTCGAACGTGCTTACTTCCATCTTTTGATCCGCTGGAGTGCGTTGCCATCCTTTTCAACCTCAGAAAGTCGCGCACTTGTAGTATGCTCAACTTCTCGTTTGAAGCAGCATGCCACGATACATAGCCAATCCTAGCCCGATGATGTTGATGAACGGCCATTGCGAATTGCTTTTGAAGAAGTGTGCCCAGATCTTTAGCACAGCCAGCGCAAGATCAGCAGGACTGCTGGAATCCATGACTTCAGCTGGCTGTTCATCAAAGTCAACAACAGCATATGCTTCTTCAACGATACACTTGACCCAGTATAATATTCTTTCTTCGCTATCTGCTCGATGATCAGTCGCATGACTATCAACACAACCAAGAGTGTACTTACCGTTCAGCGGATGAGTCGCCGCAGTACGGGTCAGATTCGAAAGCCACTTACTCAACAGTATAGCGCAATCCAGACTAGCCAGCGAGTGCCTGACGCTCCAAAAGAACGCCTGACTCTTCGCAACTCGATCGACGCCCAATCTGACCGGAATACCGAGCATGTGTGTAGAATAGAGCAGCGCTGCGATGACTCCCTCGCTACGGTCAATTTCCGGACATCTCGCGAGAGCTTTGGCAATATATTGTGGGTCTCGGGTTTGGAGCTGTCGATATGGGCCAAGATTCAGATAGATGCGAGCGTAGGCTAGGGCCAGCAGAGAACTGGAAGTGAATGGGATTGGTCCGTTGCCATTGTTGGGATCAAGTGAAGATTCTGGTGCTTGTTGCCACCCCGAAGTCCAACAACGCAAGCCACGNCCTGAATGCGATAGTCAGCATAGAACTAGTCGACTCGATTGCATTATGTCTTACTCAAGCTTCTCAACTTCTTCGGGCGGAAGAGCTGCCATATCGCTCATCACAGGCAGACTTAGATCCCTGACAATGTGTATCCTCTGTATCAGTCCATGGAGTAGAACATAATTTCCCAAAGGCGTCGGGATCGGATCCAATCTGGCGGGCTCGTTCTTTTGGTCCAGCAGTAAGGACAAGGCTTCTTTGAAGTAGAGCTGTGGTTTGGCTACGGCTTTTCTCGCTTGATCCCACATCGTAGCTGACGGAGCAGTCCACTCCAAGGTAGAACACGGCAGACGAAGTCCTACCTCATTACTCCGGAGAGGAGGATACACGTCGTAAGCGATGCTGTGCGTATGGAGGAATGAGAAAGCAACCAGTCTTGTGCGGCGAGACGACTCTTCCGCTATCCATATATGCCACCGCTGATCAATGGACTGATCAACAGACACGGATATGTTTGACTCTTCTTCGTGCAAACCTTCACTTCTGAGATACTGCGTAAGAGTCTCTTGCAGAGCAAACGATTGACGCACCATTGCTGGTTTTGGATCCCACGTCGCATAGCCCATGAGCGTGAGCAAAGCCCTGATGATCTCAATGGATGAAGTCTTTTTGGACATGCCAGTAACCTGGTTCTCATCGCTGTCAATCATATTCGAAAAACTACGAGAATCACCGGTTTCCGATGAGCCCGCAAGCTTGTGCAAGACAAGTGCCTTTCCAGCAAAGAACAGTTGCTCCGCCGCTCGTTTCTCAAAGCAATACTGCGCGCCAATAGCAGCGATACCGAATATCACCTCTAGCGGATGGTCTTCCAGGCGCCAGGTCGGGACATGTATGAACGGCATGTGCAAATGGAATCCACCGAAGAAGGACTTGATGTATCTAGTCATAGAGTGACGCGATGGTAGTCGGAATGTTGGGTCAATGATATGCAGTGACGAACTGATCGTGTGCTGGAGCTTGACGCGCTGCTCCTCTGTCACATCAAAGCGTCTAGCTTCAGGGTCAACAGCACGGGGATCTGCNTCTGGTAAGTTTCGATCACAATACTGCTGGTGTTGCAACCTACTCGATATATCACAGACATTATCAGTCGTTCTGTCTCTCGTAGGCGCTGATGGTAACCATGAACTGAACGGGGACTCGGCCCTTGTCCGTACATCGATACTAGAAGGTGTGGGCCGATGGAAATCTTTGATGGTCGCTACGTCGGCGGGTTCCTCCAGTCTTTCAAGTATCGGGCTCCAGTCAACACACAAACCAACTCCATCCAAGAAGCTGGCGAAATCGCGAAAGTGCATGTCGGGGTCAATGCCTGACAGGTCCAAGGACGATGCGGCATCACTCGGGTTCATGATATCGTTGACGCCTGGTAACGGTGTTGGAAGAGATGCGGCATCGTAGAATCTCGGTTGCATTGTACTCTGTGAATGCTCATCCTCGGGCGCAAAGGCAACTTGGTGGAGTACAGTTTCTGTTTGTGGCTGTGAGTTCTTCCGAGAGAGATCCTGCACATCAGGGGTAATCGCAGTCACATGTATCGACTCGTTCGAATGGCTGTCTTCACCATGTAACTGTGGTGCGTTCGGAAGCGCCTCGATAGCAATCGGTGTGCCGGCATTTGGAGCTTCACCCGGATCATGCCCACTCACCCTCTGATGTCGTGTGAGCAAATCTCGACGTCCAAAAGAAGCACCGCAGTTGCAAGAAAAGGGCTTTTCCTTGGTATCTGCACTCTACATAAACACCGCGATCGTCTTTCAGCATGCTCGACTTGACTCACGCGTTCGCACATGCCGTGACAGGTGCTCGGTTCTTTTGAAAGTCCGTCCGCAATGATGGCATTGACGTGCATTACCGCCCCCAGTTGAGGAGTCGACCCTCTTGCGCTTGTTTGTGGAGACTACCGATCCTGGGACTTCCGACATGTCGACTTGGTTGTGGTGATGGTTGGAGTTCAGGTGGGGATGAGCAAGCCGGGTCGTTGGGGCATGGGATGGGGACGATGACACCCCGCACCAACCCCAATCGTTTTGCCGCGGATGCCATTACTCCAACCAAGTCATTGCGAAACTTGTGGTGTTCTGATTGTATATAGAGAATGAACCCTGGCTCGTATTTGATCATTGTTTCGACTCGAAGACATATCCAATCATCGCTTCGCGCTCGGCACATCCTTGACTTATCGTCTCTTTATCGAGACGATTGCAACAGGTCAGCCTGACTTCGGACCACCTTTGACCTGGATGGGTGACTGGCAGATACCCATGGCTTGATTCACAACGCAATCATAATATATCGAGAAGCAATCAAATGTGCAATTGAACAGGTCGATCATCCGACAAATGACGCTTTCATTCGAGTATTTCCAGGTATGCAAAAGACTCGAGGCCAAATTCTTTCATAGAGCCGGGTCATCCCCTCATCAAACATCCACATCCATTTCCCCGTCACCATCACAACTTTGACTTTGACTTACTAACATCCTCCTCTCTGCCCGCAAGATTCGGGTGCGCAGCCTTGACAGCCCTCGTCACAGCATAAAATGCCAACCCCGCCGACCGAGTCGAAAACACCACTTTGCTGCCCACATAGAAGAAAGCAAAGTCGCCGGCAACCAAATGATGCGTGACACCCGTAGCTTCGTCTAGGACGTCGATCTGGCCGCTGATCACGTATTTTGTTTCCTCGTAAGCGTAGTGAGAAGGGTAGGATTTGCCCGACTCGATTCTGTAGAAGCCGGAGGTTAGGTAGGAGGGTGAGTCTGTTGTGCTTGTGCGGATGCTGTTTTTGCGAAGAAAAGAGGTGGTTAGTGTGAGTGTGGAGGAGAGTGAGATGCAGAGGACTTACGAGTGAAAGTCGGCGACGGTGGCATTTTCTCCGCTGGGGAATGGGATGTGTTCATGGCTTGCGCCTTTGATGATGGTAAGAGGGACGAGATCTCCAGACACTGTTTTGCAGGAGAAAATCAGTCAATTGCTACCATCGCAACCAGCAGAGTACCACGAAGATACAACTTACTGATGGGTGATAGTTTGTGATATGTGATGAAAGGTACAAGTCAATCAACACACTGGATTACCTTGTCTTCATATACTACAGCAATATCTGGACTCTACTACCACGACGCGATTGTCGCCGTGTGTCGGGGAAAGTTGCCCGAATGGGGTTTCGGCTTCCATTTCCCCTCATAAAACAGCCTCAAGCAGGGGACATCCCCACACAAGCAGTCGCGGACTCACATATAGCCAGACAGAGTACCAAGGATCATCGTACAAGAATCGGAGTATCAACAAGGCTTCATGCCCGTCGTTGCAGAAGATCATCTTCTCGGAGAACGCTCGGCACACAATTGCCTCACCAGAAGAAGCCGCCATCTGAAGCTGACGAGTATAATCAATTCACGCGCGAGAGGAACGATGAGTATGAGAAGGAGCCATAGTTCCGTGCATGAAGTACAACAGAGGAATGTATTCTGAACCTCTTGAGGTGGGCTTTAGAACCGCGCCGTTGACCAAATCCTACAAAAGGGACGTACTTTGCCGCAAATTCAATGCTGAACTTTGTCAACCTCAAACCCCTCGCTGCGAAGATAGATATTGAAGCTCTCGTCTTCGGCAGCCAAATCAATATCTCGTCCCTCGGGGAGAAGATAGTAAATACCCGCCCCCAACACCGAAAGCCCACCAAGCAGATAAAACGTCGACGCCGGGCCACAAGCATCCCTGATGGGCGTAAACACCTGCGTGCCAATCGCAGCGCCCGCCTTGCCAAACGCCGCAGAAACCCCATAACTGACTCCACGGACGGCGGTGGGGTATAATTCGACGCTCATGAGGCCGATGGTGGCGCCGGGGCCCATGTGCCCGAAACTCTGCATCAAGCCGTAGAGCACGACAAAGGCGGCGATGGCATGCGTGGTGAGGTGGGTGTAGCAGCCGCCGATGATGAAGCCGAGGATGATGTAGCCGGTCCAGCCTGCGATGCCGGTCCAGCGACGTCCGATGCGGTTGCAGAGCCAACTGCCCACGATGGGTCCGGGCACGGCGAGCAGTGCGAGGATGAATTGCCAGATGGCTGTTTGACGCACATCCTTGCCCGGCACCACATTGTTGATGATGGCCGCACTCATGATGCCATTCGGGAAGTTGATAAAGTCGTAGACGAAGAATGCGGAAGAGGTGCCGAGGAGTCGCCAGCCATAGCGTTTCAAGACAAGCAGGTAAGGNGGAGAGAGCTTGGTTTTGAAGTTGTTGCGGCGGAAGAGAATGCCGTCGCGCATGCGGAAACGGAGAAAGGCGACAAAGAGAGGCAAGAAGATGGAGATGGCGTAGATGGCGTGGAAGGCGGTGCGGAGGTTGTTGTTCGTAGCGGTGAGGGTGATGAGGTAGATTGCTGTGCAGATTGGTGCTGCCGAGGTGGCCATGAGGGTTGAGGTGAGCACTTGGATGGGTCCTCTGATGTGGTCGTAATGCNNTGTGGTTTCTCGTGTTAGCGAATGTGCGTCCCCCTCAATTATCTCGGCACATACCTCATTACTGCCCTCCAAGGCCGCTGCAGCAGAAGGAGGATACTCGCCTCCAACGCCAACACCAGTGAGTCCCCTCGCAATGGTCATGTACCACATCATATCATGCACACCTTGTCCCTGAACCTGGAACACCAGAGTGGCGAGCAAACTACCGATCACGACCAGAGAAGAAGTCACCCATAGCCCTCCTCGTCGACTCCAGATATCGCAGGTGTAGCCAAGGAGAATAATACCAATCACAGCACCGACGAGCAGAGCATTAGAGATCCTGGTCTGGATGGTCGACGCGTAGGCTTTTCCGAGAGTGTGTTTGAAGACCACATTGGTATGTGAGGACNNTGTTTCCCCGTCAGTAAAGTGTCTACTGAACACGGGAGTGTCTCGTGGATATGGAGAAAGGCATAAACGAAGACTCACCAAATTATTCTGATATCCATCTGAGAAATTCGCAAGCGCGCTGGCAAAGATCACAAACCAGGAGATTCGTTTTGGGTTCTTTGATATGTCGGACTCCGTATCCCAGACAGTGACATTTGCATCTTTGATCTCATCTCCTTGGCTGTTGTCTGCTTGTTCGAGGTTGACGGCCATTTCCACAGCAGAAGCCATCGTTACAACTGCCGGGGAGGACGAGCTTCTTGGATGACTTCTTATAATTCACATGTCTGATTGTCGTTGTCGTCGCTGTCAGGGCTCTTGTTGAGGCTCCATTCGACTCCACTTTTCTCGGAAGACGATTGCCTGAACCCTTGTGTTTTGTTCATCTTGAGGCCAACAGCTCCGTGGAGAGGAGAATGCTGGACGCGTGAAGATGAAATGTCATGTTCGTTCAATCTTTGACACTGGGCCTAAACCCGTTCTCTACAGATATAAGATAGGTAGCGTGGGATCGCAGTTGAAGTGAGCGTGATGCGGAAGAGACGGAGTCAAGATGTGCACGCCGACGAAGAGCCGGATAACGGATCTCGAGAAATATTGTGATGCTTGTATTCGAAAAGCACATTCAATAGGCGATCATTGTTGAGACGTTGATACCAAAGAGTTGAATGGTCGAATCGATTCTTCTAATTGTAGAAAGCACTGATGAATGCAATGGCTGGTTACAAGAAATGAATAAGGTACATGATGTTGATACATAAGAGGGATATCTACAATACAGACTACCTGTATCTCGAACCAGGCAGCTTCTTGTATGGCAGAGGCTCAATCTTCTTCCTCTTGAATTCGACGTCACCACCAGGGATTCCTGCTCTTTGCATGACACCAGCAGTACCTTCATCGTGTCTGCTTCTGAACAAGTTGACACCGACGGGCTTCAAGACATGTCTGTCGACGAAACTCCTCAGGATGAAGTCGTTGTGCTCGTAGCGCTGTGATAGAGCGGATGCGTCCAGGATCTGGCCGTCCTTTTGCTCGAGGACGAAGATGGACATGCGGCTGTATGCGAGACCCTTCTGAGTGTATGCAGGCAGCCAGGGGAGGATGACCTGGTCTTGGCCCAGCTTGGCGAGAGAGACGGAGGTCTGGGTGGGNGAGATTTTGATGTTGGAAGCGAGGAAGTGGCAGCGGTAGTCAAAGGCGTCGTTCTCGACATTGGGCACGTCGGGGTTGACTATGGCAATGGTGACGTAGCGCTCGCCCTTGTCGTAGGGTTGAATGTTGAGATGGCCGGGGATCTCGGACACTCTGCTGTCGACAAATTCACCGGGCTGGACGTCGCGGGGGCCGAATGAGAGCGAGACGTTGAGGGTGGGATCGATGGAGGGAAGGACGTCGGGGACAACGTTCATCTGAGTGATGCGCTGCATAATGATCATGCGGTCGTACTGGCGCCATTTCTTGTCGGCGAGGTAGCGGTAGATGGGCTTGTCCATGTCGCCNTGCGTGTGTCAGTGTCTGCAGAGAATGGAGGGGTGGAAGTGCGTACCCTTGCCGTCCTCGAACCTCCTCTTGACCATGGGGTCGTTGATGTCTGCGTGAATCTTGAGCTGGTCCAAGTAGCGCTCCATACTGTTGACGCGGTGCTGGTGCCGTTGCTCATTCTGAGGCTCGACTTGGGTGGCCCTGAGTCTGGAAATCTTCTGGCGCTCCGTCTCAATGTCCTTGACCTTCTCTTGACGGTGTTGAATCAGGACTTTGCGGGCTTCTTGGAAGCATTGGTAAGGCAGCTGCTCGAAGGGGATTCGCGAGCCGGAGAGGATGGCGGCGCGGCGTCTGCGAGAACCGACGGGAGTGAGGCCACGGGTACGGAGGAGTTTGCGCTCTGCTCTGGGCGTAAAGACGTTGTCTGCGGCGAGGGAGGACAAGACATTGTCTGCGGCGGGAGAAGACGGCGGCGGAGGTTGTGTCGTTGCTGCGGCGGCGGCTGTGGATGCGGCGATCTCTTCGGCGACCGGGGCCGATATCGAAAAGGCGCGGACGGAGAGGCCTCGTAGCGCTCGTGAGGATGAAGCCATTGTGTTGGTGGACAGGACTGAGTAGACGTGCCTGCCAGAAATGTCATGGTCCCAAAGTTCAAGTCGACGCCAAGACCGACTTTTTCGTGTTGGACCTCCGAACTGAGGAAGGCACCACCGCATCGTATTACTCTTGTACACACACAACCACACAATGGCCACACGAAGAGCAGTCGTCGCTTGCGCTCGCTGGAGAAGCGCTCTCTCGGTATGTTTCTCTGACTGAGACTCTCTGCCCAGCAGCGACTGACGAGTCCCAGNNGTCTTTGCGCGCGGCCTGGCCACCGAGTCGACACCTGCATCCACCATTGCGCAGTCATACAGCGATGCTGCCCTCTCATCCACCGCCACCGCACCCATCCTGAAAGACCAATTCACGCCGCCGCCTCCCACACCTGCGACCGCTGCTCAACAACCCTTCCAACAACCAACAAACCCCTTCCTGTCGACGGCCACGTGCACCGTCCACGACTTTCCCAACATCGAACCCAAGCACTTTGTCACATACCCCAGCACACATCTGCTGCTGCCGCTACGTCGCGACATCCTCCACCGCGCCATCGTCTTCGAGNGAGACGCCACACGCCAGGGCACTGCAAACACAAAATACCGCTCCGAGGTCCACGGCTCCAACCGCAAGGTCCGCCCGCAAAAGGGAACCGGTCGCGCCCGTCTCGGTGACAAGAAGTCGCCAATGCTGAGGGGCGGTGGTGTCGCTTTCGGTCCCAAGCCCAGAGACTTTAGCACCGACCTGCCCGCCAAAATCTACGATCTGGCCTGGAGGACTGCCTTGAGTTATCGCTACAAGAAGGGCGAGTTGGTGGTTCTGGGTGCGCCTGCCGAGATTGACGTCGAAGGAGCTGGTGCGGCGAGATGGTTGAAGGACATGTTGCGTTGGAACAAATGGGGCAACCCGAGCGGTGGCAGTCTGTTTGTCACGCTCGAGAAGAGAGAGAAGCTGTTTGCTGCTCTGCAACAGCCCGGCATGGACAAGGAGGCTCGCGCATTGAGTCTGGACAAAGTCGACGTCAAGGACTTGCTCGAGGGCGGTCGCGTCGTGATTGAGAAGAAGGCCCTTGACAAGATCTTCCTGCAGCACTCTAGCGACTTGTCGTCACGGGTCAAGCTTGTTGTTTGAGTACCTAGTAGACATCTGTATAAATATCTCATCAAGGCTTTGGGCCCTCATACGTCAGGTTGCCCATGCCCGCCAACTTGCCCTCGAACTTTTTAATCTCCTTTGTGCCCTTGACGGCCTCTGCAGCCTCGTTGATCTTTTGGAGCAAGCCCTCACACTCTTCAGGCGTCGCCCTCCTGCCGCCCTTCTTCCTGGCCAGTATGATCTCGACCTTCTTGCCCAGCGCCAAAAAGTCCTGCATCCTCTTCATCCTATGCCCCAGATCATTACCGTCAATGGCCCAGTTCAACTCTAGCGTCTTGGTGCCCTCGGCGGCCGTCTTTTGCTGCTTGAGCTTCTTCTTTTCCTTTTCGGCCTCGTAGGCGGCCTTTTTGTCTTCGAGCTTGCACACGGGTATCCACTCTTCTGCCCAGTTGCCGGTGGGCGGCGCCGTCACGCAGATGATGCGGTAGGCTTTGCGGTCGATGGTGGACAGTAGGTCGCGCAGACGGCTGGGTGGTTGCAGGGAGTCGGTCACGGGGTCGACGAGTTGAATGCGCCGGGCGGGTATTTCTTCATCCCAGAGGTGTTTGCGCTTTTCAGGTACGCGAGGAGTCTTTGGTGCATTGCGGAGGGGAGTGGANGTGGAAGGCGCGTGTAATGGGGGTGTGCGTGGTGAGAGGGCTGGCTGGACAAAAACGCGGTAAAGCGCTTGCAGTGGCGACGTCGTGTGGGCGCGCATTTTGAGTGGGCTTGTTGTATGAGGGTTGTGAGTCTTGATGTTGTGGTCAAATTGAGAATATTCAAGGTCAAGGTGGTGACGACGGAGCTGCACTTTGCACTTGGGTTCGGCTTAGGGTTTGGGTTAGGGTTTAGGGTTAGGGTTAGGGTTAGGGTTAGGGTTAGGGTTAGGGTTAGGGTTAGGGTTAG